CAATAAATCCCAATCATCCTTCCATCTCTAACTATTTAATAATATTACAACTCAGGGTCAGGGTCAATTAAACTTTTACTAATAATCCCACCGCTGCCACCAATTGTAATAAACAGACTAAAATAAAGGAAACGAATTTTAAATACAAATAATTTTACAATTTTATACATAAATAGATTTTTAAATATAAAAATCTAGTTTTTAAAATTATAATCTTCATTTAAATTTTTCTGCAGATAAATTTATGAATTTGAAATTGAAATACAAAAGAAATCTGAGTTTATCTTTAACCAAAGGGGTTAGGGGAGAAAATTTCTCCTATTGTAAATCGAGATAAACAACAGGTTAGGGATATTAGATATACAAAATGATTCCAATAGCCAAAGTCACCACTTTGTCCTTGTTTCCTGCTTACATTACCATCTCATTTCGTCGAAATTGAGGTGCATGTCTAAGTTCAATTCGCATGGGACTCTAGACACATATTGGTCAAAGTTAAATCATACTTTCTAAATAGTAAATCACATATTTTTCCAGCTGTCAAACAAAAGAATAATCTTTTTCCAATTTTTAAAAATAAATATCTTCAAATCGAAAAAAAGTTATCACAAAAAATAAATAAAGTTCAGTATTCTTTTATAATAAATAAATCTGTTCACTTTTTAAAAGGTTAATCGCTTTATAAAATCTAATCTGAATTTTTTTAATGGAAAAAAGAAAAAATCCTTAGTGAACAAAACTTTTTGATATTTTTTAAAGATCAATGAAAATTGGAATGAAATGTCAAACTTTTTTCTTATAAAGAGAGAATCGACAGTTTGTAATTTCCTCTTCGATTTGTTTCCAATCTCGTTTTTTTTTATCTTTTCTTATATACATACAATTTTTTTTTTTGCTTTAATTTTGAGAGGAAAGAAATTCTTTTTTATACAAAATTTCCTTTATTAAAAATAGAAAAATTTGAATAATTAAAAATAGTCTAAAAATAATTCTTCTTAAATAAGAAAACCTTTAAAAGATGAAATCTCTTTACATTAATAATTTAGAATAAATTAAGTTTTACTCGAAAAAAATTACTATTCTTGTTTCGAAATAATTTTTTTCTTTAGGAAAGAAAATTAGAAAAATTTAAAAAATAAAATAATTTCTATTCCCCATATAAATTTTATTGTTTATTCCAAATAAAAAAAGTAATTTTTAGCGCCAGGTTCATTTTAAATAAATTTTTTTTTATCGAAATGAAAGTTTACTAAGAAAAAGACTACTATTTCTGTTTCGAAATATTTTATTCCAGATGTAGAAAAAAAATTTCTATTCCATGAATGTTTTGTTTATTCTAAATGAACAAAGTAACTTTTAACGCCAGGTTCGTTTTAAATAAAAATTTTTTTTTGTTCGAAATGAATGTTTAATTTAAGAAAAAGATTTCTCTTTCGAAATAATTTTTTCCAGATTTATTAAAATTTAGAAAAGGAAAACATTTTCCTTTCCCCATGTATATGTTGTTTATTCTAAAGGAAGAAAAATAAAATTATTGTTGTTTATTTTTATAATATAACGATGAAATTTGAAAGGGGTTGGAGCAGCGTGACTGTTGAGATAGGATATATATGGAAACGGTCTGAATTGAGTCAATGGATTATCTCAGTTCAGTCGAGTGCTTCAAGAACTTATATACATTCGAATTGATTTGTGTAGTCAGGACCATGTGCCAGTATTTTTTTTTTGGAAAAAAATTTTTTTTTTATATGGACATTTCAGAGTGAAATATATAAGAGCTTATAAAGAGAAAAGAGGGGGGCAAATCAATCAACAATCAAATACTTTTTTTTAAAAAAGTTAAAAACAATGTTGTTGGAAATTTTTGGTAAAATAAACTTTGGAAGATCGATTTGACTTGTCGATTAAAAAAAAATGCCTGATATTATAATGACCCTTTAATAAAAAGATGGATGTGAAAGCTTTTCACTTTTATAAATGTCACATTGATTTGTTTATATATATACTTTAAACTGAGGTTCGTTTTTTTTATTAAAATAAATATTTTTTTATTATCTTTATCCCTGACCTTAATTGACACTAAGTGAATTCAGAAAAAAACAAATTCAATTTACCCCGGAATAATTTTTTTACAATAGTTTTGTCAACTATTTTTAATTTAAATTTAAATTTTACTTTTTACATTTATTAATAAATACTGCTGTCTATTTTTATTTATGTAAATTAATGAATTTTTATTTAAATAAATAAATTTTTACTTTATTAAATAAACTTTTACTTTATTAAATAAATTTTTATAATTAAAAAATTTTTTTAACGAAACAAGTAAAACAAAAAGAAAAGGAGAGGGAAATAACTGAATTGGAAATTGGTAGGCAATTTCCTGGAGTCTAATTCCCGAGTGTATGGGGTTGCTCCCTCTCTCTCTCTCTCTCTAGTTGTCATGTAAATTTGCGAGAAGGTCCAGTCAGTACGGTGGTTAAAGGAAAAGGGGGACGGTTTTCGTGGAAAGGGCAATCTCAGTGGAGAAATTCTGATCCTACGAACGTGCCCGGCATTAGCGACATAGTGTTCTGCTTTTCCCGAGGACTAACCGCTGCACGTTTCCTTCGGGGAAAATCCCGATATAAAGTGCTCTGTCTCGTACTTGGACAATTCTCCACGTGATCAAGTTCTTACCTCTTTCTTTTTTTTCTTCTTCTTTTTCTTTTCCCTCTCATACAATCGTTTTCTTCTTTTTTTTCCCTCCCAAGTTGGGAAAAATTCTCAATAAATAGCAATTCGTATATTACTCCTCTTCACAGATCGAGTTTTCCAACGAAACGGATAAGTTCTCTCTTTAATGTCCATTGAATCGAATCGAGATTCAATTTCTTGTTGGTTATATTTATAGGAGAGAAAGAGGGAATTTCCAAATAGATAAAAATAATTATTTAAAAAAAAATACTTTTTTTTGTATAAATGGGGAATTAAAAATTTAGTAACTGAGAAAAATAAATAATTAATAAATAATAATATATAATAATTAATAAACAATAATTATTCTGAATTCTTTCTAGAGGCGCTTTTATTGCAATAGTTTACTTCTCTAATGTTTCTAGAGAGAGCGATGCTGATGAACTGAGGAGTTGAACGATGGGGACTCCTTTTATATGTTCCAAGGCAAGGAGAAGGGGACGCCCAATCAAAATCGAAGAAATTCGTGCGCTCTCAGTGGGGAGAGAACGCGCCGTGAGAGCGAGAAGGAAAGAAGATACTCCTGTTCCCCCTCTCCTACATTTTAAAAATATTTTTTCTAAGAACTAAGCGCGTAGTACACTATTATTAAATACCTGAACGCTACCAAACGAGGAGCGTCACTGTAATTCAAAACAAAAACTCATTGTGTGAATTCCACAAAACCATTCTCGGCTCTTCCTGTGGTATAGCAGACTAAAACTAAATTAATTATAACAACAATTTTGAATAAAAATTACTCTGATTACCACTGATATTAACATTTTTAATGCCTTCAAAACTTTTACACATTTATATAAAAAAAAGTTTCTATTTTTCTACAAATAATGCCGTGACAAGATTATTCGAATTTTAGTGGTTAAATGACGTCGTTGTTTAAAGCTGGAAAAGTTACATCTTTGAACCTATCGTCGATTTAATCCCGTTTTGAGATACTTTGCCTCACGTGCTGTTCTTACTAATTAAAACACAACTTGAAACTTGAGATTGCAAATGTAACGAAGAAAGTTTAATTAGACAATTGTTTAATTTTTTTTTCTAATCCATAGGAAATTGACAAAAAAAAATTTTTTTATTTTAAGTTGGTTTAAAAATTGAATTTTTAAAAATTAATTAAAAAATTATTTACAAATGAAATAAAATGAAAGAGCATAAACATAAAATTAGAATAAAATTGAGTGGAAAAAATCTTTCTCTCAAATTATTGTTTCGTTAATTGAGAAAAGGATATATAATTTCATAATATCATCGCTGACATATTGTGGATTGAATTTTGAAAATTGACACGCAATACGGGACAGCACTGATGCCCAATTGTGTTTCGCGAATAGAAATCAAATTACCAGTGAAACTCGTGTCACCAACAACTCGCTCCTCGTATTTTCCATACTCACAAGGCTAAATCTTGAATTGTCAATTCTCGTTCTATAATTAATATTCGCTATATGAATAAGTTTATTAACTTTCCCCAAGTAAAATACATCCCAGAGTTTTCATTTCATTAAAAACTATATAACATTTCAATTTTTAAACTAAATGACAATGCACTATTTTTGAAAATATTAAACAAATTTTATTGAACTATTAAGAAAATAATTATTTAAATATTAATAGTATCTTATTCTTTTTATTATTTTAAGTGAAAAGTAAATTAAAAAATTAAATATCTTTTCTTACATTAATTAAAATAAAGCATTTTTTAAATAAAAATTTTTACATTTAATAATGTTTAACATTGAAAAATTTTTAATTTTCTTATTACATATTTTTATTCTCTTGTATTTTTCAAAATTCTTTGTGTAATACGTTAAAAAATTTTATGAACTTGATAAAAAGTTTATAATTTTTAAACAATAAATTTTTGTAGAAAAAAATAATTTTTAAACAAAAAAATAATTGTATGAAAAATAATTTTCAAAAGATAAATAATATTTTAAATTACATTATTCTATTTTTTGAAAAACAATTTTTATAAGAAAATTAATTTTTAAATTTCCAGTGTATAGTTTTGAAAAATAAAAAAATTTAAGTAATACATTTTTGGTGGAAAAAAATTATTTTTAACAAATATATTTTTTAATCTACTTTTAGGAACTTATTGCTTTTATCATTTTCCCCGATTTATTATTTTTGTTACAACTGAAAAAAAATATTCTTTTCGCCAATAAAATCGATGTACATGTAGGCTTCTTATTCGCCTATTACTCATTTAATTTAATGTCACAAAAATATTGAAATAATGTTTCAATTTTAAAATACGTGGCTTTACAGTTTGTGAAAATACTTGATACAATAAATTGTTTCGGTTTTTTTTTAAACGATAGAAATGCGTCTTCTCTGGTTATGGTCAGTATTAATAAAGGCATTTAAAAAATAAATGAAAATTGACAAGTGCGAGTTGCACTCGCTCTGAAATAACGGGTTCCGTTCAAGCAGTATTAAAATTATTTGATATATACAAAAAAAATTTTTTTTAAAAGAAAGGAAAAAAAATTTTGCTTTCAAAAATTTTCATAATTACATTTTTTTGTGATCAGCCTGTAAAAATACACTAGTATACCAATTTTTAGCTTATTAAGACAAATAATGTAGAAGTTAGGGGTAAAAAAGGTTTTTTCTAAAATTTTTTAGTTTTTCCTTGACAACGCTTTGGCCAAAAAAGAGTATTACAGACAGTATTTTGTGGAATAATTTTCTTAAATTTTTTTTCAGTTCGCTTCTATTACCACTTTTACTAGGAGGTGGAATAGGCTCTTACTTTCTAATTTTTAATGGGTCAGAAAATAATGTTAATGAATCGTCTCCATCACCACCATCACTACCAACAACATCAATAAATCCAAATAATCCAGAAAAAACTAATGAAGATACCTACGGTGAGTATAATTAAACATTAAACACTGTTCTTGGTTTCAGTTTTATTTTAATTCTTTTGCACCTTTGATTGGATATATACAACATCCACGGAACTTTTAATTGAACATTTTTATTTGCAGCTCAAAGCAAAAAAATCAATTTTAATTTAGAGACAGCACTAATTGTGTCTAATATTACTGATACAACCGTCCAATTAAACTGGATTAAACCGAGAAGATATTATGATAAAATAGAATACAGATTCTATATATACGACCAAGAGGGATATGAAAAATCATATCAATTTCAAGATTTTCCTATACAAATTGTCCAAAACCTCCAGCCAGGGACACGATACAAATTTTATATTACATATGCATCGGACACTTTAAAGTTTGAAAGTGAAGGGATCGTAACCAAAACTGCAAGAGGTAAATACAATAAATGTAACTAATAAATTGCTAGAACATTTAGATGTCCCCAACTGGGGATTTTATTCTGAACTCAGAGCTGTTCTTAACATTCCGTTAATGTCTCTACATTTTCTATTCGCCGACTAACTTTTTTTATTTAAAATAATTAATGGCTTAATTAACTGCGCTGAACTTTTGAGTTTGTTTGATTTTCATATACCGAAAAGATTCTCACGACACCTCACTCTGTTTAAAATGCCTTTAATCAGAAATGAATATCTTGACAATTCTGTAATTAATAGACTAAGTAGTCAAGCGAATTTGTACGAATGGGATTTCAACCCGTAAACTATTTAAATAAATTATTAGTTTATTATTAGTTTATTTCTTAATTTGGAAAATAGAAATACATTTCTTTCTGCTTAAAGAATTTTCTTGATACTAATGGCGTAACCTCTTTGAGAGTAAACATTAATCTATACTAGTGGTTCACAACATGTTGTTAAGCTACATGTTTTTTCTGATTAGAAAATATTCAATGTAATTTGCAGGTAAACCTGATCCCCCTTTAGACCTGAAGGTATCAAAAATGAAGTACGTAAGAAGCATGATAATCGAATGGAGAAGACCACTGGGAAGTGAGATCATCACAGGATATAATCTTCATATTGCTAAAAATGGGTCAGGTCCAGTACAAGATACGCAAGTTTTTGACACTTCAGATTATCCAAAATATATATACTACTTTGAAGAAAGCAGTGAGTTTGATATAAGAGTCGCATCATTTAATAGCAAAGGGAGTTCTTCGATAGCTACTAAGCATTTTAGATCTAAACCTATAGAAGGTAAGATGAAAATCAACAATTCATTATAATCTTTATTTTAAAAAAACCGTTATATTATTTTTAATGTTTACTTTAAGTAACTAAAAATGATAATAATTGCAGATTGGAACGCCTTTCCTACTTCAGTCTAAACATCAAAAATTGCGGATACATTCGTCCAATTAAATTGGGAAACACCAGAAAATGCTGTCGCCTCGAATTATAAGATAATATCATATAAAAATGGAGTTCAGCAAATATTTTATAATATATTATATTCACCATCGGATCTAGTTGTTGGACTTTCTCCGGGAGAAATATATAAGTTTTACTTATATCCTTCAAATAGCAAAAATGACTATCAGAAGTCTCCTGTTCTTAAAGAAATAAAAACTTTAAATCCATCAGGTAGAAATTTTTTTTAAAATGAATTCCAAATTGTGTAAGAAGATAAATATATAATTATAATTTAATTTTCTATTATGCTTAAATACGAATTTAAATATTCTATTTAATTCTTTGAGATTGCACTTTTAATTTATTTATAAAAAAGAATTTCATACTGGATAAAAGCAATATTTTCTAATTCTTTACTTTATTTTCTAGACAAACCTGAAAACTTACCTGGAACACTCAAAGTGTTTGTTATTAACACATCAGCGCAACTAATGTGGCAAAGACCTTCATCAGGTGTAATCACAGGCTATGTTATCACGACATTTAACGCAATTGACTTGAGATTCGTATATTTACATCACATTTATGATTATGATGCTTCATTGTCTCTTACATTCAATGTTCCTGAACTAAACCCAGGATATTCATACGTATTTCAAGTTACCGCTTTTAATTCCAAAGGCTTCTCCGACAGTCTTCAAAGTGGCAAAGTCAGTATTCAGTAGAGATTTCTTTACTAATTAAATCAAAACTAATCAATTTGTGGAAAATCTACAAACCTGATTTCGTTTAATGAAATGTCTCAGTTCTTTTATGAACTGATAAAATAAGAAAAATAATATATATCTAGCGTGACGTATAAATAAAAACCATAAAAAAGTTGTATTTAGAGTTACCAATAAATAAATAAGTGTAAACAAATTAAAATTCATTTCCTTTCTTTATCAGATTCTCTTCTCTCTTATTCTAAAGGAATATATAAAGGAAGAAACATAACTTTTAGTGCCAGATTCTTTTAATATAATTTTTTTCCTTGCTTGAAAATTCTACAATAATTTTGGCATTCTTTATTTTTGAATAATTGCATGTTGAATTCTCGTATCCTGCTACGTAGGAAGAGTTAGTAAATTATGTATTATTAGTTATTCTTTTTATACATTTAGTATTTATTAAAGTAATTTTTATTTAATTTATTGCTTTATTCTTGATTTAGAAAATATTTTACGTTTTGCTAGTGAAGAATGTAGTTTAAATTTCCAAAGATTATTTTCTTCGTACAAGTGGTATTTTATTATATATGTATTTTTTCTCTTTCATTTTTCATAATTCTTTGTCTCATACGTGAAAATTTTCATGCACTTGATAAAACAAAGAGCGAAAACACGCGTGTCAGATTATTTCACAATCTTTATTGTTTCAGAAAATTTGTATCATAAAACTACAATATGACCAAATTTTTTTTATTTTCTCCACAACTTTTGACAAAAGTCCTATTGCTTTTATCAATTTTCCCGATTTATTATTTTTGTTTTAACTGCAAAAAAATATTCCTTTAGCCAATCAAATTTGTTGTACATGTTTGTTTCCTATTGGCCTATTGCTCATTTAATTCAATGTCACAGAAATGTTGAGAAATAGAAAAATATTTAGAGAAAAATACAGTTTCAATTTTAAAATACGTGGCTTTACAGTTTGTGAAAATACTTGATACAATAAATTGTTTCGGTTTTTTTTTAAACGATAGAAATGCGTCCTCTCTGGTTATGGTAAGTATTGATGAAGAGGTTTAAAAAATAATAAACTATAGTATCAGAGGCAGTATTTTGTGGAATATTAAAAGAATTCATTTTCCTAAAATTTTTGCAGTTTGCTTCTATTACCACTTTTACTGGGAAGTGGAATAGGCTTTTACTTTTTAATTTTTAAATCTCCATCAACTTCTACAGATGGTTCGAAAAATAATGTTGATCCATTGTTTATTGTAAAAGAAAACGTTGAATCACAATCTTCGCAACAACTTTCTTCTGCTCATCCACCATCACCAATACAACAATCACCACCAATAACATCAACACCATTACCAACAACAACATCAACAACACCAACAACAACATCAATAACACCATCACCAACTACACCAACAACACCAATACCATCACCAACTACACCAACAACAACATCAACAACACCATCACCAACTACAACAACAACACCATCACCAACAACACCAACACCATCACCAACTACACCAACACCATTACCAACTACACCAACAACATCAACAACACCATCACCAACTACAACAAAAACACCATCACCAACAACACCAACACCATCACCAACTACACCAACACCATCACCAACTACACCAACAACAACAACAACTCCAAAGCCTCAATATGAAAATATCGTCAGTGAGTATAAACTGTTCTGGATATCTGTTTTCTTCCAATTCTCCTGCGCATTTGATTTGATATACAACATCCGTAAAAATTTCAATTTAACTTTTTCATTTGCAGTTAAAATCAATAAAATCGATTTTAATATAGAAAAAACACTAATTGTGTCTAATATTACTGATACAACCGTCCAATTAAAGTGGAGCAAACCGAGAATGTCATACGGTAATGTAGAATACATTATCACAGGGCATGGAAAAAATGAAATTGTGAAATCATTTCAAGACTTTCCGGAACATATTGTCAAAGACCTCCAGCCAGGGGAACGATACACATTTCGGGTTACAGCTTCAGGGATCGATTTTAATGTTGAAAGTAAACAAATCGTAACCAAAACTGCAATAGGTAAATATACAATAAATAAAACTAGGGTAAACGTACCAATTGTCGAGGATGGTTCCTGTTGTCGAGTAAACAAACTTTGAATTTTATTTAAACAGTGTAGCACATTGTAAATTAAAAAAAGTAATAAATTTAAATTTTTTATGCGTTATAAATGTGAAAAAAATATATTAATATTATATAAACAAACAAATGAGACATTTTAGACAATATTTTTTGGTTATTACCATGGTAACATCGACAAATGGAACACCCTCGGCAATTGGTACACTTACCCTAATAAATTACCAGAACAAACGAATGCTCATCTTTTTGCCTTTTCAGGAAACATGGTTAAATCCTTTCCACAAGAATCAATTTTTAAATGTCCCGAATATTCTCTTGACAAAATTTTTTTGACATTAACATTGTACTACACGGAGAGACCGAGATTACTAATTTTTGTATAAAATATCCGACAAATGTTCACCAAATTAGCAAAGTTTCTTACTATTTCGTCCAATAGTTCCAAACAACTGTAGTAAACTCAGAAGTATTGTGTACATAAAATTACTATATAGTCGTTTGCAAATGCAGAAAGAAAGAGTGAAAGAATACGGATTCTTGTCGCCGGTTTCCCGTCAATGAAATTTTCAAAAATTTTAATTTTTGAACCCTTTTCAAAATTCACTTATTTATAAAAATTCACGCTATGATGCTTTTAATATTCAATTATAATTTCAAATTTTAAGTGAAATTCATTTTTAATCAATTTTTATTAGAAAATTTTTCGAGAATTCAATTATTTAAATGCAAAGATAAATAATGTATTAATTGAATATTTCTTAAAATTAAATTTTTTTAAAGAAATTTATAAAAAATTCTAAAAATAATTGAATTCTTTCGGCGAATTTTAAAAAAAATTATAAAGAATAAATGCAATTTACAGTTTATGTAAAATTGTACATAAAAAATAATTGAAACTCTCCTATAAATATTGTTATTTATAAAATTAATTTAATTCTTGCAACGAATTTTATTTAAAAAAATTTTTAAAGAATTGAATTCCTCTGAAGAATATTTTATAATTGTGAAAATAATTGAATTCCGGAGAAAAATATTATTATTTACGAAAATAATTAATTTCTTGTGAAGAATTTTATTTAAATTTTTTAAATAATTGAATTTCTCAGAATTTTTTATAACATTTTGAAAATAATTAAATTTCATCGACAAAATTTCATTAAAAAATTGAAAATAATTGAAATCTGACGAAGAATTTTATTACATTTTTTTTTAAAAAATAATTCTTGTGAATTCTTGTGAAAAGTTTTATTTTTGAAAAAAATTGAATTCTTGGGAAGAATTTAATTAAAATTTCTTTAATAATTGAATTGGTTCGAATCTTGTATTTTTTAAAAAAATAATTGAATTGTTTTGAAGATTTTTAACAAACATTTTTGACAGTAAAATTGTAATTCCTATAAGGAATATTATATTTTACGAAAATAATTGTATTCTACAGTCGATTTTATTATAATTTTTCAAATTTATAAAGCATTTTATCAAAATTTTTAAAATAATTGAATTTTTCAGAAAAATATTATTATTTATGAAAATAATTGATTTCTTACGAAGAATTTTATTCAAATTTTTTTAAATAATAGAATTTTTAAAAGAATTTTATTTAAATTTTTGCGAAATAATTAAATTTCTCAGAACTATTTTTTCCTATTTGAATATATTTGAATTCTTTCGATATAAACTTCATTGAAAAATTAAAAATAATTGAATTGGTGCGAAGAAAATAAAAAAATTGGAAAGTAATTGAATTCCTGTGAAATTTTTATTAAAATTGCGTTTAAATAATTGAATTCTTTTGGAAAATTTTATTAAAATAGTAGATATTTAACATAATTGAAATGAGGAAATTTTTTTTAAAATAATTGAATTTCTGTAATCAGTTGTTCTTAAAATTTCTATTTAAATTCATTAAAAATTGAAATTTTTAAAAATTTCATATTTGAAGCCTTTGAAGTTCATCTATTTATGCAGATTTTTAAAGCAACTCTTTTGAAATCTAATTAATTTTTTAAAATTTTGAAGTAAAATTATTCATTAAATAATTTCTAAGTAATAATTTTATGATAGTTCTTGAAGAATTGAGTTATTTAAAAAGAAATTATTGTCAGAAACAGAAAAAATTGAAAGTTTTGTATTAAAATTCTTGTCAATTTCATAGTTTGTGAGGCAAACAAAAAAGACACACAAATTCAGAATTTTCTTATCAATTCTAAAACTTAAATTTTTTCCAGTACCTTTAATAAAAATCCCTGACTTTTACCTGATTTCCCTGACTTGTGGCAACCCTGAATAGACACCTAACAGAAAACTAGAAATCTGTGGATGTCGAAACGTTGGAGTAATATTAAACGAATCTTTGTCGGAATGTCTTTGTTTTTCTTTCTTATTAGTATTTTGAGCCTAGTGGGGTTAGTAAAACATTATGTTACGCTACGTATTCTTCAGATTAGAAAATATTCAATGTAATTTGCAGGTAAACCTGGTCCCCCTACAGACCTGAAGGTATCAAAAATGAAGTACGTAAGAAGCATGATAATCGAATGGAGAAGACCACTGGGAAGTGAGATCATCACAGGATATAATCTTCATATTGCTAAAAATGGGTCAGGTGCAGTACAAGATACGCAAGTTTTTGACACTTCAGATTATCCAAAATATATATACTACTTTGAAGAAAGCAGTGAGTTTGACATAACAGTCACATCATTCAATACGCAAGGAACCTCTTCGAGTACTACAGTACAGTTTACATCTGACCCTATAAATAGTAAGACTGAAAAACAATATACAATAGATCAGTAAATTTTCCCCATTCACTGCATTGAAATTAAACTAGAGCTAAAGAATTGAATGTTATTTATCAATTATTTCAACCAAAGGATAGATATTGCTTTAATATTAAAATTAAAATTTATAATTGCAGATGGGAATGCCTATCCTAATTCATTAAAAGTATCAAAAATTAAGGATACAACTGTCTATTTAAATTGGGGAACATTAGATAATGTTGACGCATCGGGATATGTAATAGCGGCCACCAAAAGTGCCGATGAAAATCCTACAGTAGAAGATTTTTATAATATATTATATTCACCATTACTTCCAGTTGTTGGACTTACTCCAGGAATGGAATATAGTTTTCAGTTATATCCCTTAAATACAACGGATGAAAGCCATGAGATTCATACTGATAAAAAAATAAGAACTAAATGGCCATTAGGTAAAAAATATTTTTTTTTGAATTCCAGATTATTCAACAACTTCTTAAGGAAATTGAATTAATTATGAATTTAAATTTTGTATTAAATATTTTGAAATTACACTTAATTTATTTATTAAAGACAAATGGAGATAATTTCATACTGGATAAAAGCGAAACATTTTCTAATCCTCTACTTTATTTTCTAGGCAAACCTAACAATCTAGGAGGAACACTTACAGTGTCTGTTATTGAGAATTCAGCGAAACTAACGTGGAAAAATTCTCCATTAGATGTAATCACAGGCTATGTTATCACGACATTTAACGCAAATGACTTGAGTTTGGTATATTTTCATCACATTTATGATACACCAGTCTCCGTTAAATTCAATGTTCCTGAACTAAAATCGGGAAATTCATATGCATTTCAAGTTACCGCTTTTAATTGCTTAGGCTTCTCCGACAGTCTTCAAAGTAATGTAGTCAGAATTAAGTAGAAAATTCTTTTCTTAACTAAATCAAAACTAATCAATTTGTGAAAAATCTACAAACCTGATTTCGTTTAATTAAATGTCTCAGTTCTTTTAGAAACTGATAAAATAAGAAAAATAATATATCTAGTGATAAAATTATCACTAGTGATAAAAATAATTTATCTACTGATAAAATAAAACAAATAATATATCTACTGTGACGTATAAATAAAAACCATAAAAAAATTGTATTTACAGTTAACAATAATAAATTAATGTAAAAACATATTGAAATTCATTTCCTTTCTTTATCAGATCCTCATCTAGAGTATAAAAAATTATTTTTTTTCCAAAACTAATGTAAAACAAAAATGCTTTTTTTTACGAAAAATAATTGAAATTAAGATGTTGAAAAATTTCAAATTCAAACCTTTTTAAATTGAACAACTCGTAAGAATATTATTATAAAACATAAAGATGATCGAGTGACAAAATCATTATTTTACATTATAAAAATATTATTACTCCAACTACTTCAAAATTATTTTCAACATTTCAGTTCAATTAACATTTTTTAGTTTTTTTTTAAACTAAAATTCTTCTTTAAATCAATTATTTATAAGTTTTTGAAAAAGTTATATTTGAGGATTTTCAAATCCATCTGTTCACAATTCAATTTTACGAAATTTCGATTAATTGAAAATTCTTCAGATGATTATATTAGAAAATAAAAACTTGAAATAATTTAAAAGAAATTTAATTAAACATTTTCAAGAAAATTAATTCTACAGAATTATTATTTAAAAGTACGAAAAATTCAGATTTTCAAGAATTTAGATATGAAATCTATTCAAAAATTCAATTATTTTTTAAACTGCATGAATTTAATATTCAATTATTATCTGAAATTTTAATCCAAATTCATTTTTAAATCAATTTTTAATACAAAAATTAAATTAAATTCTATGAGAATTCTACGAGAATTTTATTAAAATTTCTTAAAATAATTGATTTTATGGGGAAAATTTTCTTATATTGATTAAAATAATTTAATTCTTTTGCAGAATTTCTTAAAAATTTTGGAAAAAAATTGATTTTCTGTGACGAATTAAATTGAAAGAAAAATTGAATTCTTTCGAGAAGATTTAATAAAATTTTTAAGAATAATTGCATTTTTCAAGGAATTTATTTAAAATTGTATTAAAAATATTTGAAATTCTTCGATGAAAATAATTGAATTCCTAAATGAAATTTGATTATTTATGAAAATAATTGTTTTCGTAGAGAATTTTATCAAATTTTTTTTTTCAATAATTACATTTTTTGATAAATTTTATGAAAAATATTTATGAAAATATTTAAAATCATTCAATTACGAAAAGCTTTTGAAAATAATTGATATTTTGCAAAGAGAATTTTATTGAAATTTTTGAAAATAATTGAATTTTTGGCAAAAAATTTGGCTATTTATAAAGATAATTGAATTCTTGACGAGATATTCGTTAAAAATTTTTTTTAAATAATTAAATTTCCTCGAAGAATTTTATAACTTTTGAAAATCATTGAATTCTTGTGATAAATATTTTCATTTATGAAAATAATTGAATTTTGGCAAGAATTTTTTTTTTAATTTATAAAAATAATTGAATTTTTGTAAAGATTTTTTGTTATTTATCAAGATAAACGCGTTAAAACTTTTGAAATCATTAAATAATATTAAAAAATTCATTCTTGTCAGAAGTACAAATACAAATTTACCATGGATGTTATTTTTATTACATTTTTGTTAATAAATTTTATAATTTGTTACTACAATTTTTGTTATTTATAATTATAATTTGTTTATGTTATTTGTTAATTATTTATAGTTATTACCATTGCTAAAGTTGTTATTACAATTCTATTATTAAAAGTTACAATTTACTATTATAACTTGTTATTACAATTCTGTTATTATTTGTTACAATTTATTATTATTTTGTTATTATAATTCCATTATTAATAATTGCTTGTTATTGTCTGTTATTATAATTTGTTATTAATGATTACATTTTATTATACGACTAAACTATTTGCAGTCAATAATATGTAAATAATTATTTTTTGTTAACTTTATTATTATTACTACTATTATTATTAATTATTATTTTACATATTATTATTATTATTATTATTATTATTATTATTATTATTATTATTATTATTATTATTATTATTATTATTATTATTATTATTATTATTATTATTATTATTATTATTATTATTATTATTATTATTGACATTGTTATTATTTTTAATTCTTATAGTTAATTTTAATTATTATTTACCATTCATAATTTTATATTATTGTCATTATCATTATTATTACCTACATATTATTATTAGTTATTGAAAATATATTACGATGAAGTACCTACATTATAAAATTTTTTAAAAATGAATTTTTTTTAAACTACAGACACAATATACAATGTAGAAATATGCAATGATAAAAGTGTAACGATATCAATATGAGAATGATATTCAGTGCACTCTTAATTCTTAAACAAGATGGATCGTTGGAATAATAAATTTGCCATTGTAACTGGAGCAAGTTCTGGAATTGGTCTTGAATTAGTAAAGGCATTGGTGAAAAATAATGTAAATGTTTTTGGATTAGCGAGGAGAATGGAAAAAATGGAAAAATTGAAAATTAATCTCAAAAATGAGAGAGGTGAATTTTATCCAATAAAATGTGATCTCAGTAATGAGGGCGATATTCTCACAGCATTTCGGTGGATTGAGGAAAATTTTAAAACGATTGATATTCTCGTTAATAATGCTGGTATCACTACATCTGAATTTCTCATTGGTACAAAAAAATTAATTTTATAATTTATTTAATTAATTAAATTAATTTAATTTATAATTGTGTGCATTACCTTTTTTTAAAATATATTTTAACTCTATTTACATACTATTCATATTTTTTTATTTTTATATTGAAGTTAACATTTAGTGTTTCTTTCACTTTCATTTGTGGCCTTCTTTCTTTTTTTAATAATATTTGATGAGATGATAATATCAACTACTTATCACTATCACTTTTATTTACACATACAATTATTATTCAATTAAATTAACATTATAAATTATTATTGGTATTAAATTATTACTTGAATTATTTTAAATTTTTAGAGAAATATTAGAAATAAATGATCAGAATAACAAAAAATTTTTTAACTTATTTTTTATTATTCTTTTATACTAAAATAATGAGAGTAGAATTATAATAAATTTGAAAAAATGAAATCCGAAAATAATTATAAATCCACTTAATTGTTTTCTCATTTTGCAGACAGTACAGCAGAAAATTTGAAAAATATTTTAGATGTCAATTTAATTGCCCCTATTATCTGTACCAGGGAAGCTGTGAGAATAATGAGGGCAAATAACATTGACGGACATATTATTTATATCAATAGGTAATTTTTCTATTTTTTAATCATATGCATGCTTTTGAAAAATAAAATTCTTTTTAGTATTTATCATTATTAATTATTATATATTTTTGTAATATTAATTTAGGAATAATTAATTATTAAAAATTTCAATTTAATTCTTTGTTTTCCTCCAGTATGTCAGGTCATAGAGTTCCATTTTGGAATAATACAACATTTAATATTTATAGTCCAAGTAAATTTGCTCTTAAGCAAATGAGTGAACTTACTGAAATGAAATTAAAAGAAGCGAAAAATTGTACAAAAGTTACAGTAAGATTTTTTAATTTAAATAAATTTAAAAAGAAAATTTCAGTTTAATTGAATTACAAAAATTTTTTAATTACTTCTTTATTTTTAATAAATTGTTAATATTTTTTTTTGCAAAGACAATTTTTCCGGGACTGGTAAAAACTGAAATGCCACCTGATGATTTGTTTGGACAAACATCTTTCATTGATCCTGAGGATATTTGCAATGCCATTATTTATGCTTTAAAAACTCCACCTCATGTTCAGGTAATTATATTTTTTTTATTTTGTAATAATTGTTGATAAAAATTAATAAAAATTGTTTTCTTTTATAAAAACATAATTAGAATTATAATAAAATTAAATTAAACAATTAGAATTATAATTATAAAATTAAAAACAGAATTAGAATTGTAATTGAAAAATTAAAAATTGAATTAGAATTGTAATTGAAAAATTAAAAATTGAATTAGAATTGTAATTGAAAAATTAAATTAGAATTATATGATTGAAAAATTATAATTAGATTTAAAATTAAAAAATTAAAACTATAAAATTTTTATTTTTTTAATAAATAATTATTATTAGGTATAGTTACACAAATTTTTACAATCTAAAAAAAAATGTTTAGAGTTAAAAATCGTATTTTTTTACAGATAAAAGAATTAACAATCACTCCACTTGCTGGTTACGAGCGAAAATAAAATAAATAATGAAAAAGGCGAAATACGATAAAAATACGAAAATAAAATATTCAAAATACAAGAAAAGAGAAGGTAAAAATAGTTAATTAATTATTTAAATAAAGAAATGTAATCAATAAATATCTAGTTGATAAAAAATTTATATAATAAAGATATTAAAACATAGTAAAGAGTATTTAAAAATATACTTGAATAAGTCTATACGGGTCATTACAGGTGAAATTTTCATTTTAAAAAATCACAAACTTCACAAAATTTGATAAGAAAATATGTATTTTCTTTGAATTTTAAAAATTTGTTTTTCAATTATGTATTTTTTTATTTTTCATAAATAATTTGAAGAAAATTTTTCCAAACACAAGTTCAAAGAAAAAAAAATTTTTTTTGATGAAAATTTCACCTGGAATGCTCCAAAAATATATTTTTGCAATAATGTAGTTGCCTTTGTATATTTAAAATAAAAATTTACATAAATGTAATAATAATTAATTTCAATCTATTTCAATGATGGAACGATATTAGTTACAATGTGACAAAATAACTGTCGACTCACACTCATTACATCATTATTGTAGGAAATAGGGAGATAAATGGTTTTTGCAAATCATCGCAAGTATCAAGGTTATTGATAATTAAAAATATACCATACTATGTATTTTCCACTTAAAAATAAGATTTTATTTAAAAAAAATACATTTTCAAATCACGATATTAAAATCACTATTTACGATTTTAATACTAAAATATTCAAAAAAAATTTTTTTTATTTATTTTCGTTGACAGCCCGGAACTGGAGTAATTGTAAGTTCCTTTATCTGAAAAAATATAATTTTCTTTGTTTATTTATTAAATAATTAAATAGCACGGCAAGCTTGCTGCAAGATTACTTACCATTTGGGATAAATTAAAAATTCATTTTAATTAATCAGACTTAATGAATAAATAAAAAATAATTTGTATATTTTTAGATTTTTTATAATATTTTGTTATAAAATGCATTTTAATAAAAAAAGAAAAAAATAATAATAATAATAAAATAATTTAATAATATAAAAAATTATTTGCCTACAAATTTTAAATTAATTCACCTGAACATGTGGTGGTGTGGACAGAGCATAAATAATTGCATCGCTAATATCTTCAGCATCAACGTAGGGCATCGTTTGAAGTGCTGCATCTGGTGGCATTTCCGTTTTCACCATTCCAGGGAAAATTGTCTTACAAAAAAAAATAGAGAGAACCAAAAGAATTAACAAAGTTTCGAATAAAATTTGTCTTTTCAAATTTTTTTTATTTTTGAAAATAACTTTTAAAAAATACATAAACTTACAGTGACTTTTGTTGGACTTTTTACGTATTCAAGTTCTAATTCAACAACTTGGCTCATAGCTTTTAAAGCGTATTTACTTGGACTGTACAAATTCGCTGCTGTAGTACCGTAAAATGAAACATTTTGCCCCAAAATACTGAAAATATTTTTCATAATATTAATTTATTTTTATTTAAAATTAATTTTAATTAATTGAAACAAAATGAACTTAATATTCATTTTCAATGTGTAATTATTTAAAAAAAAAATTACCTGTCAATGTTAATAATATGACCGGCTGTATTATTTGCTCTCATTATTTTTACAGCCTCTCTAGTACAGAATGTAGGTCCCATTAAATTTACATCAATAATATTTTTCAAAACTTCGGTTGAACTTTCTAAAAATAATACAAATTTAAAAAAATTTTTATTTATATTTTTTATTTTTTATTTAAAATTTTTAAAATACAATTATTATTTTTTAATTTAAGTAAATTATTAATTAAGTAAATTATTTATTCACTCTTTATTATTTTACCCTATTTAGATATTTTAATATTTTTGTGTATTCAAATCTCTGTTAAAAGCCATAGCGAAAAAATCTTATTACCAACAGGAATCGAACCCTAGACTCTGTAAACACGAGTCTATGACGCTAACCACTAGACCACGAAGCGATAATGTTCGAAATTAATTAAAAAAAAAAAAAACACGAGAAAAAGTGTGTAAAAATTATATTTTTTCGTTTATAAAATTAAATATTAATTGTTTTTCTTCAATATAATGTAAAAAAATTTGCATTTTCTATTTTATTTTGTACAATTAAAGGAAGTAATAAACAAAAAATATTTTTTTTACCAATTGTTAAGCCAAAATCAAAAACTCCAGCATTATTAACAAGAATATCGACGGTTTTAAAATTTTTTTTAATCCATTGAAATGCTTTAATTATATCCTCCTCTTTACTGACATCACACTTTATCGGATGAAATGAACCTTTTTCATTTTTCATGTCATTTTTAATTTTTTCCATTTTTTCAATTCTTCTCGCCAATCCAATGACGTTGACATTTTTTTTAACCAATGTTTTCACTAAATCTTCACCAATTCCAGAACTGGCACCAGTCACAACTGCAACTTTATTATTCCAACGATCCATCTTGTTTGACTGCAAAAATTTAATCTGCGACCGTCTGCAACTACTTATCTCATTCAGAAGACTAGTATAAGAGAGTTTACAGATGTAATGTTTTTTTTTTGTAGAGGGGGGTCTCTACTAAACGTTACACAATGTATTTTTCTCATGTGAAATTGCATGACAGGGGGGGGGTCACAAAATTAAAAAAATTGCGTGGCATCATTTATGAAAGCTCAAATATTTATATATAAATTTATTTGATAAAATAAAAACCGTAATATAAATGTAAATAAATATTTATCAAAAAAATAATAAGCAACAATAAAATAAAACAAACAATAGGAATAAATAACAAATAAAAGAATAAATAAATCTAATAAAAATGAGTAAAAGTGAAGAATAAACAAAAATGGAATAGGTAACAAATAAAAAAAAAACGTTGAATAATCTAAGCAACAAAATATCTTTAATTTTCTTTACATTTTTCTTTACATATTATACAAAGATATATTTTTATTTATTTACGTTGATAACCAGGAACTGAAGAAATTGTAAGTTCCTTTATCTGAAAAAATTTAATTTTCTATGTTTATCTATATATTTATAATAAATAGCAAGTAATCTTGCAGTAAAATTTTTATATTTATATATCTACATTTTAATATTTTGCCGTATAAAAAACCTATTATAAAAGTAATTTAATAATATTATGAAATTAATACAAAAAAAATTATCTTCGTACAATTTTTAAATAAATTACCTGAACATGTGGAGGTGTGGATAGAACATAAATAATTGCCTCACTAATATCTTCAACATAAACGTAGGGTATCGTTTTAAGTGCTACTTCTGATGGCATTTCCGTTTTCACCAATCCAGGAAAAATTGTCTTACAAAAAAAATTAAAAATGTCTTTTTTAAATTTTTCCTTATTTTTGAAGATAACTTTTAAAGAATATGTAAACTTACAGTGACTTTTGCTGGACTTTTCACGCATTCAAGTTCTAATTCAACAACTTTGCTCAAAGCGTGAAGAGCGAATTTCGTTGGGCTGTATAAATTCATTACTGAAGCACCGAAAACTAAAACTTGTTGCCCCAAAACACTGAAAATATTTTTCATGTATTGAGAATTTTTCAATTGTTCTTGAATTTTTTTTTACTATAAATGAGAAATTAATTTTTTTTTGAAATATTTCAATTTATTGAATTACCAAAAATTTAGTTTAATATAAATAATCTAAATTTAAATTAATTTATTATTTATTTTATTATTAATAAAAATTTTATTTATTAATATTTTTATATTTAATTATATTTAATTATTTATATTTAATTATTAATATTTTATATTTTATTTATTAATACGTTTAATTACTTAAAAAGAAATTACCTGTCAATGTTAATAATATGACCGGCTGTGTTATTTGCTCTCATTAATTTTGCAGCCTCTCTGGTACAGAGTGTAGGACCCAATAAATTTACATCAATAATATTTTTCAAAATTTCGGTTGAACTTTCTAAACAAAATACGAAAGTGTAAGAATTTCAATTTTTTAAATTACATTATACTTATTAAAATTAAATCCTTATTTATTTAATTTTTATAATTTTATTCTCCATTTTAATTAATAATTTTATTTATTTACTATTTATTATTTATTATTGCTTCCAATTTTAATATTTTTTTCAGTATTCAAATCTCTATTGAAAGTTAAAGCGAAAAAAAATCTCTATACTGCCAGGATTCGAACCCCAGACTCTGTAAGCACGAGTCGAGAGCGCTAACCACTAGACCATGAAACAATAATGTTCGAAATTAATCAAAATAAGAAGAAAACGAACAAAAAGTGTGTAAAATAAAGAAAATACATATTTGTACCAATTGTTAAGCCAAAATCCACTGCTCCAGCATTATTAACAAGAATATCGACGGTTTTAAAATTCTTTTTAATCCATTGAAATGCATTAATTATATCCTCCTCTCTACTGATATCACACTTTATCGGATGAAATGAACCTTTTTCATTTTTTATGTCATTTTTAATTTTTTCCATTTTTTCAATTCTTCTCGCCAATCCAATGACGTTGACATTTTTTTTAACCAATGTTTTCACTAAATCTTCACCAATTCCAGAACTGGCACCAGTCACAACTGCAACTTTATTATTCCAACGATCCATCTTGTTTGACTGCAAAAATTTAATCTTCAACTACTAGTCTCATTTAAAAGACCAGTAATTTAATTTTTGAGTCTTTATATATTTTTATACGTAATATACAATTATGCACAATTACAATACAATAAACTATATTTAATTAGGTATGACGAAAAATAATTATATGCAGATTCATAACAAAATTGACGTGATCAAAAAATAAAAATCACCATGATGAGGTTTTTTAATGAACGAATATAAATAGTTGATTTTTTTTAAATTAGAAGTTATTTCGATTTGAACTTCCCGCCGAGAATATTATTTTTTAGTTTACCGACAAATGAGAGTAGACGTTATAGCTGACAATTATAATTATTATATTATAACTAATTATAATAAATAAAAATTCATTAAATTTTTATTTATTATAATTATTTATAATATAATAATTATAATTATAAAAAATATATAAAAAATTAAATAAAAATAATATTTTCTCATTGATTCTACAATGTATTATTATCTGTCGTTTAATCGTTGGAAAAATTGCTGTGTAAGCATATGTAATATTACATTTTATACAGATTATAACAGTTGTGAATTTATTACTATATATAACATTGTCATTGCACTTACAGATAGCCAATAAAAAAAATTGCAAATCATTATGACATTGTAAGTTGCATGTCGATAATGATTCTTCATTCAATGTCGTATAAAAATATAATTTTCATTTTCTTCTACATTTTTTATCATTTTCTTTCAACAAAGTAAAAAATTTTCCATTTAGTTATTTGCTAAAAAAAAAAAAAAATTTCCTAGACACTTTTCGTCATTTTAACGAAAAATAAAAATTATTAGTTCTTAGCATTCCAAACATTATTCACTTCATGGCCCAGTGGTTAACGCACTCGACTCGTATTCCCAACGGACGTAGGTTCGAATCCCATCCCAGTTAATAAGATTTTTTCACGATAAAATTTAATCCCAATTGAAAAATATTGAAATTATGACTGAGACTAAATAACAAAACTAATTTAAACAATTATAATAAATAAATCTAATAAATAATAAGCAAATAATAAACAAATAATAAACAAATAATATAGAAATAATAAATAAATAATAAATAAATAAGAAACAAATTAATAAATAAATATCTAATAAATAAATAATAAATAAATAATAAATAAGTAATAAACAAATAATAAATAAATAACAAACAAGACTTCCGGTTGGGATAGCGAACTGAACGTACGCGCGTCATTTCGGTGAGCGTTATTTCGGGAATAATTATCAATTTAGTGAGTGCACAAGTTTCAAAAGGAGTTGTTTGAAGAGGGAAACATTTAGTGTTTAGGTGGAAGTGTTATCTTTACGAACTTTAGCCTTTTTCTTGTGTTATTTGGGGCAAGAGAAATAGGAATGGAAGGTGAAGAGGTTAGGAAACCAGAGGAGCAAAATGGCAAAGCTTCCGGTGGAAATTCGGAGAAAGATGGGGAGATGGAGCTGCCGAACGAAAACAGTAGTGCCACCTCAGCGAGCAGTAGTGAACCACGAGTGAGGAAAACAAACATGGCCGAAAGAGTAAACAATCAGAAAAACCAGAAGGTTATTGAATGGAAAACACCGCAAAAGCGGGGACGTGGAAGGCCCTCTAAACAAATGTCAAATCAACTGACAAGCAGTAAGATAAAAAGTAAATCGTTGTTGCGAAATTATCTACAAGTGCAAACCTCTAGGGGAAAAAACGGGAATGTATCTATTTCTAGTGAAGGTCAGAATACAAGTGGAGCCGAAGTGTTAAAAGATTTACAAAGAGAAGTTTTTGAAAAAATGTTAAATGAGTGGTGGGACAAAAAAGTGGAAAGAGAGTTCAGGGAGGTCAAGGGTCAAATTTCAGAGCTAAGGGATAGAGTTATAAAAGATGAGGCAGTGGAATCCGCATTAGTTAAAGCTAGGGAGCGAGAGAAAGAATATCAGAAAGAAATAGAATCATTGAAAGAAGAGTTAGCAACGATGTCTGCGCGAATTAAAGAACAAGGGATTTTAAGGAACACAGTTGATGTGACACAGGATTATCGTGAGCCAATAATTGTTGCTTCAAGGAATATCTCAAACGATAAAGAGGAATGTGAGGATGATAATAATAATAATGACACAGTGGACACGAATATAGAAGTAAGTGATTTGAAAGTGCTGAATAAAGATGCAATGGGTGTAAAAGTTTTATCAATGATTAGTAGTAGTGAATTAGAGTGGGAAATGAAGGAAAGGAAATCAAGAAAGAATTGTATCATGGTAAGAGGATTTCGCTCAAGAGGGAAACATTTAGGAGAACAAATAAGATCAGTGTTGTTTGACCTGACAGGTGTAAATATTGAGATTAAAAATTTAAGGCATGTAGCGGGAGGGTCACTGATCACGCTTAATTCGTGGATAACAAAGCGAAGATTAATGGAGAATAAGTATAAGTTGCGAAACACGAAGATAACAATAGAGGACGACTTGACTTGGAGAGAACAGGAGATACAAAATCGAATTAAGGAGGAAGTCATGTTAGCGAGTGAAGTGGGAGCTGTAAGCAAATTTTCGTATATGAAGTGGACAATTAATGACAGAGAATTCACCTGGAATGAAGAAAAAGGTGTAATCGAGGGGTTTCGTAACCAGGAGGGGAGGCGCTTCGAAAATAATAACAGATTCGATTAACGGAGTGGTCTGGAACATCGCCGGAGGTATGAAGATATTAGAGACTTGGGACTTTTTAAAACAATTCGACATCGTCATTTTACAAGAAACCTGGATCACCGAGGAGAAAAATGAATCCTTTTTAAAAATTTTAGATGTAGATTATATATGGGAAACGAAATGTGCTGTTAAAACTAACAATAAAGGGAGGGCAAAAGGGGGTCAGTTGGTGGGAATAAAAAAGAATGCATGCAAAGCTGTGAGTTTGGAAGAATGGGAGTATGGAATTGTAATAAAAGCGCATGAATTTGGTGAGTGGGGTAATACTGTTAACATGATCACAGTTTACAATAATGTCGGAACGTCCAAGGTTGTAGATAGTTTGAGACCAGTATTAGACAGTTTTCAAGACAAAGGGGAGGGATTGATAATCTTAGGGGATTTGAATTCCAGGATAGGAGAGGAACTCGGGGGGAGCGAAATAGATGAAGAGGCTCCAAGTAAAAATTATTATAGAGTGCGTACATCAGAGGATAGAACTGTAAACGGTGAAGGAGTTAAATTATTAAGGTTTTGTGAGGAAATGGGGTTAAGGGTTCTTAATGGAAGAATAAACGGAGACACTCAAGGAAAACTGACGCGTGTAGGGGAGGAAGGAGGTTCGGTCCTTGACTTAATAATTGAGTCTGATGGAATTGGCGATTCTCAGGTGAAAGAAATCAAAATACTACCAAGGATAGAGTCAGATCATTTTCCAGTGACATTTAAATTGCAAGTTAAAAGTAAGCGAAGACAGAAGGGTATAATGAAGGGTAACGATAAACACACGGTAAACACAGATTGCGAGAATCAGGAAGATCGATTGGTATGGGACAACAAAAAGACGCAAGAGTACAGAGAGGCATTAGAGAAGTTGTGGGAACAAAAAGTAATAGTTAATGAAGGGGAATGGTCAAATGCATGGAATGAAGTTAATCGAGCAATTAAATTAGCTGCAGAGCAGGTAGGAATGATTAGAAAAATAAAGAGGGGAGGGAGAAATCAGGGTAGAAAGAGGAATGAAGAGGAACAGAAGCTGAAAAAAGAGGCTTTTAAATGCTTGAAAGCTTACTTGAAAAAGAAGGGGGTTAAAGAAAGGGAAGAGTTTAAAGAAAGTAGGAAAAGGTTAAGGGAATGGCGAAGAAATAAGAAACAGCAAGAAAAAGAGGAAAAATGGGAAAGGGTAATCAAAAGTAAAAATATGAGTGAGTTTTGGCAATCATTGAATGGTTTCAGGCCGAGGAGAAAATGTAAAGGTATGGGCATCAAAAAAGAGGATTGGAAAAAACATTTTATGAAACTCCTAGGTGGGAAAGATCAGAATTCAGAAAATACACCAATGGAAGGGGAAAAGGAGAATTTTCAGGGTGAGCAAGAAGAAGAAGAAGATATTCAAACTTCAACTTCAGAATTACCTTCAGAAAACATCGAGGGGTTTGATGCAGAGGAGGATGAATGGGACATCAAGCTAAATGAGGACATCGAATTCGAAGAGCTAGGTAAGGTCGTTAATAGGCTAAAAAAGGGAAAAGCAGCAGGAGAAGATGGAGTTTCTATTGATTTTATTAAAGGATTACCGGAAGTTTGGGCCAAAGAGGTCCATAGAGTATTAAATGGAATGTGGAAAGATGGGGTGCTGGGACCTGGCTGGGAAAAAGCAAGAATATTCCCTATTCACAAAGAGGGAGAAGAGCATGTAACGGGAAATTACAGAGGTGTATCATTGCTGGATGTGGGGTATAAAATTCTAGCTGCTGTTTTGGATGAGAGGTTAAGAACTTGGATGGAAAAGAAAGGAAAATTCGAGGAAAGTCAAGGAGGATTTAGAAGGAAAAGAGCCACGCGTGATCACATCTGGGTTTTAAATTCGTTAATTAACAATAAGCTGAAAAGTAAAGAGGGAAAATTACATGTAGCCTTTATAGATTTGAGGAAAGCCTTCGACACAGTGGACCGGCGTATATTATTGAACAAAATATGGAAATTGGGTATAAGAGGAAGAATGTTCAAAATGATTGAAGCAATTTATAGCAAAACACTTAATGAGGTCATTACTGGAGAGGGGTTAACAGAGCATTTTGTTACAATTAGAGGGGTCAGACAAGGGTGTCCACTTAGTCCACTACTTTTTAATATATTCATTCAAGATATGGACGAAATATGGGAAAAAGAAAATATAGGGGGAACGGTCATAGGGAAAAAGAAAATATTCGTGCTAAAATTTGCTGACGACTTGGCTTTAGTAGCAGACTGGGCGGAGGGACTGAAGGAAATGCTGAAAAAACTCGAAAAATATGTAAGTAAAAACAGACTGGAGGTAAATGCAGATAAGTCTAAAGTAATGGTGTTCAGAAATGGGGGTAGAAGACGGCAAGCGGATAAATGGGAAATAGAGGGTAAAGCACTTGAAGTTGTTAACGAATATAAATATTTAGGATTTTGGTTTTCCACAAAGAATTCGTACTCAAAACATGTCCAAAAATTGGCGGGAAAAGCAAGAATGGCAACAAACTCAGCATGGGGAATACTAAAAAGGGCTAGAATTAATAATTTAGGGAAGCGATTGTATTTAATGGATACTTTAGTGAAGGCAGGAGGATTGTACGGGGTAGAGATTTGGGGGTGGAAAAGGAGGGAAGAAATAGAAAAATTACAAGGAAGATTCGTCAAGATGGCAATGGGTATTAATGTCACAACTCCAGACTACATATGGAGGATGGAAGCAGGCAGACATAGAATTGAAATCGAGGCAAGAAAGAGAGCAATTAATTATCTAATGACAATTGTCAAAATGGGAGAGGAAAGATGGCCAAAAATTTGTCTAAGAGAGGAGTTAAGGGGGATAATTAATGCAAACCCTTCAAATTTGGGAAAATCATTGCAGAAAATTTGCCAGGATGTTGGAGATGGAGAAACATTAAAATGGCTATGGGAAGGAGGACAAGATGATAAAGTTAAAAATAAATTGATGAACGGAGTACGAATTACACTAGATCAGGAAATTCAAAACGATTGGGGTAGAATCAGGGATTCAAAATACTGCAAGGAATACAAAATCTTAAAAAAGGCACCAGGTAGGGAAAAGTATTGGGAAGATAAAAAAATTAAAGGCGAAATAAAAGAACAATGGGCTCGACTAAGGTGTGGAAATGTGGGGAAGGCGGGTAATAAAGGGTTTCTGGATACCATGTGCAGATTATGTGAGGTTGAGGAGGAAAATATTTTTCATATCTGGAATTGTGGAAAAGCAAGGGAAATCTTAAGTAAGAAATGGGTAGATGGTGTACTAAGGTGGGCTAAAGGGAAAACAGGGACTCAGTTTGAAGATTTGTTATTAAGAACTTTGAGTGGAGAGCCGAATCTCGTCCTCATCGAGTACGCGAAAGAATTTGTAGAAAAATCAAAGACTACATGTTGTAATTTATAATTAAGAAATGATTTGTTAAATGAAGTTAAATATAACTGATGTGATTTAATGTATAGAGAATTAATACTACTATTTATAAGATATTTTAAATTTAAGTATTGCGGGAAAGTATATTGTAAAACTTATGTAAAGTGTACAATGGAGAAATAAATAAAAAAAAAAAAAAAAATAACAAACAAATTAATAAACAAATAATAAATAAATAACAAACAAATTAATACATAAATAATAAATAAGTAATAAACAAATAATAAACAAATGATAAATAAATACTTAATAAATAAAAGTAATATAAATTTATAAAAAGTAACAATAAAAAATAGTAATAAATAAAAATACTAAAAATAAAAATGATTAAATCTAATTATGTCAACAATTAAATATAATTTAATATTTAAAATAAATAATTAAAATAACGAAAAAAACTGCATCTGCATTAAAATTTTAACTAGACTCAATTTTTCTTCTACATGACGATAATATTATGAAACACCTTTTATCTATGAAGATGTATATAGTAGCGTTCAATTGCAAATAAAATTAGGGTCGTCATTGAATGTAATATTCAGAACACCATTCACTATCAGACAAGATGGATCGTTGGAATAATAAAGTTGCAGTGGTGACTGGTGCCAGTTCTGGAATTGGTGAATCTCTTGTTAAAGAATTAGTGAAAAATAATGTCAAAGTCGTTGGTTTGGCAAGAAGAATTGAGAATATGGAAAAAATCAAAAATAATATAAAAAATCAAAAAGGTGCATTTTATCCAATAAAATGTGACGTCTCCAAGGAAAATGATATTCTCAAAGCTTTTCAATGGATTGAAAAAAATTTAAAAACCGTCGATATTCTCGTTAATAATGCCGCTGTATTGACTTCAGATTTGTGCATCGGTACGAAAACCAAAAAATTTTTTTGTTACAAATTGTTTTCTATTCTTATCACTATAGTGGAAAATTTTTTTTTCTATTTTATTTTTTTTTAATTTCTACTTCTACTTTTTATTTTTTATTTCTATTCCTATTTTTTATATTTTATTTCTATTTCTATTTTTCTATTTTATTTACTTTTCTATTTTTTATTTTCTTTTATTTTTTTTATATTTCAATTTGTTTAGAATAAAAAAATTAGGTTTATATTTAATAATTAATTTAATAACTTAAAAAAATTATAATAACTCTTTTTCACTATGTAAAGAGAAAATTAAAAAAAAATCTTATTCATAAGAAAAATTATTTTTGTATTCATTAAATTTATAAATTCGGCTGCATTTTAACAGTACAAGTGATTAAAAATTATTTTATTTACTGTAAAAATTTATGTATTGAGAAAAAATTTATTTGCAAAAAAAGAGCTTGTCCTGATAATGATAAACAAAATAAAAATTATTTTAGTAATTATAGAAAATATCAAAAGTCGTAAAAGAATTTTTTTTTTCATCACTATAATAACGAAAAATTCTTTTTTTTTCACAGAAAGTTCAACGGAAAATTTGAAAAATGTTATCGATGTAAATTTAATTGGTACAGCACTCTGTACTAGGGAAGCTGTGAAAATAATGAGAGCAAATAACATAGCCGGTCATATTATTAACATAAACAGGTAATTTTTTTTCTATTTTTATAAAATTCGATTTCTATTTTTGGTAAATTTACGAAAAAAAATTTTCATTTAATAAAAACAATTAATTAATTTTTATTTTAATAAATTTTCGAAAAAAAAATTTTCATTTAATAAAAATAATTAACGAACTTTTATTTTCATGAATTGTCGAAAAAAAATTTTCATTTACAAAAAAAGAATTAATGAATTGTGATTATTTTTCAGCATTGCGGGACAAAGAGTTGCATTTTTTAACAATTCAGGTTTCAATATGTACAGTCCAAGTAAATATGCCCAGAAGGCCATGAGTCAAGTGGTCGAATTAGAACTTGAACACGTTAAAAGTCCGACAAAAGTTACTGTAAGTTTATTGTAAATAAATTTTTTTTTTCTTTTAATTTCGAATTAAATTTCAAAGAAAAGAAGAATATAAAGAACTTTTTATTATAATTAAATAGTTTAATTACTTTAATTAATTGAATTTTTTAATTTTAAGAAAAAATTTAAAAATTCCCGCGAGGGGAATCGAACCTTGAATTTCTGCACTACTTCAAGTGCCTTAACGACTGTAACCATCACATCGATACTAAATTTCTTAATTTACTTTAATTGATTAATTTCATTTAATTAACTAAATTCCTTACTTTTATTTAATTAATTAATCTCATTAAATTCATTAATTTAAACAAAAATCCTTTAATTTTATTTAATTCGTGAAATTCATTAATTTAAGACTAATTTTTTAAATTATTACTTTTTTGAGACAATTTTTCCTGGATTGGTCAAAACGGAAATGCCACCACAGGAAGCATTTAAAATAATTCCCTACGTTGATGCTGAAGATATTGTCAATGGAATTATTTATGCTCTGTCCACACCTCCACATGTTCAGGTAAAGCAAATCTTTATTAATAAAAAACATGAAATGAAATAATTAATTAAATTTAAATAAATCATTTTTAAATAAATCATTTTTAAATAAATATTTAAAATTAAATAAATAATTTTTAAATTAATTTTTTAAATTTAAATAAATAATGTAATTATAATATTTTTTCAGATTAAGGAACTTACAATTACTCCAGTTCCAGGTTATCAACGCAAATAAAGAAAAAAAATTTTGTAATTCCCATTTACATACCTATTAATAAAATTTTAATATTATATTTATTATACTAATTTTTTTATTTGTAACATTACGCAAATAAAATAAATTCAATTTTTCAAATTAAAAACAAAAAAGAAATTAGAAATTAATTTTCAATTGTAAAATTAGCCTAATTTTCTTCACTAGTATATAAGAATTTTATTATTAAAAATTAAATTATTTTTTAATTTTCTATGAAAAATCAGAAAACACGTATTTTTTTATTTTCTTATTGAATGAAATTTGTGAAAATTGTGATTTTTTTAAGTTCAACTTCTTCGGAAGCCGAAGAATGTGTTTCAAAGTAGGGCCTCGCGGCTTCCGAAGAAGTTGAACTTAAAAAAATTCCAGTTTCCACAAATTTCATTCAATAAAAAAATAAAAACATACGTGTTTTCTTATTTTTCATTGAAAATTCGAAAAAAATTGTTTCAAACAAATAAAAATTTTTTTTCTTCAAATTTATATGGAATGCTTCATATAATATTAAAACAAACAAGATAAATAATTTTAAAAAACTAAACATTTTCTAAAATATGAATAATTGATTATTTATATAAATTTTTAATCAGTAATTACATTTTTTATTTTTATAATACTTTCTGAAAAAAAATCATTTACTTCCTCATTTTCCTATAGTGATATAATGAAAATAAGTCGACAAAATTTTTTTTCTATTTTATCTAATAATTTACTATTGCAATTGTTAAACATTAAAAAAACAACAATTTAAAAACCATTAAATTCTATTTTTAACTATAAATCTTTAATTTGCGAGTAGTAAAAAAACTAATAAAAAATGTTTTGCAATATATATTTATAAACGAGCTGAAAATATCATTTTCATTATTATTATTATTATTATTATTATTATTATTATTATTATTATTATTATTATTATTATTATTATTATTATTATTATTATTATTATTATTATTATTATTATTATTATTGTTATTATTATAGTATAGTTTTTGTGGTATTATAAAATAATTATAATATTTAAAAATAATAATATAAATTAATATTAATTCTACCAACTCATAAATTATTATTCGACCTAAAAATAATCAAAAATAAATCCCTCGTACATTGTAAAAATTAATTTAAAATTTAAATTTATATAGAAATAATCACCTAGTTTTCCATAATTATATATGTAATCGCACATAAGACCTAAATACTAAATCTAAAAATATAAAAGCAAAAAAGAAAATACTATAAATATCGAAATATAAAAAATAATTTTCTCAGTAGTCTCTTAACTTTTGTCAAAAAAAAAAAAAAAAAAAAAAAAAAAAAAAATGGATCGTTGGAATAATAAAATTGCAGTGGTAACTGGCGCAAGTTCTGGAATTGGTGAAGCCCTTGCAAAGGCTTTAATGAAAAAAAATATTAAAGTCGTTGGTTTAGCGAGGAGAATTGAAAAAATGAAAATTAACTTTAATAAAGAACAGGGTGTTTTTTATCCAATAAAATGTGATCTCAGTAAGGAAGATGAAATAATAAATGTATTTCAATGGATTGAGAAAAACTTAAAATCCATTCATATTCTGGTTAATAATGCTGGAATTATATCGGAAAATTTATGCATTGGTATGAAAAAATAAAATTTCTATTCATTTTTATTTCGGTATTTATTTACTTTTATTCATTTTTATTTATTTTTATTTATTTTTTATTTATTTTTATCAAATTTATTTATATTTCAAAGTTTTGCAATTAATTCCTTTTTAAGAAATATTATTAAAAAAAAATTTTATTTAATTATATTTATTTAATAAATAAATAAATAAACAATAGAAGAAAAAAATATAAATAAAAAAATATAATAAATATATATAATATATATTTACTATATTTTTTTTATTTAAAATTTTCTTTGTTTATTTATTTATTTAATAATAAACGGATTTTTTTCAGAGAGCACAACGGAGCATATAAAAAGAACAATTGATGTAAATTTAATTGCCCCCACAATTTGTACCAGGGAGGCTGTGAAAATTATGAGAAAAAATAACGTTGCCGGTCATATTATTAATATAAACAGGTGATTTTTTTTAAAACTAAATAATAAAATTAACTTTACTTGCATTGATTGATAAATTTTTTTCATCTCAATTAAATAAACATTTTTTTTTGGATTTAATTTCATTTTCAACATTAATGACTAATTATGATAATGACTATTTATCTAAAAAGAGAATCATAAAGTAAAAAAAATACTTTGATTTCGATTTTTTTTTGTATAAACAAATTTTTTTTGCTTTTAGTATTTTGGGACAAAATATTTTATTTTTCAACAATACAGCGTTCGATATGTATAGTCCAAGTAAATTTGCCCTTAAGGCCATGAGTCAAGTGGTCGAACTTGAATTAGAACACGTCAAGAATAAAACTAAAATTACGGTAAGTTTTTTTCGTATTAATATTATTTTTTAATATTATTTTATTGTTTATATTATTTTTAAAGTTAATTGATAAATTAATTTATTTATTAACAAATTTGTTTATTCATTTTTTTTTATTTGTTTATTTATTCATTAACTAATTTATTTATTTGTTTATTTATTAATTAATTTATTTATTTAATACAAATAATAATAAATCATAATAAAATTATATTAACATATTTATTATTATTATAAACAATAATGTGGTTTTTCCCCTTCTTTCAAGACAATATATCCAGGTTTAGTGAAAACTGAATTACCACCACAAGAATCTTTTAATGTTCTACCTTATCTTAATGCTGAAGATGTTTGCGACAGTATTATTCATATTTTATCAACTCCACCACATGTACAGGTAAAGTAGAAATTTTTTTTCATTTTACAATTTTTTAATTCTAAAAATTATTTTTAAAAAATTAATAGACAGTAAGAACTTTTTTCTTAGAATGAAACTTAAAAAAAAATTTTTAAATAAATAAAAATAAATAAATAATAAATAAGTAAATTTATTTATAAAATTTATTTTTAATTTACTCATAAAAAAAAAAAATATATTCATTTCCAATGAAATAATAAATGAAATAAATAATTTTCGAATAAACTTTATATTTTTTTTTAGATCAAGGAACTGACGATTGTACCGCTCTCATCGTCCATTTTACTAAGATAATAAATTTACGACAAATACACAAAAAAATTATAAAAATAAAGCAAGAAAATAAAATTTCTTTTTTACTGACAAAAAAAATGTTTTTTTTTAAATAAATGTATTTGGAGATTTCTTTAATCACTATTTTTTTCTTTTTTTTTCTTTATTTATTCCTTCTTTATTTATTTCCTTTTTATTTCCTAACTATTTTTTATTTCATTCCCTTTGATTATTCTTTTATTTTTAAATTTATTAATTATTTTTTTTATCAATCATTAAATTTTTTTTGTTTTTTCTCTTCATCTTTGTTCATTTATTTTATTTATGTATGAATACGACGATTATTATAGTTAATCCTTCTTGCAATTTTCCATTATTTTTTTATTTTTTCGAATTTGTTTTGTCTTTATTTATTAAGACACTTTCTTTTTATTGTATTTATCATTTTATTTATTACTTTATTATTTTATTTATTATTTTATTTTTTTATTTATTAATTCCCTTTTTGCTATGTTACGTATTTGATATCTAAAACATTTGTCAACTTAATATTTCAATCGAAACTAATTTTTATGGTGGCAAAAATCTATTAACTGTGGTAGGATTCGAACTTTGACTTTCGCAGTACGAGTCAAGAGCGCTTACCACTAGACCACCGAGTAATAATATATCGCCCGACCGAAGAAAGAAAGAACAAAGGTAAAAGTGCTTGAAAAATTAATTTTCTTGACCGGAAAAAAAAGTTTTAACGATATTCGAACAGAAAATACTTTTGAAAATTTTGTTTTTTTTATTTGAAACGCATTTTTTTGCCGTGAAATTATTAAGTACAGAATAAATGGATTTTATTCCTAGTTTTAATGTAAATGAGTAAAATAAATAGTAATACAATTTATTTTACTCAAAATATCAATATTCAAAGAATGCAAAATCATCGAAAGTACTTCATTTACTTCTCCACTCATTTTCCCTTGAAAAAAAAAGAAAAAAAAAAGTCTCTATAACTTAAAATGCAACTCATCATCTTTCGTGTTCTTCAATATTGTGCAAATATAACACTTGAAACTCAATGGGCGATATATATGCACTTTGAACGTGAAATGGCAAAAAGCTATTACGTATTACATGTTGTACCTGTTATACAATATATATAATTGAACATTACGCTCTCTTGATGAAAAAAGGAATTTCTTCGCGCAGCAGACGAGAGATAATTCTCAGTTTTCTGTTAACAGTCAAATAACATGGATCGTTGGATTAATAAAGTTGCGGTGATAACTGGCGCCAGTTCTGGCATTGGTGAGGATTTAGCGAGAGAATTGGTGAAGAAAAATGTTAATGTCGTTGGATTGGCGAGAAGAATTGATAATATGCAGAAAATTAAGGAATCGTTAAAAAATGAGAAGGGCTCATTTTATCCAATTAAATGTGATGTCTCTAAGGAGGAGGATATCGTTAAAGCATTTCAATGGATTGAAAAAAATTTAAAAACCGTCGATATTCTCGTTAATAATGCTGGAGTTTATACCTCAGATTTGTGTATTGGTAAATAAAATATTTATTTTTGTATTTACTTTAATTGTAACTAAAAATCTCTGACTAAAAAAATTTTCAACTTTGAATTTTTTAATTCGAAAGTAATTTCAATTTCTTTAGTTCAATTTTTTCTGAGTAGAAAAATTTTCAATTTTGAATTTTTTAATTCAAAAAGTAATTTTACTTTCAATTTCTTTAGTTCAATTTTTTCTGACTAAAAGAATTTTCAATTTCGAATTTTTTAAGTCAAAAGTAATTTTTTTTGTTCAATTTATCCCAAGTAGAAGAATTTTCAATTTCGAATTTTTTAGTTTAAAATAAATTTTAATTTCTTTAGTTCAATTTTTTCTGAGTAGAAGATTTTCAATTTCAAATTTTTTAATGTCAAATTAATTTTAATTTTATTTGGCTCAATTTTTTCTTAGTTTGAAATTATCAATTTTTAAATTGAAAAATGATTTTAGTTTAAAACTAATTTTAGTTTTTAACCAAAAAGTAATTTCAATAATAATGAATAATTTTTTTTCAATTTTCAGAAAGTTCAACAGAGAATATTAAAAAAGTTATTGATGTTAATTTAATTGCCCCCACTGTCTGCACCAAGGAGGCTGTGAAAATAATGAGAAAAAACAATACAGCCGGTCACATTATTAATATTGACAGGTAATTATTTTATTATTATTATTATTTAAATTTATTAAAATTATTTTATTATTATTATCAAACTATTTCTATGACTGTATTTACATTGTAGAATTAAAAGTAGCGTTCGACTTTAAATTTAAATAACGAAACGCCGCGTTTCGGCCCAAGCGCAAGGAGTGGGAGAAATGTGAGTGAGAGAGAAGTCCCGATTCTTCTCTCTCACTCTCATTGCCCCCACTCCTTCACTTGCGTTCTGCGTCTGTGTTTCTTCCTCTATTTAATTTTAAAAAAATTCTTTTCTTACTCTTCTTTAATTTTTTTTAAATCTTCTCTTTACTATTTTGAAAAACTTTTTCCATCTTTTAAAAAAAATGTTTCTAAATTTAAAAATTTGAGTTTAATATTATTATAGTTAAATTCGTTTCTTACAATTTTTTTAAATAGATTATGAAAGTATAACAAAATTTCATAATTTTACTGCTAATTGAAGTGAAAAAAATTTACCATCATAAGTTTATAATTGTACGTTTAAACAGCCTGATAAGAAATTTCTTATTATACTTCCAAATATAAAATGTCATAAGTTGATAAAAAAAGTGAAAAATAATAATAAACGAAAGTGATAATAACTTTTCATAATTGTTAAGGAATTTTTTTTATGCTCATATATTATAAGAGAAAAAAATTCCTTGATTATTCTTTATTTCTCTCAATAAACGATAATAATAAAAAGTTGTAAATTTTTATTCTCAAAAGCGAATTTTTAAAACTTTCAAGTACTCAATTTTTTATGATAATAAATTTTTAAAAATAACCCTTAAAAATATTTTTCCAATCTCTTATTTATTCTTCTAGTATTGATATTAATTTAATAATAATATTAATAATAATAATAATAATAATAATTATTATTATTATATATAATATTATATATTATATAGTAATTATTATTTATTATTACTATTATTTTTTATTAAATTTTTTTAATACAAGTTTATAAATTAATTAATTGTTGTTTTAATAAAAATAAAAATAATATAATAAATAATATAAAATAAATATAACAAATAATAAATAATGTAAAATAAATGAGAAATAATAAATAAGTAATAAAAATAATTATAAATAAATAATACAATAATTATTATTAATTTTAAAAAATTCTGAATGTTAAAACGAACAATAATAAAATATTATTTTCTACAGTGTTGCCGGGCAAGGTGTGAAATTTTACGAAAGTACAGCATTAAATATGTACAGTCCAAGTAAATTTGCCCTAAAGGCTGTCAGTCAAGTTGTTGAATTGGAACTTGAATATGTCAAAAATCACACAAAAGTAACAGTAAGTAAAACAGTAAAGAAATTTAAAAAAAAAATTTTAATTTATTTTTTACATGGGACATTCTACGTGAAATGACCCTTATAAAAAATGTTTTTAATTTATTTTTTCCATGGGTCATTCCACGTGAAATGTCCCTTATAAAAAATTTTAATATTTTCCACTAATTTTTTCTCTTGTTTTTTCCTTTTCTAAAGACTATTTTTCCTGGATTGGTGAAAACTGAAATGCCACCAGAAATTGCTTTCAAACATTTACCCTACGTTGATTCGAAGGATATTACTGACAGTATAATTTACGTTTTATCCACACCACCGCATGTGCAGGTAAACAAATTAATAGTTAACTAATATTTATTGTGTATAGATTAAAAAAAAATTTGTTTTTTAAAACTTTTTCAAAAAATACTCAATAACTATAATAATAATAATAATAATAATAATAATAATAATAATAATAATAATAATAATAATAATAAAAATTATTTTGAGTAAATAATAATAATATAGGGAAAATTTGTTTTCAGATTAAAGAACTAACAATTACACCCGTACCTGGATATATGCGCCAATAAAATGTCGAAAAGAGAATTATTTTTTACAAATTTTTACGCAAAAAAAATTGTTTTTCCTGTCTTCTAATTAATTTTAATAAAAAAAAAAACTTTACCTATTTTGCCAAAAACAGTGAATTGTAAAAAAATGTAAACCTTCAACAAAGGATAATAAAAAAAGTTTGTAATAAAAAAATTCTAGTTTACTATTTCAAATAATTTTTCGCCTTAATTTTAATTTTAATTTTAATGCAAATAAAAAAAATCTATTAGAATTCGAACCTTCGACTTTCGTAGTACGAGTCAAGAGCACTAACCACTTGACCACCGAGTGATAATGTTATCGCACTTTGTCTTATCGAGAGTTGGCGGCATATGCCCATTAAACTTAAAATGCAAAAGCTATTACTATTACATGTTTTACCTGTTGTACAATCTATATAATTGGTCATTATGCTCTCTTAAAAAAAAATTTCTTCGCGCATTTTTTTTAGTTTTCTGGTAACAGTAAAATAACTAACATGGATCGTTGGATTAATAAAGTTGCGGTGATAACTGGCGCCAGTTCTGGCATTGGTGAGGATTTAGCGAGAGAATTGGTGAAGAAAAATGTTAATGTCGTTGGATTGGCGAGAAGAATTGATAATATGGAGAAAATTAAGGAATCGTTAAAAAATGAGAAGGGCTCATTTTATCCAATTAAATGCGATGTCTCTAAGGAGGAGGATATCGTTAAAGCATTTCAATGGATTGAAAAAAATTTAAAAACCGTCGATATTCTTGTTAATAATGCTGGAGTTCATACCGAAGATTTGTGTATTGGTAAATAAAATATTTGTGCACTTAATTATAAATTTCTTCCCTTCAATTTTTCTAATTGAAGAAATTAAAATTAATATTTTAAAAATTAAAAAAGAATTTTTAATTTTGAAAGTAATTTTAATTTTAAATTTCTTCAACACGATCTTTTTTGAATAGAATTTTCAATTTTCCAATGCAAAAGTACTTTTAACTTCTTTTTTTAAATAGTTTCTTACTAGAAGAATGTTAAATTTAGAAATTTTTAATCTCAATTTCTTTAGTTCAATTTTTTCTGACTAAAAGAATTTTTAATTTTTTAAGTGAAAAGTAATTTTTTTGGTTCAATTTATTTCGAGTAGAAGAATTTTCAATTTCGGATTTTTTAATTTAAAAGTAATTTCAATTTCTTTAGTTCAATTTTTTCTGAGAAAAAGAAATTTCAATTTTTTTTTATATTTCAATTTTAAAGTATAATTTCAATTTTAATTTTTTAATTCAAAATATGTAATTTCAATTTTTTTTTGGAATAGAAAAATTTTCAATTTCGAATTTTTTAGTTTAAAACAAATTTTAATTTCTTTGATTCAATTTTTAATGAGTAGAAGAATTTTCAATTTTGCATATTCCAATATCAAATTAATTTTAATCTCTTTGACTCGATTATTTCTTAGTTTGGAATTATTAATTATCAATTTCAGAAAGTTCAACAGAGAACATTAAAAAAGTTATTGATGTTAATTTAATTGCCCCCACTATCTGCACTAAGGAGGCTGTGAAAATAATGAGAAAAAATAATACAGTCGGTCACATTATTAACATTAACAGGTAATTATTATTTTTTTATTATTATCATTTAAAATTATTTTTTTAATATTATTTATTAAAATTATTTTGTTATTCTTTATTATTATTTAAAATTATTTTATTATTATTATTATTATTATTATTATTATTATTTTAAATTATCTTATTATTATTTTCAAAATGTTTCTATGACTGTATTTACATTGTAGAATTAAAAGTAATGTAAACGCCGCGTTTCGGCCCAAGCGCCGGGAGTGGGGACAATGAGAGTGAGAGAGAAGTTCCGATTCTTCTCTCTCACTCTCATTGCCCCCACTCCTTGCGCTTGCGTTTTACGTCTGAGTTTCTTCCTGCATTTAATTCTTTTTTTAAATTCTTTTCTTACTCTTGTTTCAACTTTGTTTTAATTTTTTAAAATCTTTTTTTTTAATCTTTTTTTTTACTATTTTCAAAAACTTTTTCTATCTTTTTAAAATCATTCTTTATTTACTATTAATTTTCTTTAAATGTTTCTTTATGTAATGTTAATTTTCTTTATTTTCGTTTTTAAAACAATTTTTTTTAATAATTACTTTTTAATAATTAGAAAAACTGTATCTTAAAATAAAAAACATTCTGAATTTAAAAATTTGAGTTTAATTTTATTAAAAATTCTATTTTTTCGATTATTCCAAATAGATTATAATATAATATATTTAAATATATAAATATATAAAACCATTGTTCAATAAAGAGGAAAAAAGTTATTGTCAAAGTTTATAATATTATATGTTTAAACAACATGATAAAAAATTTCTATTAATACTTCTAATTACAAAGTGTCATAAGTTGATAAAATAAAGAAAAATAATAGTAACGATTATAAAAAATTATAATATATAACAACAATAATAATTATTATTATTAATATTACTTTTATTATTATTAAATTAATTTTAATACTAAAAAAATAAATAAGAGATTATAATAAAAATAATTATAATTAAATAATAAATAACAGTAATTAATAATAATTTATTATAAATAATAATAATAAAACATTTATTTATTAAATTAAAAAAATTCTGAATATTAAAACGGAAAATAATGAAATATTATTGTTTGCAGTATTTCCGGGCAAAGTGTGGAATTTTTCGAAAGTACAGCAATGCATATGTACAGTCCAAGTAAATTTGCCCTAAAGGCTGTCAGTCAAGTTGTTGAATTGGAACTTGAATATGTCAAAAGTCGCACAAAAGTAACAGTATGTAAACAGTAGAAAATTTTTTTTTTATTTTTTATTCATGGGGCATTTTAGGTGAAACTTTTATTAAAAAATGTTATTTCTTTGGAACAAATTTTTTTCAAGTTTCTCTTGAAAAATAAGAAAACACGTGTTTTTTAATTTTTTTATTGAATAAAATTTGTGAAAATTAGGATTTTTTTAAGTTCTATTTCTTCGGAAGCCGCGAGGATCTGCTTTGAAACAAGTTCCTCGGCTTCTGAAATAGTTGAACTTAAAAAAATCACCAATTCCACAAATTTTATTCAATAAAAAAATGAAAAAATACGTGTTTTCTTATTTTTCATGACCAATACGAAAAAAATTGTTGCAAAGAAAAAAATTTTTTAATGGAAATTTTCACCTGGGATGCCCCTTATGAAAAATTTTATATATAACTTTTTCTCTTGTTTCTTTCTTTTAAAGTCTATTTTTCCTGGAATGGTGAAAACTGAAATGCCACCAGAAATTGCTTTCAAAAATTCTCCCTACCTTGATTCGAAGGATATTACTGACAGTATAATTTACGTTTTATCCACACCCCCGCATGTGCAGGTAAACAAATTAATAGTTAACTAATATTTATTTTTTAGATTAAAAAAAAATTTTTTTTTTAAATATTATTTAATAATTATTATAAAAATAATAATAATATTTTTTCAGATTAAAGAACTAACAATTACATCTGTACCTGGATATTTGCGCCAATAAAATGTAGAAAAAAAAAAATTTATTTTTCTGTTTTCTAATTAATTTTAATAAAAAAAAAACTTTATTTATTTAGCCAAAAAAATAGTGAATTGTAAAAAAATAAAAATGTTGAAGGTTCAACCAAGGATAATAAAAAAAAATTTGCAGTAAAAAAATTTCTAGTTTACCATTTCTAATGATTGTTCACCTTAATTTTAATTTTAATGTAAATAAAAATCTTTCTTTCTAAAATTATTTTCTTTTTATTACTTTTTTTCTTTCTGATTGGTTCGAAGGTGAAAATGTCAGGGAATAATTTTTCTCCCACGACCAAATATACTGTCTATATAGAATATAAAAGTCGCACAGTTTGTTTCTGACTTTAAATAAAGATGGAACGTTGGATTAATAAAGTGGCGGTGATAACTGGTGCTAGTTCTGGTATTGGTGCAACAATTGTTAAAGCACTTGTGAAAAAAAATGTCAAAGTCGTTGGATTGGCGAGACGTTTGGAGAATATGGAAAAAATTAAAAATGACCTCAATAATGATAAGAGAGATTTATTTTTTCCAATAAAATGCGATGTCTCGAAGGAAGAGGATATTTTAAATTCTTTCAAGTGGATTGAAGAAAATTTAAAGTCTGTCGATATTCTTGTTAATAATGCTGCCCTTGGGACAAAATATTTATGCATTGGTAACAAAATTTATTTTTTATTAATTAAAAATTGAAAAATTGAACAATTATTTATTAGACAATTGTTATTAATAATTTATTGAATTTTATTTTTATAAGAAATGTTTAATTATTCACTATTAATATTATTTATCAGTAAATAAAAAGTTAATATTTCTTAATAAATTAATTTCACTAAATGATTTTAAAAAAAAAATATTTTACTTTTAGAAAGTTCGACAGAAAATATAAGAAACGTCGTCGACTTAAATTTAATTGGTCCAACTATTTGCATTAGGGAAACTATAAGAATTATGAAGGAGAAAAATTCACCTGGTCATATTTTCAATATCGCCAGGTATTTAGTTAATAAAATTAATTAATTAATAATAATAATAATTCTTATTATAATAATAAATTAATTTAATTAAATTTATATTTTTTTTAAATTTTATATTTCAGTAATTTTTTAAATAACAAACATAAACTTTTTTCAATCATTCAAAATTCAATTTTAGTTATTATTATTTTAGTTATTATTTTTACTATTTATTATGTTTATAATTAAATAATAATAATAATAATAAATTAAATAATTATTAAAAATGAAAATATTTTCATTTATTAAAACCAATTTTTTTGAACGTATTTTTAATTTTTTTTTTGTTCACAAACATTTAATTTGTTTCTATTTATAAAATAGTATTCTGGGACAAAATATCCAAATATTTCATGGTATAACATTCAATCTTTATGGACCAACGAAATTTGCGCTAAAAGCAATTAGCGATGTTATTGAACTCGAATTGGAGAGTATAAAAAGTCCCATAAAAGTAACGGTTAGTTTTTTTTGTTTTTTAATTTTTTTCGTTATTTTTTTTTCCTTTTTCCTTCTTTTTGGGGTAATGAAAATAAATTTTTCCAGACAATTTATCCTGGCTTGGTGAAAACTGAAATGCCACCGCCGATAGCGTTTAAAGTATTTCCGTACCTCGATGCCGATGATATTTCAGATGCTGTTTTGTACGCTTTATCTACCCCTCCCCACGTGCAGGTAAAAAAAATTTTTTCTATTTTATTATAACAAATATTTTTCTTTTCTTTTTCTATTTTACTAATTTTATTAACTAAATTTGACTATTTTTTTGTTTTTATTTATTTTTCTTTACTAATTTTAATAATTAAATTTGACTACTTGTTTTGTTCTTATTTATTTTTTTTTACTAATTTTATTAATTAAATTTTACTAATTTTTCGTATTTATTTATTTTTTTTACTAATTTCTTTATTTTTATATTTATTCTTTTACTAACTTTTTAAATTTTTATTTATTTATGTTTTTTTACTAATTTTTTTACTAATAGTAATTTTTACTTCATTTATTTGAGACTAATTAGTAAAATTTTTAAAATAGTAAAATTCTTCTCAGGAATTAAATTATTTCTAAAAATTTTACTCTTATATTTACTTTTTACTTATATAAATAAATGAAAAAATGAAATATAAAATTAATTTCTATTTTTTATTATTAAAAATTAATTACAATATCTATTTTAATTATTCAATTAGCAATAAATTAATTATAAACTGTTTTTTGTTTTCAAGATTAAGGAACTGACAATCACACCACTTCAAACCTATCAACGAGAAGAGAATGAACAATGAATCAAAAAATAAATTTTTAATTGTTTTCAGTTTTCACCTAATTTTTAGTAAATATTATATTTATCCTAGTAATTATTCATTATTAAAAAGAAATAAAAATTATTTATATTTAGTAAAGTATTACCTTTTACTAATTAATTTCATTATTTTATATGACATTTTAATAATAACAATAATAATAATAATAAATTAAATAATTATTAAAAAATTAAAATATTTTCTTTTATTTGGAATAATAAAATAATAATAATATTATATTTATTTTTATTATTATTTTATTATATTTTAACAAATTGTAAATTAAATTTAATAAATTATTTATAATTTATAAAATACAGTGAGCTATTATTTTGAAAATAAAGAAAATAAAATTTAAAACTTATTCTAATTTTTTTAATTTTGTCTAACTTTGTTAGACATAATAAGTATTCTAAGAATAATATTATAATAAAATAACGAATGAAGTCAATTATCAATCAGTGACCTTCTGTATTACAACATTGTTCATCCATTTTTATAATAGTGCAGATTTGCAATGCAGTTGAATATTACATTTCAAGAAGAAAATTAAAAAAAAATGTATGCACAAAGTCTTGAATTGTTTCATTATTTATTTATTCATTAAATAAAATTAAAAAATTGTATCACAGTCTTTACTGTAAAAAAAATTAAATATAAAAAGAAATTTTTGCCGAAATATTTCTTTTTATTAATTAAAATTAAAATTAAAAATTTTATCACAATTTTTATTGTAAAGAAAAATTAAATTATTCTCACAATAACATTTTTTAACTGAAAAAAAAATTTGTTAAGAAAATGGTTGAATTTCTCCACTTGAGAACGCCAAGGTCATCACTAGATGGCGTCTAGCCATCTAGTGGTGACCTTGGCGTTCTCAGGTGGAGAATAGCTTCTCCATATTGAATCTCAATTTCTTTGTAATTTCCCAATTAAGATAAATTAATATAAATTAATATTTATCTTCAGTCTTTGAATTAATTTTTTTATTTTATTATCAAGAAATTCTAAGTAAAGGAGAAATGAAAAATTCAAAAAAACCTTTTTTTCGAAAAAAATAAATAAATCCAAAATATCAAGAAAAAAAAAATAGTTTCGAAAAATAAATTTTTAGACGTAAAATGAAGCAGTAGATAAAACTTTTTGCAACAATTATCGAGAGAGAAAATTCTGAAGTAATATTTATATAATAATAATCTGAGCGAGAGTGAATGGAATTATTCTTTAGTTATTTAGCACATAATTATATGTATACATTTCTCTATGGAAATGCTAGAGCCCGGGAGATAAGTTTTCAGTCTATTTTCCACAATTGCGCGAGATGGATGCATGGACTGATAAAGTTGCACTGGTGACTGGTGCAAGTGCGGGAATAGGTCAAGAAATTACTCGACTATTAATTGAGGCTGGCGTCAATGTCGTGGGATTGGCGCGTAATATCGATAAAATGCGTCAATTTCAAACGAAAGAATTAAAGGACAAAATTGGCAAATTCTATCCACTTGAATGCGATTTAACAAATGAAAATGATATTTTACGTGCATTCAAGTGGATTGAAATTAATTTACCGGGCGTCGACATTCTTATCAATAATGCAGCTGTTCTAATTAATGGAATGATAATAGGTAATAGTAGAAATAATTTTTTATTGAGAATTTAATTATATTCATTGTAATTGCAATTCATTTTCATTATTATTAATTTTAATTGTAATTAAATTAAATTTAATTTAATTAAAATTAACTGAATTATAATTAATCTTTCCTTATAATTCATCGAATTATAATTAGTTGTGGTTATAATTTACGAAATTAAAAATAATCCCTATTATAATTAATTATAATTTACATAATTAAAATTATTTTTTATTATAATTAATGAAATTACAAATAATCTCTACTACAATTAATTATAATTAACAAAATAATATTCATAATTATTAATTGAACATAAAAACATTTGAAATAAAATTGAAAAATCTCGTAGGCACGGAGGATCGAACCCTAGACCTTGAAGACGCAAACCGAATACCCATACCGCACAGCCACGCAAGCTCATTTTACAAAATAAAAATAAGTTTGATTATAATTCACTTAATTGCAATTTATTTTTTTTTAAATTCTAATTAACATTAATTGAAATGGACATGAAATAAAATTGAAATTATGATATAATATTAATTAATATTAACATCAATTGTACTCAATATTAATTAATATTAACATTAATTGTACTCAATATTAATTAATAAACATTAATTGCAGTCAATATTGATTAATAATATTAATTGTAATTAATATTAACCGTAATTAACATTCATTATAATCAAAATAAATTTAAAAATTAATTAAAATTAGTTAATTAATAAATAAATTAACAACATTTAATTAATAAATTAATTACCGTTATTTAGTTAATGAATTAATAAACATTATTTAGTTAATGAATTAATTAATTACTTTTAAAAATATTAATTATAATATAAAGAAAATTGTAATTACGTTAATTACGTTCAAAATAAATTGAAATTAGGTTAATTATTCAATCAAACTAATTATAATTATTTGAATTTATTTAATTAAAATAAAAATTAATTGAACGAAAAATATGAAGTTTATTAACTAAATAATTACAATTATTTTCTAATTATCAATTATTCGAGTTATAATAATTATAATAATTAATGAAAATAAAAATTAATTGTATGAAAAATGAAAAGATTATATTAAAATGAAAAATAAATTGTAAAATAAAAAAAAAATTAAAACAATATGAGAATAATATTAAAAAGGGGAGAAATTAAATTTTATGAGAAATGGAAAATTGAAATAATGAGAAAAAACATTAATGTAATGAAATTTTCAGATGGGAAAACGGAGGATTTCCGAAAAACAATGGAATTAAATGTTATTGCTCCGGCAATTTGCATTAGAGAGGCAGTGAGGTCCATGAGAGAAAGAGGAGTGAAGGGCCATATCATTAATATCAACAGGTAATCGAATTAATTGATCTGAATTGCTCATTGATTGTTGATTGACAAATTGTCCCGTCGATTTTCAATTCAAATGATTTACTATTGTTAATTTTTTTAACAAAAAAAAAAAGAAAGAAAGAAAGAAAAAAACAATAACAAATTTATTGAGTTCAATCATTACGAAATTAATTAAAATATATTTAATACATTTACTTTATACGAAATTGTTATTATAATTTTGCTAAATGGTTAAAATTAATTTTGCTAATTTAGCCAGTTTTCGTAAGTGAAAAAAAATATTCTTTTTTTTTGTTGCTTTTTAGAAAAATGTATTTTTATAATTATTTTTAAATAGTGATTTAAATTAATTATTATTTAAAGATAATTATAAAAAATTATTATATACATAAAACTACTTTAATTAATTATATTATAATAAAAAAAAATTTCTAATAATTTTTTTTTATTATTCATTCTTTAGATTTTTAATTTTTTTAAAAATATTTTTCCCCTTTGTTACTATTTTTCAAAAAAATATTTCTAGTAATTTATTTATTTAACAATTTTTTTTTTCAGTATTTTCGGACACGAAGCAGTTCACGTCCCATCTGTCTATTCGAATCTTTACGCCCCCAGTAAATTTGCTCTGACAGCAATGAGTCAACAGGTGCAGGCTGAGTTAAAGGATATAGAAAGTGGAATTAGACTTACGGTGAAATTTATTATTATTATTACTGCTTGTTATTTTTTATTACTATTATTATCAAAAATAAGAACTCTTAAAAAAATTTATTTTCTATTTTAATTTTAATATATAGTATAGTAAATCATTTTTTATAACTAATAACAATTTTAATTTTAATTTAAAAAAAAATTATATTATTATTATCATTATTCTATTACTATTGTTATTAATAATACATTTATTTATGAATTATTTATAGAATTTGAGTCCAGGTTTGACGAAGACTGACATGTCATCGAAATTATGGTCCCTTCATCCCTACGTTGAGGCTAAAGATATTGCTCAAGGTGTAATTTACGCTTTATCAGTTCCTTCACAAGTTTTGGTGAGATATTTTTTATTGCAAATTCGATTGTTTTTACCAAATTGAATGTAATGTTTCAAAACTAAAAAAAAATCCCGGAGCGCACGCGCAGAATTTCGACTAACGAGAGTCAGGCAAGCACCGGGAGTGGGGATAATGAGAGTGAGAGAGAAGAACCGAAACTTCTCTCTCACTCCCATTGTCCCCACTCTCCGCACCTGCCTCACTCTCATTAGTCGAAATTCTGCGCGTGCGCTCCGCGTTTTTACAAATAAATACCTTACGTACCATGATTATTTATACACCATTTAATTAGGAAAAGAAATAAAATAACTATATATTGTAAATACTCTTTCATTTAAATGTTATATTATTATTCAAACACTTTTTACTTCTAAATTAATTATTTATTTCACAATTTTATTAGAAATTTTGTTAATCTTAATTTTATTGATCCCGATTATTTGTTTTTGAATTTACATATTTATCTGTTTTAGGTAAGACAATTATCGATTACTAATCAAGCGGAGTAACAATTATGTAAAAAATAAATAAAACAATTTTTTCAAAATATATTTCATTTGACTCTTTCAAAAATAGTCAATTTCATTAATATGGTTTTTTTTCTCTTTCGTTATTAAATTCACTGCTTCGAATTTAAATGTAATTATTAATTAATCCCCACCCTCCAGCTCTTAAATTTTACTATGCAAAAATTTGTGTTCAAAATCAACCTCAATCGTACAGAATATTTTTTTTATTTTTAATGTTGTTTGTAATATAATTTCACTGTGCAAAAATTTGTGTTTAAAATCAACCTTAATCGTAAAAAATATTTTTTTTATTTTTAATGCTGTTTGTAATATAATTTCACAATGCAAAAAATGTGTATTTAAAATCAATCTCAAACCTAAGAATATTTTTTTTATTTTTAATGTTGTGAATAATCTAATTAAAAAAATAATAATTAGCAACAGTGTAATGATTGTTAATTATGAGTTTATTAGTTCGTCAGACAATGTTTGTTTAAATATTAAAAAACTTTGGGTACATCCTTCGGGAGCAGAAGGAACGCTTCGTCTCCGCTGGACCTTTGCTGGTCGACAGCTTATATACTCCACAGACTAAGTGGTGGGGGACGCGGGACTAGTTGTCGCCTATTGGAGGGGGGACGCGTGCGCAGAACTGACGTATGGGTTGTCAGGACCGTAACTAAAATTTTTCGTGCCTAACTTTTCTTTCCAAATTTAAATTTCTTTTCAAAAACTTAAATTCGACTATCGTTCGAATAGTAGTAAAAATAGTCATAATGATAAAAAATAATCATTGAAAATAATAAAAATAAAAATAGTAATAATGATAATAAAAATAAAAACCTAAGTTACAAAATAAAGTAAAAACAAATTTTCATAATAGTTGTTAATTTTTAATTTTACCTAATTTTTTGTACACAATTTTTAAAAATTATTTTTCTCTCCCTAAAACACAAATTTTTAGTGAGAAATTTTTTTTTTCAAAAATTGAAATAAATTGGTATCAAATTTGCGAGAGAAATAAAATTCTTGTTGGTTCTAATTGTAAATACGTACGTGTATACACGTATACACGAGGTGTGCAAAAATAAAAAACAAAAAAAAATAGAAAAGAAGAAATGAGGTAATTGGCTTTGAAATTCATGGCAAGCGAAAAACAATAGATGTGCTTAATTTGCATTCAAACAGAAATCGCACGAAATTGACAAGGCCATTGAATGTCACTGTCAGCCTTCTCACTCGTCGTTTGCAATCGCGCCATTTCTATTGATAGTTAAAAATCAGGGGAAAAAATTCATTTTTTTCCCTCAACCCCAGTAAAATGCAAGTGCTCCAATTTTTAGCAAAAATTAATAATTAAATGAATGAAAAAAAATTCTTTTTATAAATAAATCTCAATGGAAGGAAGAAAAAATATTTTATAAAATTCAAAAAAAATTTGAATAAACAAAAAATTTCATTAAAGGGGGAATTAATTTCAAATTATTTTATTAGAATTAAAAATATATTAACAAATCTTTCTAAATAGTTATAATAATAATTTTTAATACAATTAATTAATAATATTACTGATTATATAAAAAAAGATTTTACTAAATTTACTAATTAATAATATTAATAGTTAATAATAATAATTAATAATAATAATTAATAATAATAATTAATAATAATAAAGTTAGTCATTAATAATATATTTACTTAATAATATTACTATTTAAAAATATTATTAGTTACAATAATAATAATTAATAACAACATTATTAACTTTTAACATTAGTTAATAATATTAATAGTTAACAATGTTAGTAAATAATAATATTAATAGTTTTAAAATATTATTAGTTATAATTATTAATCAACTAATTAAATTTCGATTAAAAATATAATTTTAAATAAATAAAATAAAAAATTTGATAGAATAAAAAAACTTGTTTTCCAAAAAATACAAATTTACAAATTGTAAATAAATAATAGCCGAGAGAATACAACACAGATAAATATTTTTGCGACAGAGATAAGAAAAGTTAAATCACTGTTGCAATGACCTCCAACAATTAAAAAATAAATTCCATCAATATTGAAACAAAAAAAAATTTTTTGCATTTGTACTCAAGAGTTGCAAAAAAAAATTCTATTTTTATTGGAAAAAAGCAAAAAATATATAAACCTTATAATTTTTTACCCAAAAAAAAGAGAAATTTGAAACTATTATTTGAATTCTAGAGAAATTCGATAGATTCCAAGATAGGAGCCAAAAGTGCTTATTACAGTTTATGGAAATAAAAGAAAAAGGGGACCTTGTAAAATAGCCGATGTGGCTTGTTTTTTTTTCTTCGACTGTTTTTTCTTTTTTTTTCGCTTGTCTGTGAGTCATTGGCAGTGTCTCACTGTTAAAGACAACATAAATATACTATCAGTAGCAAACTGTGCGTCAAAAGATTGGGACTTCAAAAAAAAAAAAAAAATGGATCGTTGGTGTCAAAAAGTGGCTGTTGTCACTGGTGCTAGTTCAGGAATTGGTGCAACAATTGCGGAAGGTAAAAAAATTGCAAAATTAAATAGTAAAAAAAATAAATAAACGCGAATTTGGAAAAAAAATTTATTCACTGATTAAAATAAAAAATTAAATGATAAAAGAATAAGTAAACAAATTTAAAAAATAAAATTGTATTTACTAATTAAATTAAATTTACTGATTGAATAAAAATTAAATAATAAAAAAAATGAATAAACAAATTTGAAAAATAAAATTTTTATTTACTGATTAAATAAAAAATAAGAAACGGTTAAAAATAAATATTAATATTTATTTATTTAAAATACACAACGACAAATATTAGTTATTATTATTAACTATTTAAACAAATTGTTAATTAAAATTATTATTTCAAATTCATAATGCTAATAATAATAATAATAATAATAATAATAATAATAATAATAATAATAATAATAATAATTTTAATTAACAATTTGTTTAAATAATTAATAATAATTGATATTTGACCATATGTACTTTAAATAAATAAATATATAAATAATATTTGTTTATTAAATTGTTTCTTAAATAAAAAAATATTATAAAAAGGTAAATAAACAATTATTATAATTATAATAAAAAAATTTATATTAAAAAAGTTAAAATTTAATTTATTTACAATTGAAACGTAAATAATATTTCCACCCATTTAAATTTGATTAAAAATAAAATTTATATAAAAAATTCCCTAATTAACAATTAAAATAAATGAACCAGAATTTTAAAAAAATCTCAGTGATAATAAAAATAAAAAATAAATAAATAAAATACAAAATAAATATAAAATAAAAAATTTTTTAAAAATTGAATTAGGACTAGAATTTATTTTTGTGAAATTTCTCTGTTTCAAGGTCTGATAAAGGCTGGTTTAAATGTCGTGGGTTTGGCGAGGAAAATGAATAAACTTGAGGAGATAGAGAATCGAGTAAAAAATGAGAAAAGTAAATTTTATCCAATTCAATGTGACGTGAGAAAGGAAGAAGATATCCTAAGGGCTTTTCGATGGATTGAAAATGAACTTGGGGGCGTTGATGTTCTCGTTAACAACGCGGGAATTATTCTCAACGAACCTATTATTGGTAAATTGACGACTCGCAAATTTTAATGAGAGACATAATTCAAGCACACACACCACACACTCACCAATGAAACACACAATAGAATGTAAAAAATTATTATTCGTAAACAACATTATATTTATTATTTAAATTTTAGTCGTAATAATTTTTTTGTTTCATTTCTTTTTCAATTACGATTTTTCATTGTTACGAATTTTATTAATAACAATTTTTTAACTCCTTTTTTTTTAATTTCATGAATTAATTTTATTAATTACGATTTTTTAATTCCGAATTTTATAAACTATAATTTTTTGTTAATAACGATTTTTTTTAATTTTGAATTTTATTAATTAGAATTTTCTTAGATACGAATTTTATTAATTATAATTTTTTTAACTCCGAATTTTTAAATTAAAATCACTAAAATTCAAAATCTGATTCAATTTGAAAACATTTTTGAATTTGCTCTAAAAAAATTATTTATTTCATTTTAATTCGTTAATTATATTTAATTGGAAATTATAATAAAAGTTAAATGAAAAATTAATAAAACTGAATTAAAAATAATTTACAATTAAAATGATAATTTAAAAATGAATTTATAAATCACTGTTTGAAATTAAAATATCAACAACATGATTAAAGTACAAAAAAAAGAAATTTTTTTAAATCAGAAAACTTTGGAAAAAGTTCGAAAAATTCTATTAAATAGTCGTTATTTTAATTAGTTAATTGTAGCTTATTTACAAAACAAAAAGAAGACCATAAAACACATAATAGAACTTGGAAAAATAACTGATAAGAAAAAGAGAAAATAAATTTTAAAAAAATTCCCCTTGAACTAATGAACACGAAAGTTAATGAATTTTAAAAAAGACATTAATTTTAATTTCTCAATTTTCTGATTCTTGCGATTTGAATTAAAAAGCAATATTTTAATGAAGAAAAAAAAAGTTTATTTTACAAAAAAAAGTGCAAAAAATATTATTGATATTATGCGAATCTCGAACAAGAAAAATAACCTTCGATTATAAATTAAATACTACATTAGCATGTCACTTCCGTTGTTTTAATTTAATATAGTAAACAATCGTATGAGAATTCATTCCGATTTTTTAAATCAAAGACATTTGACTTTTTCAAAAAAAGAAAAAAAAATTAAAGAAAAGAAAATAAGAAAAAACTTTTCTCTTATAACAACGTTTGTTTTCATAAACATAGTTTACTATAACGATAAAATTTTCATTTTAAATAAATTTTCAATTTAAATAAAAACTACACATTGCAAATTTAATATACAATACAATTCAACTGTAAGTGAAACATATTTCCGTTATTACAGAAATTGTCGTGAAAATATTAAATAAACTTTTCTGAATTAAAATTGTTTCAAAATTAAAACATTGTAAATTATTTTTTCGCTATTTTATTTAATGCAGAAAATTATTAAATTTATTTTTATACTAAACTCAAACGAATAAAATTTATTTCAAATAAATTTATTTGAACCAAACACAATTTTTTTTAACCAAATACAATTTATTTGAACCAAATGCAATTTTTTTACAATTTACAATTTTTGAAAATACTTTAATTAAAACAAATAAAAATAAATTAAAAATTTTTTTTTTTTTTGAAGTTGTTTTCAAAATAAATCAGAAAAATAACGTGAGGTTAATATTTGAAACTTGTAGTTAAATTGTATATAAAAATCCACACAAGAAAAATTTTGTTAGAATAACAATGATATAAAATTATTATGCTAATAAAAATTTTAAAAAATCTTTTACAGATGGTTCCACCGACGGGTTTCAAAGAATATTGGACGTGAATGTTTTGGCAGTTGCAATTTGCACTAGAGAAGCGACAAAATCGATGAGAAAACGTCGATTCCCCGGCCATGTCATTACAATCAATAGGTGATTCAATTTTCAAAATAAATTTAAATTACATCCGCGTGTGCTTGATAATAATTTTAAGTAATTTGCAACTCATTAAATTTTCCAAATTTACAATTACATTTGTTACATTTACAATGTCTATTGATGAGTCTTTTTAAAAAAAAATTATTTATACCTTTTTTTATCATTATTTTCATTATTACTATTGTTATTATTATTATTATAACTATTTTTATTACTATTATTACTATTTTTATTATTATTATTATTATTATTATTATTATTACTATTATTACTATTTTTATTATTATTATTATTATTATTATTATTACTATTATTACTATTTTTATTATTATTACTATTATTTTTACACCTAGAAAAAATATATATTTGACTCAGAGCCAACTAGACTTTTTATTTGTTTTAAATAAATTTTATTTGGTTTAAATCAAATTTTTCTCTGAGTGCATTATTATTATTTTAATTGATAATATTTTATTTTATAATATTTATAAAAATTATAATAATTTCTGTAAATTCCACTAAAAACCACTTCCGTCTTATTCTGAACTTATCTTCCACTTATTTATTTATAATATTAATTATTATTATTTATCATTATTTTTTTTTATAATAATATAATTTATTACTCATAAATTAATTGATTGCAGTTTCGCTGGTCATTATGCGGAGAGCATTAAAATGCCGGTTAGTTTATATTGTGCCAGTAAATATGCAATCACAGGAATGATTGAATCATTAAGAAATGAATTGGCGGCTATTAAGGCAAATATAAAAATTACTGTAAGTATTAGAATGAAGAAAATTTAATAATAAATAATAACAATACAAAATATTATTTTTGTTAATTACTATGAACTAATAGTAAATATAATTATTATTATTTATTTTGAATAATAATTAGTAATAATAATAATAATACAAAATATTATTTTTGTTAATTGTTATTAAATAATAGTAAATATAATTATTATTATTTACTTTTAATAATAATAACACAAAATATTTTTGTTAATTACTAATAAATAACAATAATTACCAAAAATAATAATTTTCGTCAAGTTTCGATTTAAGGGAACAACAATTAAGTTATTATTAATTATTTTTACACAGAGCTTCAATGGAAAAATTGAATCTACTTTGTCACTACGTCATTTCTCGAATACTATAGCAATTTTTTTGTTAATTTAAAAAAATATTATCATCGGCTTCAATGGTAGAATGCCTCGAGTATTATATACCGTGTAAGCGGATATTATTTATTAGTCAATTAATTTTTTTCTCTAATAATAATCATTGGTGATTTAGTAGTAGAATGCGACGTGTCGATAGTAATACACGAACAGATTTATTTTACTCTTTCTATGGTTTAGTGATTAAATTCCCTTTCAAGTGCCCAGGAAAAATTGCCATGGCAAGAGACATAATTCTAACTTTAGGGCCTTGGTAAATAAAGACATAAACTGTTTAGAATCTTTTAAAATATGAACATAAAATTAGGATTTACTTTTTTCAATATATAAGTTCCCACTTTGTATTGCAAAAAGCGTGGCACAAAGTTTTACTTTTATAGGTTATGTTGAATGGCAAACAAATTTCAAACTAAGAACACTTTCCTTTAGGGTCTAAAATCTTCAAAATTGCTTTGAGTTTTATTATAAAGTATTAATAACGCGGTATCGTAAACTTTTACGAAACCTGATTCTAAAAAAATAGTAACCTAACCTCAATTTTTTATGCCTAGACAATTTTTGTTCCTTTCTTCGGAATACAAATAATGATATTAATATTTACTTCTATTTATTAACTAATTAAAAAAAATTCATGAAGGTTTTAAAATTTTTTTTTATCCTAAAAAGAGTATAAGCCCATCAGCAGTGAGGACAGGAATGCTCCTAAATGCAGGCCTCCCAGAGGCAATAATCGATCAAATTCCCATCCTCGAGACGAAGGACGTCTTGGATGCTGTTATCTTCGTCTTAGCGACGCCACCAAATGTTCAGGTAAAAGCATATTTTAAACCCTAGTATTTTTATCATCATTGACAGAATTTTCTTTTTTCTATTCTTATTCTTCTTTTGAATAATGCACCACTAACTCTTCTCGAAATCAAAAATTATAGATCTTTTAAAAGAGGAAAAACATATTTTTTCTTACAGGTAAACGAGCTCACTTTAACGAGTCTTGGTCTACCCTCAAGCTAAAATATATACTCCATTCTTGAAATGCATATATAAAAGACAGATAAGGATGAACTATTTGCTCAAAGAAAAATGGCGCACTGAGGCTCTTGCATAAATCAATTTTTTTACAATCGAATGATAAAATTTAGACACGCATTTAAGTCTTTAAGAAGAGAAACTTGAATTTGTATACTAAATAAAAAATGTACAAATATTCTAAAAATGGTTTTTTTTGTCTCGAGGCTAAGAGGACAAATCGTCACCTGGTGGATACTTGAACTGTTCTGTTAACGCTTCAGTAGAGAGAAAAATATTCTGCTACTTATTTCCATCGGGAAAAATTTTTCCCGAAAATTTTTACAAACGAAAATTATAGGAGCTTCCTTCATAAACCTTACGCGCAAATTTGCAGCGTGAAAATGGTTTCAATGAATTAAGAAATTATAAATAAATTAATCGACTTGCCGATCGATGAACCACAACTGTAGAACCTCCATCTAAGATCCTTCTGCTTTAGTCTGAAAACAAAAAAAAATATTAAATTAATTCAAAATAAAACATTTAGATTCCTTATTTTTTGAATCGTCTTGCATAAAAATAATTTTAACATAATTATTAAAAACTTGTTTGTTCACCTTTGACTGCAATCGCCAATGCCCGATCTCCATCCCTGAGTTCCGAATCGACATCACTATTTTCTTCCAGGTTTGTCTAAACATTCTTTTCCAAAAACACACTCTCGACTTCGAACACTCCCGAATATTTTCTAAATATTTTCTAAATAACATTTTTAAACACAATAAAATTACTTTTTAAAAATAACTCCCTAACGACGTTCGCGGTTTCAGATAAAATGCGACACTCCCGAAGCTAAGAATTTATTTTTCTTCAAACGGCAAAATTTCGAATATAATTTCGAATTAACAAGAACCTGTTAAAAGAAAAATTCACAAATTAAAATACAACCAAAAATTGACAAATAAGAATAAATTATTTAAATTTAAAAAAAAAAGTTTCCTTGAGAATACTTTTTTTAAGGAATAAGACATCCGTTTGTTTTTGAGTACCGACATTACAGTATTCCTTCCGAATTTCTCTCATAAAAATTTTCGATCGTAAATGCATTCCAAAGTATAATAAACTCTTAAGGTACCACAATTTCAATTTTTAGAATCTATATTTATTGTGCAGAAAGAGCAATAAATTGGAGAATTAATTTCCCATTGCAACTTGAATTTACTTTGTATAATAATAAAGTCCCTTTGTAATAATTTTCAAAATTCTTTTCCTACAAAATTAAAATCTATGATAAAAAAAACAAGTAGCTCTAGTTTTATTTTCTAATTTAATTCACTTTTTTATTTTTAATATTCCATACTCTACTTATTAATTTCTTTTATTATTTAAAATTTTAAATAAAAGAAAATTAATAAATAGCCTTCTTTAAATTTATAATTTATAAACTAAATAACATATCGCGATAAAAAAAAAATGATCTACATAATTGGAAATCGAATTTAATTAGTGAAGTCTTAGGTGTTGAACGCTAATTAAGAAAATTATATATATTTACTTTTTTTTAGAGTAAATTCTCTGCATATAGTTTAAAATAAATATTTATTGTAGAAATTTTGTGAGGAATGGACAAAAAAAATTGTAAAAAGCCCATGTGTATGCAAATTTTATGCATAAATTAAAAATGCACAGACTTATATCTTTTTTTATCTCCTTTACTTTATTTCCACTCGGATAATTTCAAAATTAAAAAAACTTCCTAAAAACTAGAAAAATTAAAATGGACCAAATTATTTTCTTTATAAAATTTTTCTGGAAAGAAAAATTTTATAAAGAAAAAAAATTTTTTTGCGAAAAGAAACATTCTTTCCAAATTTTTTTCTTTATAAAATTTTTCTGAAAAGAAAAATTTTTTTGCGAAAAGAAACTTTCATTCTCAATTTTGTACGTACTAATTATTGGGGTAAAAATAAATCAAACCGTTATGTAGAAAAAATTCCTATTTACCAAAAATAATCATTTGCTTTAATTCTGCAATGCTCTGAATTAAAATTTAGATATTTTGTCTCTTTCAATGTATTTTATAATATTTTTTTTAACGCGGAATCAATAATGAAGTCTCAGATTGAAATCTAAGATGACAAAGCGCCTTTCATTCAATATCCGGTGATTGAAGGTCTAATTTCGATTTTAATGATTGTTTTGTGACTTACCAGGCCGTCAACTCTTCGTATCAGCGGACAAGGTCCTTCCGAGGATTTGCTCGTTGACAAAAAAAAAGAAAAAGTCGTTCGAACCTCAGGAAATTCTTCGATACAAAATCAGTCTTTCTATTCTTCACAGCATCTGAGAAAAAAAAAATAAGCCTAGATAATTAGAAAAAGTGAGAAATTTATTAAGTTTTGCCTATTATGTCCTCTTTTTAAATAAAAAAATAAATAATTAAAAATCGAAAATTCATCCCCAGTTTTTAAAATTTAATAAATGAAAAAATATATTTAATAATAATAAATAAAAATTTATATTTATAAAATTTATGATCAATTTGAAAAGAAATAAAAATAAAAGACGTGCAAAAATAGAAGAAGAAAAAATTAAAAAGGACAAAAATTAATTAATTAAGGACTCTTACCATGAATCCCGAGTTAATTAAAATTGCATATACACGGTCTCTTCAGAAATAAGATTTACGATAATTATTTAAATCCGGAAAATTGAGACCGCGTTAGAAGGAGAATTAAATTTTTTTATGATTTTCATTTTCACCAAAAAAAACATCTACATATCTCATTTATTTCGTATTCTACATTTTTTATTTGTTAACTTTGCTATTTTGTTATATTTAGATTTTAAAAATAAATTGAAGTGGATTCGATTTGAATCGAGAACAGAGGGGATTCAATCGAAAATAATAATTGTTTGTCGAGGTAGAAAAGAAGACTTCGTCGTCTTATTCTATTCAATACTATATAAATTTCAAGAGATATTCGATAACAAGATTAGTTTAATTAAACTTTTTTTTCTTATAAAAATTCCCCAACTCTATTTTTCACATAATACTAATTTTATTGATAAAAAATTTTTCTATTCTGAAAAAAATGTTTTCCCAACTTTATATAATTTAATAATAAAAAAAAGTACCAAAAAAAACATTTGAAATCAATAGTTTTTTCATTTCTGGTAAAGAAAATGATGTAAAGATTATGAAGAGAATCGTTTAAAATCAACTAAGCCGAAGGCCAAGATTTAAAACAAAATTTTACAAAGAAATTGACAAAATACCGAATTTTTAAAATAAAAAAAAAAATTTAGGGCAACTTCCAAGATGATATTGTATTCTTGAGACAATTTTCCAAACACTTTATTAAGAATACATTTTTCCTGAAAAGAAATTATTATTATTCATACTTGAAAATAAAAAATGATTCATTAAACTAAATTTCGTAACATTTATTGAATATCACAATTTGGAAACTCAAGAAAGGGCTGATTATTTTTAAGAATCTATCAAAACTAGAGACATTTTTTCCAGAAAGAAACAAATTAAATGTTCAAAAACAAAATTATTATAAATATTAAGAAGTGATTTTATATATATAAAATCACTTCCTGCGCCTTGATATATTGTTATAACTTCAAGGACTTAGAATTTCTGTGATTTATTTATTCTTTTCAATTTGTAACTAAAAATAAAAATTTCATCAATTCTTTATTATTTTCAAATGTAAAATTATTTAAAAAGATTTTTAAGCAACGAAAATTTAATTTTTTGTTTATATTCAATTAATTGATACCAATTTTAAAATTAACTCCTCTGTGTCTCTATCAGTTTTATCTAAAAAATAATATTGATCCAGATCTAGGCAACAGATAAGAGATGCTTCCTCATAAAGGAAGTTATTTTTCGAATGATGGCCTTTTATTGAATTTTTACACATTCTTAAACGAACGTATCTTGTTTTCTGAATCAATTTTCTTTATCACAATAGCATCATTTTCCCTCTCTCTCCCTCCCAAAAAATTGCAATATAAAAATGTTTGTTAAAAAACCAATTATTTACAACTAATTTAAAATAAGTATTAAATAATTATTTTTTATACTATTAAATATTATTTCTTATAAAAATTAATTCTCTTGTTTCGAATATAATTTTTCTTTTTTTTAAAACTTTAGGGACTTTAGGCAATTAATTTTTTTCCTATCCGAAATGTCTCGAGGATTTTTATAAAATACTCTGTTTTTATTTACGACCCTTTCTAGAGATTTTTGAACTGCAAACTGAGGGGAAAAGTTTCAAAGTAAAAAACTTTTATTCTCAACAATATTTTTGGCCGTTTGCCCACCTCGTTAAGTGGATATAATAATTCAAAAAAAGTCAATATAGTTCTAAAGTTTTTATGAATTTTAATTGAAGTCAGTAGTAAAAAAAGAAGAAGAGAAGAGATAAAAAAGTAGAAGAAGATGAATAATAAAATGAAGAATTGAGAATCTTTCTTTTTCTTTTTTGAACAGGAAATTAGAATTCTCAAGTTTTCTTTCATCCTAGAAACTAAGAACATGAAATATCCCCCACTTGTAAAATCTTTTTTCCTTCGAATCTGTTCAAGTGAGAAAAGCAACTAAAGGTTCTTATCGTGATTCTAAAGTGAAAAGCTAACAGTATCATTTCAACTCTAGCACAGGAATCTATTGCAAAAAAAAAATTTTTCGGTAAGATTTGTATTTAATTATTTAAGAAAAAAAAATTCGTAAATTTAATTTTTCCAACGCATTATTATTTATATTCTATGGAAGTAAATTTAATTTCTCCCTGCATTTTTTTGAAATAAATTTTAAATTTATTTTTACACTCGGAAAGGACAATATTACCACGATGTAATGAGAATTCAAAATTAAAAACTTATTCAAGTGAAGTTAATTTATTTCTATTTTTTTATCACTTTCATCATGTTGAATGCTCGGAAAATATTTTACAACTTTTATTAATTAAACTTTATTTTTAAAAATCTGTCAGAAAAAAATTAAAAATTGTCTTTGCGTATTAAAAAATATTTTTATTTGTAAAATATAAAAATCTCTCTCCAAATTTTCTCATCTTTTATGAAAGTGCTAAATTAGATTTTAAAATCAAGATAATTTGCATATTTGTTCCCAAAAGTGTTAACTTTTCGTATTTTTGTTAATGATAAGATAACGTTACACTTTTGGCGCTAACAAAAAAAATTATTCTAACTAATTTATTATGCAAATTTAAAGAATTTAATTAAAATTACATAAATTAATAATAAAGTTTAATTAACAAAATCATTTAATAATAAATTAATATAATTAATTGATAATTTAATAAAATTATTAAATAATAAAATTAGTTAATAATAAATTTACGGAAAAGTGTACCTTCTGTGCGAGAAAAAATGAAACAAAAATTCAAGACTCGAACTTGACCTTCAAAAAGAAACAGGAAGTTTCACTATATAAAATAAAAATAAAAAAAATATAAAATAACGAATACTTTGTCTTTAAAAATTAACGATTAAAATCGCTGACAAAAAATGAATAGTAATAACGTACAGCATATAATTTTTTTTGCATGAAGAAGTAAGTGTTAAAAGTTGAAGACAGGTGAGATTAGTTGTTATAACAAGAAAGCAATTATTTAAGTCAAGAAGGCGCATCAGCTGCGAGAAAAACCGGAATCGCAAACCACGGAAGAACTTCGGCAATGCGCAACTTAAAGATTAATTGGTGTGGTTTTAATCGGTATTTTCTTCCACACCCCGATGAATTCACGAAGTTTTGGATACAAAATTTATCTATGTCTATGTGCACATTTAACAACATTCAAGTATTTATATTTATATATATGTATATAAAACAGATATATACTGAAAGTTTATTAAGATAATTTCACGCCACGTGCACAAAACTGATTTCTATATTAATTATCAATAATTAAAATACCTTATTCTTTATCAATAAATTTAATAGACTTGTAAAATGTCCATAATTATTCATAATTAACTTTATAATTGTTTTCTCCCAAATCTTTTTTTTCAGGAAGATCAAATTTCACTGATATAACCTAAAAATTATCTATTGGTGATTAAATCTAGAAATTTGTCCATAATTTATTAACCTACAACCTTTCTAGTTCGCAGGAATTTCGGTGATTAGTAATAGACTCGATATAAAAATAAATGTTTTTTCTCACCCGCCATAAACCATTGATTTCTTATTATACGATCTGTGCGCTAATGCCGAGAAATTGGGCATTGTTGGGCATCAACAGAAAGCGATGCGTCAAAACGCATATGTACCAACTTTCGGAAATTGAAACTCAACAATGGCGCGAAATTTAAATATTATTTTTGAAAAAACGAACAGCTAATAGAAAACGAGTTAACAGTTAATAGAAAATATTATTTCATTAATTACTAATATTGAAAATAATAAAATGAATAAAAAATTAAAATTTTGGGAGTAATTAAAATTAGGAAAAATTTCGCCTGAATGAAATAGACTGACAAATTGAAATTTATAGATAGCCTTCGAATGATAATCATAAGCGCAATACTCGATTTGCTTGGAAGCACCTTGGCATTTCAATAATGGCTTAACGCTCTGTTATGTATCTCTCGCTGTCATTCTCGTATTACACTTTCTATCTGTTGCGAATTTATAACATTTAATTCAAAACAAAAGATTCTCGCGCCTAATTTCATTTTAAGTGCTCCTTAAAGAAATTTAATCGACTCTGACAAAATATGAGATTTTTCACCGAGAAAGTTCTTGAGGAAATTTATTTCTTTTTTAAATTTATTTGTCTTGTTGTACTTTACTACTACTACCACTAAAATATACTTTAAATTCTAACGAAGAGAAGATTTTTCTTTTAAATTAATTTTCAATTTAAATAAAATTGATATGCATATATATTAATTAGTTCTTTTAATCTCGTCACGATGCGCGACGCTCGACTGAAAACTGAAATTGTGCGTTGAAATCTAATTTTCCTCCATAATATATAACAATTGAGCGCGCAAACCTGTTTGGAATAAATTATCATTCACATAAACTCGACAGGAAAAGTTCCTATGGCAATCAAATTGTTTATCGCGTATTACTGCGGGGGAATCGAGAAAATATTATTCAATATACTAGTTCTCAACATTCTTTTTCAATTATTAAATATTTTTTTCATAAACTCGACAATAGTGAAAGACAATTCTCTAATCGTAGTTAGAACGATTTTTAGAGAAATAATTTTAAAATTTTGATAATTTTTTTGGGATTCAAAATAGAAGAAAATCCTTTTTATTCTCGTCATTAGATTCGAAATGGTGAGATGATACTTGTTAGTAGTATAATTCGCTCGTTAAAAGATCGCTTTTTCTTTCTCAAGAGAGAGAAAGAGAGGATGTTCTCCACGCTCTGAATACTTGGCGTGTTCCTCCTGTTAGAAGTAGCAGGAATATTCAAAGAACATTAAAGTCAAAGTAATAAAGCTAAAGCACTCAGTCGGGAACGGTCAGTTCATTTCTCGTCTCTATACTGCGCACCACAGAAAAGCGCTCGTGATTCTTCGAGCAGAAAACGCGACCCCGCAATAATTTTCCACCAGAAGATGACCCGCCCGAGGAGGAGGAAACGGGATCCTCGATGGAAATAAGAGGACACGTTTCCTCGCCAAGTAAGCAAATCTTCTCGTTATTTGAATCCCCGAGGTGAATTTCCAATATCGAACGCTTTTTCTCTTCACAGTTGTTCCACTTTAAATTTTCCAAATCGAAAAAAGAAACTAAATTACAAAAACTTGAAACTAAATCTAATCTACTTGTTTATCATTAGGAAAAAATATTCATTACTAAATGAATCTAATTATTAATTATATTTTCAGTAATGAAAAAAAAGAAATTAAAATTGAGACCTACATTCTTTTTAGAATTTATTACAGATTTCGATGAGATGAGGGGTGTAATTTTATGGCTAGCATTAGTGCTAGGTTCACTATTTTCCAATACGATATCAAGTAGAATTCCGTCGTCCTCATTTTCGGGGAAAATAGAAGATTGCGAGGAAAAGAAGAACAAACCGCACATCATAATTATTCTTGCTGACGATTTGGTAATTTTCCCACTAACTATAATTGTTAGACGATGACAAAAAAGCTAAAATCATGAAAAGAATTTTTTATATTTTGCACCTTCATTCATTCATTCATTCATTCATAGGGATGGAACGATGTGGGTTTTCACGGATCGAATCAAATATCAACACCAAATATCGATGCTCTCGCGTACAATGGAATAATTTTGAATAACCATTACGTCGCACCATTATGCACACCCAGTCGAGCTTCTCTTTTGACCGGAAAATATCCCATTCACATGGGACTGCAACATCTTGTTCTCTTTGAACCAGAACCACGGGGACTTCCCCTAACCGAAAAACTACTCCCACAGGTAAAATTCACCCAATAAAGAGAATATTCTCCAAAAATTAATCAGTTCGATTCAAAATTAATCAACTCGATTTTTAGTATTTACGAGAAGGCGGTTATAAGACACACGCAATTGGCAAATGGCACCTGGGATACTATCACGAGGACTATACACCAACATTTCGGGGATTTGACACTCATTTTGGCTACTGGAATGGTTTTCAAGATTACTATTCACACATTGTCCAATCGACAGTGAGTAAATTTGATGACTCAATGGATAATTTGAATTATATTTTTCGAGGGAAATAATTTTGAAGATATTTGATTACTTCTCCTGAATAGAAAGAAGGATATCGGGGATTCGACATGAGGCGAAATATGACCACGGCTTGGGACACGGCAGGAAAATATTCCACGGATTTATTTACAGAAGAAGCGATTCGTCTAATTGATCAGCACGATCAAAGTAATCCTATGTTCATGTACTTGGCTCATTTGGCGCCACACACGGGCAATCAGGACAATCCCTTTCAAGCACCCGATGAAGAAATCGCTAAATTCTCCTACATTCAGGATCCCGAGAGAAGAATATACGCAGGTTTGTTACTTTCAATTAAGTGATAATTAATGACTCGAATTTTGTAGTTATTTTGTTGATATTCTTTTAATAGTAGTTATCGTTTTAGTATTTTGTTTCCTCATTGGGGAAGTATGTCAAATAGTGTATTTTTTTCCAAACACTTTATTAAGGATACATTTTTCCTGAAAAGAAATTAATATTATTAGTATTATCCACAATTAAAAATGTTCTAGAGAAGAGAGAAATGAAGAAATGTTAGTAAATCCAAATTAATTATTAATTAGGTAAATTACTTATTAAAATTAGGTCAAGATCGAGAGTCCCTCAGTATCTTCTAGCTTCTAATTAGTACCTACAAAAATAATTTTAAAGTATGACAAAAATAATTTTCCAGCAATGGTCTCGAAATTGGATCAAAGCGTTGGAGAAGTTATCGCGGCTCTGAGACGACGTGCAATGCTCGACAACAGTATCATTATTTTCTTATCTGATAATGGAGCCCCGACAATGGGAATTCATAGTAATCGAGGCAGTAATTATCCTCTACGTGGAGTAAGTAACTAACATTCGTCTACCAAATTGAAAATTTCCAACCTAACGTCAATTCCTGCCCGTCAATTTTAAATTAAATCCGAAATTGTATAATTAAATTAGATAAAAGAAACACCTTGGGAAGGAGCCGTTCGTGGCGTAGCTGCAATTTGGAGTCCCCTAATCGAAAATCCAAAACGTGTATCAAATCATCTAATGCACATTGCCGATTGGCTTCCCACCTTATATTCCGCTGCGGGTATAAACAAATTAGCAGTAAATTAATAAAATAAAAAAGTAAATGCGCAAAAAAATATTAAAGTATTTTACAAATAGGTCTCGATCCAAAGAACTTGGGAACAATTGACGGACACGATTTGTGGTCGACCCTTGTCACAGAGAAGAATAATCCACGATCCGAGATTTTAATCAACATTGACGAGATTGCAAATTACGCGGCGATTCGTCGAGGCGATTTCAAATACGTTATTGGCTCGACGAAAAACGGTGAATTATGGTACGGTGAGACTGGAAGAGAGGAGGAACAACAAATCGAAGGTTGTCTACCAACGTACAATCCTCAAGAGATTTTGATGAGTAAAGCAGGAGTCGCTATTTCAGGCGCCATTACTTCGAAACAAATCCAACAAATGCGAATCGTACGGGAAAATGAGTCATCACCAAGTTTGAAATCGAAAATTCAGATTCTCCTACAATCCGAAATTATAAAACTTAGAAACGACGCTGAAGTTATTTGCAACGTGAAAAAAGAAGACGAGGTTCTTATCCATTTCTTACAATAAATAGATTTTAAAAAAGATTCAAATAAAATAACTTAATTTATTTAACAGGTGACCTGTAATCCAATCGAAGCACCTTGCCTCTTCAACATCAAGGAAGATCCCTGCGAGAGGATAAATCTCGCCGCAACTCGACCAATAATTCTAAAAACCCTAGAAGACGCTCTCCTCAAATACAAACTATCAACAATTCCAGCAAGTAATGTCGAAAATGACAAGAACGCAAATCCAATAAATTGGAATCAAACCTGGACAAATTGGATGGATGATAATCCAATAAAGTACGATTCCACAAAGAAATCTGCGCAAGGACAGACAATAATTATCGCCATAATTGCCGTAATATTTGGTCTTCTAATAATAGGAATGTTTGTCCTTATGGGTCTCAATTGTGCGAAAAAATCATTCCAAGAAACTCGCTCATTCGTTGAATATGACGATCAAATAAGCAGCGGTCCAGGTTCAATTTCCGTGCAGGACGAGAGAAGAATATCTCACTATTCAAAAGATTTGCCAAATTTCAAGGCAATCGATTCGTTTAGGGACGTGACTAAAAATATCGATTGACAAAAGGAAAAGGGGTTCGCGAAAAATCGCACTTTGACTAGAATAAAAATTTTCTACATTTCTCATGCTAAAAGGGAAAAACATTAAACTCCGTTCCCTTTTCGCGGATTTCTTGGAGGAGTCGCAGGAGGGAACGGAGTTTTTATTTTCAGCGAAGAAAACTGATTTGTGAATAAAACTTATTTATTTAATTACTGAAAATGCGAACCTCGTGAGTCGACTGTCGACTGGTAATTTTCGATCACGGGAATATTTTTATGAATATTCTCATTCGACTCGAAAAATTCCGTCAAGTGATTAATAGGAAAACGTACTTGGAAATCAAGTATTTTCGTACATTCCAAAATAAAGTAATTGAAACTAAGTCGTAGAAAATATAATTTATAAAAATTCGAAATTTAATTTGTCGGTGCAGTTTGTAAATATAAAGTTAAGTGCACTTTCAACTTTTAGTAAAATGTATACTTTTAAAATAAATGGTAAGCAGAATATGACTTTTATTTAGTTCTTTAATCTTTATTTGTAATTTTCCCTGCAAAATTCAATTTTCTTTTTGTAGTAGTATAAATATTTGTTTATACTTATGCAAGTAAATAAAAAAAGCTAAAAGTAATAAACCTTATCTTATCATTTGACGAAAGCAAAACGTATTTATTTTATGCAAATTGCTATTTTTAGTGAAAAAAAAAATATTTCCTTTACTCCCGAATTATTTTCGTTTACATAAACTCTTAAAAAAATGAGAGTTGTGCTGATTTATTTAATATCGATAATTTTTATTTTTGCAAAAGGAGAAGTAGCTTCAATTAAAAATTCATCAGGAAGAAAAAATGGGACGAAACGGCCAAATATTATTTTAATTCTAGCTGACGATTTGGTGAGTTGGCAAAAAAAATTAGAAACCTAATATTAAAATTTTAACATCTAATTTTCATAAAATTGAAAAAATTCTTTTAATTAATAGGGATGGAACGATGTTAGTTTTCATGGATCAAATCAAATACCAACGCCTAATATCGATGCTCTTGCGTATAATGGTTTAATTTTGAATAATCATTATGTGGCACCATTATGCACGCCCAGTCGAGCTTCTCTTTTGACCGGAAAATATCCCATTCATACAGGAATGCAACATAGCGTTCTCTTAGAACCTGAACCACGAGGACTTCCACTCACCGAAAAATTACTACCAGAGGTTTTTAAATCACAATTGTTTCTTATAGAAAATTGAATTATAAATTCAATTCAAACTTAAATTATAAATTCAATTTTTTATCTTATAAGATTCAAATATTCCGAAACTGAAAAAATACTGAAACTTAATACTTTAGGGATTCAATTATCCCGAACTAAAAAATACAACTAAAATTTTAAAAAACTTCCCCTAATGACAGTATTTGCGAGAAGTCGGATACAAGACACACGCAGTTGGAAAATGGCACCTGGGATTTTATCGTAAAGATTACACACCATGTTATCGAGGATTTGACTCTCATTTCGGCTACTGGAATGGTTTGCAAGATTATTATTCACATATTGTTCAATCGACAGTGAGTATTTTTTTTTATCGCAATTGGAATAATTTTGAAATCAAATTCAATTCGAATCTGAAATTAATTTGAAACCAAATTCAATTCGAATCCAAAATTTAACTTGAAAAGCAAATTCAATTCGAATTTAAAATTAAATTTGAAACCGAATTCAATTCGAATCCAAAGTTAAATTTAAAACCAAATTCAATTCGAATCCAAAATTAAACTTGAAAAACAAATTCAATTCGAATCCAAAATTAAATTCGTAAACAAAATTTAAATCCAAAATTAAATTTGAAAACAAATTCAATTCGAATCCAAACTGATTGTGAATGAATTTTAAAAATGGAATTCACAAAGAATCATTATTTTTCTGTCTCTTAAAAAAAGTTAGAAAAATATCGAGGATTCGATATGAGAAGAAATATGAGCGTAGCTTGGGACACAGCGGGAAAATATTCTACGGATTTATTTACGGAAGAAGCGATTCGTCAAATTGATGAACACAATCAACGTGATCCTATGTTCATGTACTTGGCTCATTTAGCACCTCACACCGGAAATAATGATAAACTCTTTCAAGCACCCGATGAAGAAATCGCTAAATTCACCTACATTCAAGATCCCGAGAGAAGAATATACGCAGGTCTGTTACTTTCGAAATTGATTTAGTAATCAATGGACTCAATACTACAACAAATATAAAATTTTGTAGTTATTATAGTATTTTGTTCTCTCATTGGGGGAAATTTGTGAAATACTGAATTTTTTAAAATTCTATTAAAAATTAGACTCGATATTTACTACAAATATAAAATTTTGTAGTTATCATTTTAGTATTTTTCTTCCTCATGGGGGAAGTGTATCAAATATTGTTTTTTTTCCAAACACTTTATTAAGGATAAATTTTTCCTGAAAAGAAATTAATATTATTATTATCCCTAATTAAAAACTATGCTTCCTCATGGGGAAGTGTATCAAATATTAATAGACTCTACAACTACAAACATAAAATCTTTTTTCTTAGTTAGTTTTTTTTTAAATACAAATCTTACCTTTGAATTCGGACCTTGACTGATGAAAATTGAATTTTCACAATAACTGAAGGTGATGAAAATTTTTTCTTAAATAACATTCCAGCGATGGTTTCAAAATTGGATCAAAGTGTCGGAGAAGTTGTTGCTGCTTTGAAACGTCGTGGAATGCTCGATAACAGTGTGATTGTATTCATGTCGGATAATGGAGCTCCAACAATGGGAATATACGGTAATCGAGGCAGTAATCATCCGCTGCGAGGAGTAAGATTAATCTCTTATTTTATATCTCACTTTTACTATAAAATTTTCTCCATTTTCCAAATTTCCAAATTCAATATACTTTCAATAATAATTTTTCCATAATTACCTCCTAGATAAAAGCGAGTCCTTGGGAGGGAGCCGTTCGTGGATCAGCAGCAATCTGGAGTCCTCTAATCAAAAATCCCAAAAGAGTCGCAAATCACTTAATGCACATTTCCGATTGGCTTCCAACTTTATATTCCGCTGCGGGTAAAGAGCAAAAATTTTTACAATAAAATAAACTGAAAATAAGGAACAAAATATAATAAAGAAAGAATATAATAAAAAACAAAATAAAAAAATACAAAAAAAAATTGTTTTGAAAAATAGGTTACGATCCAAAAGCTCTCGGGAAAATTGACGGAAAGAATTTGTGGTCAACCCTCGTCACGGAGGAAAATAATCCCCGAGATGAAATTATCATCAACATTGACGAGATTGACAATTATTCAGCAATTCGAAAAGGTGATTTCAAATACCTAAATGGTTCGGCGAAAAATGGAGACTCTTGGTATGGCGACACCGGAAGGCCAGAGAAATTCCCAACTGAGGGCGTTTCACCGAAATTTAATCCTGAGGACGTTCTTCAAAGTAAAGTCGGAATTGCCATTTCTCAACTCAATTTAAGTTCAATTCAAGGAACGGATGAGAAAAATCCCTCCCACAAAATGACTCTCACTTCTCGAGAAATCTTAACACTTAGACGTGATGCTGAGTTGATCTGCAACTTGAAACAAAATGTAAGCAACTTAAATATAAATTCAGTAAATAATATAAATTTTCCATCTCCTTTTTTTCTTCTTTAATTTTATTTTACCTTATTTTTATATCATTAATAAACTAAAATAAAAAATACAACTTACTTGTTCACAGATAACATGCGATCCATTAAAAGCTCCTTGTCTCTTCAACATAAAAAAAGATCCATGCGAAAGAATAAATCTCGCCACGACTCATCCCGATATTTTAAAATCACTGGAATCATCAATATTGTTTTATAAAAAAACAATGACTCCAGCGTCAAACGTTCCAAATGATCCCAAAGCCAATCCAATCAATTGGAACGGAATTTGGACAACTTGGAACGATTCTTCTCTAAGATAACTTCTCAATTTCTCACATTACGATTTTGTCTTCATCTCCTCTATACTACTACTAAACAAAAAAAATAATAATTAGAAACAAAATTTACAATAAATGCCTAAACGGCTCTTTATTAATAATAATCAACCATCGGAAATTCTTATTCTGTACAAAATTTTGCATGACTGATAAACACAATGACTGTCACATGTAATGTACTGTCACATTAAGTAATTTTACATGTACACATTTCTAAAAATATAATTTTACTTATTTATAAATATATTTTGTCAGACGAAAAATCACGATCTTAGGAGAGAAAAAAAAAATTCTTCTCTCTCATTTTCTAATGCTTAAATATATTCACAAATCGTGATTTAACGCAGACCTTTTTTTTTATCGTGAACAATGCACTGTATGAGAAAACGATATTCATGGCAAAAAGGAGTTGATATCAAAAAAATAACCGAAATGTACAATTTTTTTTTCATCAAGGCAACTCTCATAAATACTTCACTTACTTATTATACATATTATTTATATAGAATTATTTCATTTGTTGCTAAAATATATTACAATAGTTTGCACCTAAAAGTCTCTTTTGTTTAAAATTTTCTGTCTAGATCGTTATTTTTTTTTTTACTTTAATTAAGTCTTCTTGCATTCCAAGACTGAATTTTTCATCAGATTAGTTTTTTTTAATTATTGGCAGTTGCTTCCTACAAGGAATGTATTTCCAGGACGAAGCGAGAATGATTTCAGCTTCATTTGTTTTCTTTCATCACATGTGCATCACCTTCGGTGTGCTTGAATTTAAAAAGAGAATATTTTTTTTATTATTTCACTAGGGTTATAATAGAAATTTAGAAATTTATAAATTTATAAATTAAATTAAATTTGACTTTTATTTAATTTTGTAGATATTATTAATTTTTCTTTATTTTAAAGCATTTTTTAGGCATTTTTATTTTCTTTAAATGTCATTACATTTTTTTTTAATTTGACTTTTTTATTATTAAAACTTTAAATTTAACTGAAAAATAATTAATTACAATTTAAATTTTCAAATAATATTTATTATAATAAATATTTGAAAATTTAAATTATAAGCAATTATTTTTCAGTTTAGTTTGCAATTTTTTTCTACTGATTTATTTTCAATAAACATTAATATTTTTTATAATTAAATTTTTTTTCGTATAATTTACGATTTATTAATTAACTTTCTTAATTGAAAAATCCTTTATTTAAAGAATTATTTCTTAATTTTGTTTCAATTATTGTTTATTTTTACTCAGTTTTGTTAGGTTTTAATTTTTCTTTTTGAAAATTAGGTTTGAAATTTATTTTTTATTCAATTATTAATTTTTAAAAGTCATGTTTTCTCTATTAATTAAAAAAAATTTATAATTAACTTCTTTTAGAGGAAAAAAATGGAAAATTCCAAAAAATTAGTTTCTTAATATGTTTTTAGTAAATTAAAAAGAAATCTCACCTTTTGCCCCACAGCCAATTCATCAAAACGCTCGATTGACTCTGAACGTCTCTCGCTGTGAATAAATAAAAATAATTTTATTTTCGAAACAATAAATTGTCGAAACAAAAATAATTGAAAAAGAATAAAGAACTTTAAATAAAAATAAAAAAACTTCTGTAAAGCTAAGAAATAAATAAAATAAAAATAAAAGGCTAATAAAAATAAAGAAAAAAACTAATAAATAAATTTAAAAAATAAAAATAAATGAATACAAAATTTAAAAGAAAACGAAATAAAACGGAAAACTATAAATAAAAATAATAATCTTCTATAGAACTACGAAATATATAAAAAAATTAAAATTTAAAAACTAAAATAAAAAATAAAAATAAGAAAATAAAAAGTAAAATTAAAAGACTAATAAAAAATAAAGAAAAAAACTAATAAATAACTTTAAAAAATATAAAAATAATAGAATAAAAAATTAAAAAGTAATCAAAACAAAAAAAGACAATTATTTTAAAACTTCGAAAAAGAAAAGACACCGAAAATATTTGCAGAAAATAAAAAATTTTAAACTTGGAAAAAAATACTGTAAATTGTGAATAAAAATTACTAAAACAAAAAAGAATGAAAATGTTTTGAAAAAAATGAAAATTTGGAAAATATGAGTAAATGTGGAATAAGATTACGTACAAAGTGTATAATTGGCATTGATAAGTCTGGCTGCAGCTTCAGGCGGTAAAGTACTTAAAACATCTTTATGGGCAAGCAGGGACATTTGCTGTGTGTGCCTCAGCTCTCGATCATCTCTCAGTCTCACGTCCTTTGAGTGTCCAACCGTGTGCAATTGCGAAAGTCTAAAGGTAAAAACTAGCTTACACAACTTGCCAGGAGCCAAATTAAACGAAAATAAATAAATAAATAAAAAAGAACAAAATCTACTTTAATAAAATAAGGAAATGACGATAAATAAATTTTAATAACAAATTTATACAGAATTTTTTTCTAATGGAAACAAAAAATCTTTAAAAAAAATCCTAAGAGAAAAAAAAATGTTTCTCGACATTAAAATTAAAATCTTCGAAAATTAAAGTCTCCGAAAATTGAGTTAAAATCTCTGAAAATTAAAATTTACAAAAATAATAATTTTCAAAAATTACAATTTTCGGAAAAATTACAAATTAGAGGGACAGATTTTCAAATAAATACTAATTATAAAAAAGGGTTGTGAATACAGGCTTCGGATCGACTTCTAGACGCGAAAAAATTCACTTTAGTCCATTAAAGATATAAAAAAAATTCGAAAATTATATTTTCCTGAATTATTACTGATTTCTAATTTCAATTATTCAAGAATTCAATACTTTTGTTAAATAAATATTTACATATTTGTTACTTATTTTTCAATTAAAATCCTTTAAATTTCAATTTTTCATATCAAACCTTCCGAAATTAAATTAAAAAAATTTTTTGCTTTCAAATATTAATATTCCAATTTTGGAATAATTTCTGATTCAAAATTTTAAAAAATCCAAATATTATCTGATTTACTAAAAATAATTATTTATTGTTTTGAAAATTACGTAAAAGAATTCAATTATTTTTAAAAATTTCAAAAATTCTTCACAAAAATTCAATTATTTTCATAAATTATAAAAATTTTCGCAGGAATTAAATTATTTTAAAGAATTTTAATAAAATTCTTGATAAAAATTCAATTATTTGAAAAACATTTAGACGAAATTCTTTATAAGAATTCACTCTGTATTTTAAATACAATTTTAATAAAATAAAAATTTCAATTATTTTCATAATTAATAATATTTCTCGAAAGAATTAAATTTTTTTTTAAAAACTGTTAATTAGAACATTTTTCTCTGAAATTCAATTATTTTTAAAAATTCCAATAAAACTCTTTTTAAGAATTTAAATATTTTGAATATTATTTTAATTAAATTTCTGGTAAAAATTAACTTTTCTTTAAAGATGTTAATTAAATTTTTCGCACTGAAATTGAATTATTTTGAAAAATTTGGACAAATTTCTTTATAATATGAATTCAATTAGGTATTTCAGATTTAAAATTATTATAGATTTTTAAAAGATAATTGAACTTCTTGAATTTTTAGACGATTTAAGAGATCAAAACAGTTTTTTTTAAGGAATTTTAATTAAAACTTTTGAAAATTCAATGTTTTCTACAAAATTTTTATAAGGAACCGAAAAGAATTTTTAAATATGTAATGCTAATTTATTTTTTTTCCAGAAAATAATTAAATTTTCCGATATGTTATTGAATCACTATTATTTTTTAATTTTTTAATTAATATTATTCACTATGTTATTGAAAATATCGAAAATAATTGAATTTAAAAAATTATAGAAAAAATTAAGAATCCATTTTTTTTCAATATTACGAAGAAAAAGGGTAAAAAAAAATATTTGAAAAGAAGAAATAACGAAAAAGTTTCACTATCCGAAGCCTGTAAATTCATCAAAGTCAAGAAACCTACTAATAGTCTCTAAAAACATTCAAATATCTACAAAAACTACAGAGACTACAAAGAAAATATCTATGAAAGAATGAAGCAAAAATCATAAAAAATAAAAAAAAGTGAATTTAATAAACATTTCAGATTCAACATTAATATTAGTATTAAATATTCAGGAAGAAAAATTGCTTTCAGTTTGAACGTTCAAATGGGAAAGAATTTGGAAAGGAAATTCTGGAAATAATTTTTAGAAACGTTAAAAAAATTTCCAAAAAAAAATTGGAAGCGAAAAGAAACTTCCTAGAGAATAAAAAGAGGAAATAGATGTTTCTAAGTTCAAATGGAAATAATTTGGAAAAGAAATTATAAAAATCATTTTTCGGAAGCGTTAAAAAAATTTCCAAAAAAATTGGAAGCGAAGGGAAATTCCCTAGAGAATAAAAAGAGGAAAGAGACGTTTATACGTTCAAATGGAAATAATTTGGAAAGGAAATTATGGAAATTATTTTTGGAAGCGATAAAAAAGCGGAGAGAAATTTCCTAAAGAAATATATAATTTTCTAAAGAATAAAGGAAAATTCTCTAGAGAATAAAAAGAGAAAAGAGATTTGTACGTTTAAATGGAAAGAATTTGGAAAGGAAATTATGAAAATCGTTTTTTGAAGCGTTAAAAAAATTTCCAAAAAAAATTAGAAGCGAAAGGAAATTTTCTAGAGAATAAAAAAAAAGGAGACGTACTTCTGAGCAAGAGCCTCCTTATCCTCCCCGATGGAGGAGTCAAGTGCGTCCTTGGCGATTTCCACCGGACCTTCGGCTCTCGAAGGCGACGGATCCTCCACCAGCGGTAGACTTCCGGCGGCACTCATTGACAAACTCTTACTGGGACTTCCTCCGGATCTCCTCATCTCCTCATTCACTCTAATCGCATTGGACAATCTCAATTGTAAAGTGTCCCTCTCCTCCAACAATTGCATCAACTCCAAAGTCAGCTCATCACATCTCATATCACGTTGATGAAGCATATAGAGCGCCAAATCCAATTCATTCGCCGATGAATCGAGACTCGTTCCTTCTGAATCCTCCGCATTCGTCACGTGCCTCCTCAATGCATGTTGAATCAATTCCAATTCCTTTAATTTCTCCTCGTACTGTTGCTTCAATTCGCTCACCTCATGATCGCGCGTTTCAAGAATCATTTTTAGATCCGTTAGCTGTCTTTCCTCCTCGTCGGACAATGCCTGTAGTTCCTCGATTCTCAATTCCTTGTCGTGTATTTGTAATTTGAGATTTTGTATTTCCGCATCTTTTGTCACACTCATTTCGGCGAGTCTTCGATCTCTCTCGGCAAGATCGTTACCGGCGTAGGCAATCTCGGCGATTTTCTTTTGCAATTGTTCATCGTGCGACGAGTCAATTTCCTCAATTTGTCGTCGAAGATTTTCAATATCTCTCTCTCTTAGTTTCAAATCGTTGAGTAGGCTCTCGTTCTCCGCCTCGAGTCTCGATCTCACCTGTAAGAATTTCCAAAGAATATTATTTTTCTGCACATTCAAAAAATATACAACTTCAATCTTTAATTCAAATTAATTAATTTATTATTAACTAATCTATTAATATTATTATTCTGGGCAGAATTCAATTATTTTTAAAAATTACAACGAAATTCTGGGCAAAATTCAATTATTTTTCAAAAATTATAATGAAATTCTGGGAAAAATTCAATTATTATTTTTAAAAATTATAATGAAATTCTGGGCAAAATTAAATTATTTTTAAAAATTATAACGAAATTCTGGGCAAAATTCAATTATTTTTCAAAAATTATAATTAAATTCTGGGAAAAATTTAATTATTTTTAAAAATTATAATGAAATTCTAGGAAGAATTCAATTATTTTTAAAAATTACAACGAAATTCTGGACAAAATTCAATTATTTTTAAAAACTACAATGAAATTCTGGAAAAAATTAAATTATTATTAAAAATTGTAATAAAATTCTGGGAAGAATTCAATATTATTTCTAAAAAATGTTAATAAAATTTAATAATAAAATTATTAATTAATAATTATAATTAGGGGCTGTCCATAAATTACGTAACACGTTTAGGGGGGAGGGGGGGTTCGAGAAAATGTTATCATATGTTACATGGGAGGGGGGGGTCAATCATCATTGTTACGTAATATTTATAAGGAACTTAATCTCTTTATAATGGATATATTTTTGAAAAGCTGTCCCTTGCCGCCACTTCAATATAAGTAAAAATCGAATCATTTCGCGAACCGATTCTTGGGAATAATATACAATTTTTATTGTTAAAAAATCAATGTTATATTTTTGGTTGTTCAGTATGATTAATAAAATTATTCCTCTAAATGTTTTTTATATTTAACTTAATTTTGTATTGCTATTGTACGATATAAATACTAAAAATAACAGTAATAAACAAATTTGTTTCGAAAAACGTTAGTAAAAAAATATTTTTAAAAATTACGTAACATTGATAAGGAGGGGGGGGGGTGTAAAACGATTTTGTTACAACTTGTTACATAGGGGGAGGGGGGGTTCAAAATTTCACTAAAAACGTGTTACGTAATTTATGGACGGTCCCTTATTGACAAAAAGGATTATTAATAAACACAAATATTTCGAAAACTTGAAAGACATGCTTCATAAAATTCAATTACTTTTACAGTTTTAAATTAAAATCATTTAAAAACTTCATTATTTTATTTATTAACTTGGTAAAATTCAAAACATTAAAAAAAATTCCTGTTGGGATTTAAACAAGCTATAAACTCTAAAGACATTTTAATATATACGATCCTGTACTCAAAAAAAATCGCGCCTGCTCATTTCCCAATTATCTGTATTTCAACTTTTCAGTCTTTGCTCACCATTCGAGCTATTATATTCTTTGCTCACAATATTTAATACTAAAATAAAGTCTCACTTTTTATATCAATTTTCCTCTATTTAATTAATCCCTCATCAATTCCTTTCTTCAATTTTCAATTATTTTCCAAAATTTCCAATAAAAATTTGTTCCTAAATTAATTATTTTTCATAATTCTCATAAATTTCTTTGACATTTCAATTATTTCTAAAAATTACAACTATAATTCTTTGAGATTTCAATTATTTTTAAAAATTTTAATTATAAATTCTTATCTAAATAAATTATTATTAATAATTTTTAAAAAATTCTTTAAAAATTCAAATGTTTAAAACAAAAATTCAATTATTTTAAAAAATTTCAATCATAATTATTCCAAAATTCAATTAATTTTGAAAATTTCAATTATAATTTTTCAATATTCAATTAAAATACGTTTAAAATTCAAGTTTTTCAATTGAATTTTACTGAATTTCAATTATTCGAAAAGTTTTCAAAAAACTTAACTTTACTAAATTTCAATTATTTGAAAATTTTTTAAAAAACTGAATTTTTTTTAGAATTTTTAATTAAAATTATTAAAATTCAATTATTTCTAAAAATTTTAATTATATTTTTTTAAAATTCAATCATTTTCATAGTTTTAATGAATTTCTTTGAGATTTCAATTATTTAAAAACAAAAATTCAAACAATTCTAAAAATTGCAAATATAATTCTTAGAAAATTCAATTAATTCTAAAAATTTCAATTATAATTCTTTAAAATTCAATTAAAATTCAAGTTTTTCAATTAAATTTCATTTATTTAGAAAATTTTACTAAATTTCAATTATTCGAAAATTTTTCAAGAAACTGAATTTTACTAAATTTTAATTATTCGAAAATTTTTCAAAAAACTGAATTTTTTGCAGAATTTTTGATTAAAATTATTAAAAAACCAAATTTTCACAAATTTGAATTTAAAACTTTTCGAAATTTAATTCCTTATTAAGAAACTTCTACTTTTTAAATTTCCAATTGTTTTTCAGAATTTTTAATAAAAATTCTTGTTTAAAATAATTAAATTTTAAAAATTGTAATTGTAATTCAATTTTTTCAAATTCAATTCAAAATTCAATAATTTTCTAAAAATGTTATCTACAAATTATTATCTAAATAAATTATTAATAACACTTTTCAGAAATTTCGTTGAAAATTCAATTATTTAAAAACAAACATTCAATTTATTCAAAAAATTTCCTTTAAAATTCAATTATTTTTAAATACTTTAATAAAATATCTCAAAAGAATTAAATTATTTTCAAAAATAATAAAATTCTTCGCCAAAATTCAATTATTTCGATAGATAATAAAATTATTAGCATAAATTCAATTATATTAAAAAATTTTAATAAAAATTCTTTTCAAAAATAATAAAATTTTCGCAGAAGTTTAATTATTTCGATAGATAATAAAATTAATAGCAAACATTCAATTATATTGAACAATTTTAACAAAAATTCTTTGCAAGAATTGAATTATTTTTTAAAAATTAAGAAAATTATTCTCCGAAATTCTATTATTTTCATAGATAATAAAATTTTTCGAAAGAATTCAATAATATTCAAATATTATTTAAATAAAATTCTCAAAAAAATCAGTTATTTCTAAGAATTATACAATAAAAGTCTTTGCAAAAATTCAATTATTTTCAAAAATAACAAAATTCTTCTCAGAAATTCAATTATTATAATGAGTAAATTTTGCTAATAAATAGGTAGTAATTTCTACCAATTTTATTACTAAAATTTACTAATTTTAATCAGTGACTGACTTTTTGCTTTTAAATCAGTAAATTTTACCAATAAATAGTAATTTCTACTTATTTGCTGGTAAATAAAGTTATTGATCAATTTTACTAGTAAATAAGTAGAAATTACAATTTTATTAGTCAAATTTACTAATTCAATATCAAAAAGTCAATTACTAATTTGAATTAGTAATTGAAATTTTTATTAAATTACATTTTGGAGAAAACAATTGTTTCAAGAGGATTAAATCAGTGAACAAACCTCTTCAATCTGAATCTGCTTCTCAGTCAGCATTCTCTCCAAATTCTCCTGCGACTCAATTCTCATCTGCTCCTTCTCGCTCATCAATCTCTCAATCATCATTTTATCACCGCCCGAAGAATCCTCCATGAGTTGCGCGTCCTTTTCCGCGAGAATCTGCCTCAAATCCTGCACCTCCTGCTCCCATGCTCTCAAAGCGTCCCTCAATCTCTGATTCTCCTCCTCATCCAACGATCTCTTCCTCCGACTCATCCGAGGCGACACCTCTTCCTTCTGAACCTTCGCCTCCTGCCGTTGCACCTCAAGTTCCTGCCTCAGATTCTTAATCTCCACCTCCTTCTCACTCACCTGTTCCTTCAAATTCTGCGAGAACGTCGCCAGAGTCATTTCAAAGTGCGTCTTCTCATTGTACAACTGATTCACCGTATCTTGTAACTCTTGAATTATCTGCGTGTAGGTATTTAGATTCAGCGAAGCCTCGAGGTGTTCCACTTGCAGTTGCTTCTGCGTCAACTGCGCCTTTAGTTGATCAATTTCCTCATCGCCTCCCATTCTGAACATTGGAACTTCGTCGGCAGTTTTGCGTAGATTCTCCGAATCTTTACGATTTTTGTCCGTGAGATCGTCAGCTTGGGCGATTTTCTGTTTTAGTTCCTCCTCCTTCTCGAAGAGCTTCTGTCGATGCTCTTCTTCCTTCTCGAAAAGTTTCTGTCGTAGTTCTTCTTCCTTCTCGGTAATTTTTCGCCCGAGTTCCTCCTCCTTCTCGGCGATCATTCGCTGCACTTCCTCCTCTTTCTCCAGAATTTCTGCTCTGAGTTCCTGCTCCTGCATGGCGAACATTCGCAGCAGATGCTCCTCGTTATCCACAAGCTTCTCTTGTAATTCTTCCCTGAATTCTTCATTTCTCTTCAGAAACTTCTCTTCGTAGTGTTTTCTGTCCGACAAAAATTTCTCTTCGAATTCTCTCTCTTTCACTTCGAATTCTTTTGCCTTTTCTACGAATTCTTTTGCCTTTTCTTCAAAATTCGATTGTTCTTCTTGAAGTCGGAGTAATTCTTCCTGCTGTTTGTTTTTTTCCGTTTCGAACTCACTGAGCAGAAGTTCATTGTCTGAAATTATTTTCCTCAAAGACTCGAGCTCGATTTCCTTCGCCTGAAGTTCCTGTCGTTTTGCCTCGAGTTCGATTCGGAGATTATCGTGACACTCCGTCTTGTCGTCCTCGAGCCTCTCGATCTCCTTTTCGTCGACACTCAATTTTTGCCCCAATTCCCAATTTTCCCGAGACTTTCCCTCTAACTCCTCTTGCAATTTTTGCACCTCTTCCTGCAAGTGCAAAATTTCGGTCGATTTTTCCCCGAGTAATTTTTTCAATTCGGCGATTTCGTTCTGTAATTTCTGGACATTCTCCTGAAGACTCTGCACACTGGCTGTTTGTGTTTGGAAATTATTTTCAAGAATCGAAACTATTTCCGCATTTTCGTTTTCCCTCTGAATTTTCTCGTCGAGGAGGAGGTTCAGTCTCTCGTTCTCTTTTAGAGATTCGGACAACTTTTCGGTCATTTCTCCCAATTGGACAATTTCCTCTCTCAGTTCACGAATTTCTTGAGTTTTCTGAAGAATCTCCTGCTCCTTCTGCTGAACACTTTCGGACAAACTCGAACTCTTTTGTTCGGAGTCTCGCCGCATATTTTCGAGCTCCGTGTCGAATTCCTCTTTTCTTCTCGCGACTTCCTCTTTCAGAAGATCGGAATTTTGCCTCATCGCCTGCACCTGGTCGTTAGCGTCCATCAAACTCTGCTCGTACTGCTTTCTCAAGACACTGTACTCCTCTTTCACCTTTTCTAAATTCTTCTCCAACTGCAAATTATCATCACTTAATTTTTTCACTTCCGATGTCGTCGCTTCGTCGACGGCCAATTTCGCCAATTTCGTCTCGAGCGCCAAGCGATTCGTCTTCTGCTGATACAGCGCCGCCTGTAGTTCCTGATTCTCGACATCGAGCGCCGTGGTCTTCTCCTGTAGTTGCTTGACCATCTCCTTCAATTCCTCGTCTCCAGTTTCCATTTTCTGCGAGTTCTCCAATTTTTGCGCCATTTCCCGCAGTCGTAGTTCTAGGACCTGCATTTCCATGTCTTGCTTCTCTTTCAACTCGACGTGCTGCTCGTTGGCTGCCATCAGAACATCGAGACGATTCGTAAGATTCTCCTTCTCCTTGAGCGTCGTCTTCACTTCTTCCCTAGCCTCCGAAAGCGTTTTTTCTAGAGTGAAAATTTGAGAATTTATCTCGTCACTAAACATCGAGTCTAGATCGCACATATCGCTGGTCAGCTTCCTGGACTTTAGCTGCTGTTGCAAATTATCGACCTGGACCTTATACTCTTTTAGTTTTTTGATCAACTTTCCGCATTTCGCCGAAATATTACTGTTGTCCTCCAGAATTTTCGACTTTTCGGTCTCGAGGACGCGTAACTGATCCTCTAGCTCTGCTATTCTGGTCTCAAGACGAAGTTCTACGTTCGGAGTCAGGGGAAGAAGTTCCGCCGTTGTTTCTGCGGGGAAGCCCCAGCCTTCTTCTTCCACTTCCCAGGCGGATTCGTCTCTTGGTGTTTCCGTAGGAACTTCGAGTGTTTCCGAAGCCGCTGCAACTTTCGAAAGTGTTTCCAAAAGATCTTTCGAAGCCGTTTCATCCTCCGGGGTTTTTTCAGATTTTAGAGCGTGGGTTAAATTTTCCACCTGGAGGAGAAGTTGGTCCCGCTCCTGAAGGGCGATTTTCAGCTCCGCCTGGACTTCTTGGAGACTTCTGACAGGAACTGTCGACTCCTTGGCGTCCTCTAAAGCTCGTTGGAGATCGTTAACTTGCAGTTGGAACAATTCATTGTCCCGCTGTATTTTTCCAACGCGTTCTTCAACCTCAATGACTCGACCTGCGTCGCAGTTCTTTATCTCGTTCTCCAGTTGGATAATCCTAAACCTACAAAGTTCGTGCTCTGCCCTAATTTCCTCTTTTTCGGTTCTAAGCGCCTCGAGTTCTTTCCCTTGGTTTTCCTCGACCTGTTTTCTATTCTCCAAGTCTTCCAGTTTCGATAATCGCTCATTCGCCAATCGCTCCATTTCCGAACACCTCGCTAAACACTTCTCGAATTCTCCTGACAATTCCTGGACGACTTTTTCCTTTTCGGCCACGATTTCGCGAAGTCTGGCTAATTCTGACTGATCAGACGAAGCGCCAAACACTTTCGATGCGTCGAACAAAGGCGCCGCTTCTCTCTTCACTTTCCCGACTTCCGAATCCGGTTCTTCCGAATTTTTCCGAATCGAACTTTGGGAAGACTCGAGTTCGCTCCGAAGCGACTCGGCGGCAAGTTTCTCGCTCGCCAACTCGATTTCAACAGCCTGAGTCCTCTCCTCGAGGGAAATGTTCAATTCCTGCAGAGCCTGGATTTTCTGCAACAATTCCTGATTTTCGGCAAGAGTCGCCGTGAGTTGGAGCTTCATTTCCTCGTTCGCCGACGAAAGACCATTGTACTGCATCATTAGATCATTATACGACTCCTGGAGTGATCGATTCTGTCCTAGATTATTAATTCTAATGTTGTCCTGCATCTGCACGAAGTTGACGACCGAATTCGCGAGTTCGTTATCTAAATTCTCGATCTGAGCGTCCCGCTCCTGCAACCTTGCCTCCAGAGTGTGAACCAGGGTCTGACACTGCTCGCACCTCTCGCACTTGTATCCTGAATGCACTTGATGATCACCCGCTTGACCCTTCGCGAGTAAATCTACAACTTCTGCCTCCTTCTTCTCCAGATCAATTTGCAGTCTCTCCAAAATTGCCTTTCGTTCCTCTGCTTCCGTTTCTAGATTTTCGAGACGTTTCCTTCGCTCCTCGGCTAGAACCTCAAGATTCTCCAGTTGATTCCTCCTCTCGTTTTCCAATTCCAATTCTTGGGTTTTTTGCTTGTTTTCGCTTTCAAGTGTGTCTAGAAGAACCTTTCGCTCCTCATTTTCGCGTTCGAGTGTATCTAAACGAATCTTCCGCTCTTCAAGGAGGATTTTTCGTTCCTCTGACTCCTTTTCGGCGTTCTCGAGCCGTTCGTTAATCTGACTATACCTGGAGGAGAGCATTCCGTTCTCGGTCTTCAAACTCTGGATAATTGACAATTGATCCACGTACTCGGCTTCCATGACCTGCATTCGAACACTCAGCTCCCGGACGTTGTCCTTCGCCTCCACGAGTTCGATCTGCTGACGCTTGCACTTCTCCAGCAGGGAGTCGAACGAATCCTCTCCGTCGTCGATCGTCCTCATCAGGAGCAGCAATCTTCCTCTAGCCTCCTCGAGTTCGAAACCGAGTCTCTCGGTAGTTTTGTACCCCTCCTGCTGATCGTTCTCGACCTCCAGAACCTTGTTTTCGAGGAACGTCACCTGGTTTTCGAGTCCTCGGAGAATTTCCTCCCGGGCAAGAAGCATTTCCTCGTTTGCCGAAAGAATTTCTTGTGTCTTTGTTTTCTCCTCCAGAATTCCCTCCGATTTGTTCTTCTCCAGAAGAAGTTCTGCCATCGCCTCCTCTAGGAGTCGCTCTTTTCGAATTAGTTCGCTCGCCTGCTGCTGGAGAATCGTTTCCTTCTCTTCGAGATCCTGGTCCTTTTCCAGAATCAAAGAATCCTTGTTCTGTAGAAGAGAAACCTTTTCCTCTAGATTTTTGTCCTTTTCCAGTAACAAAGAATCCTTCTCCTCCAGATTTTTGTCCTTCTCCAGTATCAAAGACTCCTTGTCTTGCAGAATCGCTTCCTTCTCCTCGAGGTTCTTGTCCTTTTCCAGTATCAAAGAATTTTTTTCTAGAATCAAAGAATCCTTGTCCTGGAGAAGAGAATCCTTCTCCTTGATTTCTTGGTTCAACGCCTCTTTCAAACTCTTCTCGCCACTCAGCTCTTCCTCGAGTTCCTTCACCCTGGTCTCCAATTCCTCACAGAGCGCCGATTTTTTCTTCAAATTCGCCACAAGTTTCTTCATCTTCTCCAATTGTTTCTGCGACTTCTGGGAAGATTCCCCAAGTTGCTGCTCTAAATCACTGATCTTCGCCTCTAGCTCCCCTTGCGGATTCTCCCCCTCGGTATTAATTTTTTTCGACATTTCCAATTCCCCCTTCAAATTCTCCGTCTCCAAAACCTTATTCTGCAGATCCTCGATAATTTCCTCCAATCTTCTATTCTGCATATCCATCTCCTCGACATGCTTCACTTTCAATCTCTCCACTTGCTGATAAACTTGGTCCAACTCACTTTTGAGCTCCTCGGCGTATTTCGCATTCGAATCCAACATACTCTGCAAATAGTTGATCTGCTCCCCGCTCTGTAATTTCGTTTCCTCAATTTCAGTCCTCAGATTCCCCTCGATCTCTGATCTTTGATTAGCCCACGCTTGAGCGGACTCGATTTGTGCCTCAAGTTCCTTGATTTTCTCAGTCTGCTCCTGCAACTTGTTCTCCAGGTCCGTAACTTCTAGAACTCTTGCCCGCATCTCCTGGAGTACGTGCTCGAACTCCTCGGGACTCTTCATAACAATGAGTTGATTTTTCAACTCCTCGATGTGCTTCTTAGCGGTTGTGATTTCCCACTTTCGAGATACTTTCAAATCGTTGACTTCTTCCGTGAGAGACACGATCACTGTGTCCTTTTGCTGAAGATCGTGTTTTCTTTGTTCGAGTTCATCCTGCAGGGAGTCGATGGTTATCATTTCGTTCTGAAGTTGTGCGTACTTATCCATGAGGTCTTTTTCCTTAATCTTTATTTTCTCCTTCAGTGCAACTATCTCCTTATCCTTCGCCATGAGACTTTGACCTTCCGCTTCTAATTTTTCCTCGAAAGTACTGATCGTATTTTCTAATTCTTCCTTTAGCTTCTTCACTAGTCCTTCTAATTCTTCCTTTTGTTCCACCAACTGGACCAAACGATCAACTTCCAGCAATTTCTCCCTTAATTCTTCGTCCTTTTCTGTCAACCTAATATTCATCTCTTCTATCCTCTCCGTCTGTTCTTCAATCAACTTCCTCAAAGTTTCGATCTCCAGCTCTGTTTCAGCTGTTCCAGCTCCAGTTTTTTCTGATTCAACGACTGTTTCCGAAAGAGAAACAGAAGTTTTCAACTTTTCAACTTCCGCCGAAAGTTCATTACGTTCGGCTTCTAATTTTCGAAGTTCCTCCAGCGAACCATCGGCAAGTTTCTCCTCGAGTTTCGTGAGTTTTATGACAAGATTATTATTCTCCCGGGTGAGCATTTCAATTTTAATGCTACTATCGCTATGCTCGGGGATTTTCTCGAAAGATTCCGTCGATCCCGTATCGGAAGATCCCTTCTCCTCGATTTTACTCAATTTTATCACTAAATCGTTATTCTCACGTGTCAATGCATCGATTCGTTTCATTAAATCATTCCGATCGTGTTCGTTGATCGCCTCAAATGAATCCGTTGAACCAACATTTGAATCCGTCTTCTCCTCGAGTGTCGACAATTTCTTTAATAGATCATTATTTCTTTGGGAGATTTCCTCAATTTTCTTGAGCAATTCACTGCGATCTGTCTCCTGTAGAGTTTCGAAAGATTCCGTTGATCCTGAATCAGACGTTCCTTTCGCTATTTTCTGTTGTAATTCTTCATTTTCTTTGGTGAGGGTTTCTATTTTCGTTGTTAATTCAGCAAAAATGTCCGTTTGCTTAGAATCATTTTGAATAATTTTATTTTGAGCTTCGAGTTGTTCCTCTAGGTCGACTATTTTCATTTCGGCAGTGACGCGTAAATTTTCCGATTCTGCATTCTCCTCCTCCAACGCTGACACCTCCTGCTTCACTGCGTGAATTTCTGTAATAATTTTAGAAAGAAATTCCAAAAACAAGAAAATAAACTGAAATATGATTTAAATGAAAAATTTCTAAGTGGATAAAAATGTTCGCTACTTTTTTTCAACAAAAAAAAAATACGTTTTGAATTAAAAATACAAAATCAAAATTATTTAATAAATAAATCGAGAAGATAATTAATAAATTAATAAAATTGATACATTAATACAATTAATAAATTAGTACAATAATTATAAAGTTAATAAATTCATTAATTAATAAATTAATTAACAAATAAATTAATAAATTCATTAATTAATAAATTCATTAATTAATAAATTAATTAACAAATAAATTAATAAATTCATTAATTAATAAATTCATTAATTAATAAATTAATAAACTAAAACATTAATTAATAAATTAACAAACTAATACAATAATTAATAAATTTACACAATTAAGAAATTTTTTCAAAAATTTACAATAGTAACAAAATTATTATTGCGCTACTAATAGAAAAAATAATTTTTTTTTTCACAGGAAAAATTAAAATTTGGCATCAATTTGGCAATAAAGGAAAATTACCTTGCATAAGATCTAGCTTCTGATTTTCTAAAGCAGCAATCGCATCGATGTGACCTTGAATTTCTTTCGCTTGAGCATTGACCTTACCTTCGAGGTCAGAAATTTGCTCTTTCCATTCGCCTGCGGATGCTGTACAAATCGCATAATTTCCGAATATCGTTGATTTGCATTTTTATTTTTTATTTTTTGTAAATTTTAATTTTTTACTCGATTGATTTGAAATTTTCAAAAAAAATTTCAAATTAAATTCACCAAAAAACAAACAAAAAAAGAAAAAAAAAGCTAAATTCTCAGACAAATCGACAACATCCCAATGAAAGCAAAGCAACGTCACTTATTCAAAAAGCAGTCGCTTATTATTTTCGAAAAAGCAAATTTGCGCATTATTATTTTTATTATTATTTCTATTTTTGTTTTTAATTTTATTATTATTATTATTATTTTTATTATTATTATTAATATTATTATTATTATTATTATTATTATTATTATTATTACTATTAATATTAAGATATGTATCAAATAAATAAATAAATAAATATTATTTTCATTATTATTATTACTAGTATTATTATTAATATTAATTTACTTATTATTAAAACTGTTATTATTTTCCTTATTATTATTTTTATTTTCATTGTTGTTGCTATATTTTGATACTATATTTATTTTTATTTTCTAATATTATTATCATTACTCTAATAATCATCAAAAAGCAAATCAACTCTAGGAGGTTAATTTTCAATTAATTAATTAAACAGCTAGCGTTAATAATTTCCAAAAAAACAAATATTTACAATTTTCCAAAAACATATTCTAAATTATTATTTTTTTCTCCCTCTCTTTTTTGTCAATGAAAAAAAAACAATGAAATTCCATGCAAAATAAAATTAAAAACTACAAACTATGAAATCCTATCACTAAAAATCAGAGTTGAGCAAACTTTGACAAGTAAGAAAGTAGGTACCATTATTATGCCTATTGTAATAACAAAAAAATTATATACCAAAAATGATAAAATTCGATATTAGTGAAATCTAAACAAAAAAAATGTTCATATTAGAAAAAAAACATTCAAGAAAAAAATTCGAACCGTTTTTTTTTGGGAAAGGGAATCCATCACCAATTATTTAAAAACAAAAATTATAGAATATAAACTCATAAATAAATAAGTGAAAAATGAATTAAAAAATCCGTTCGTGTTAATATTTCTACGCGTGATTTTTGAGACGCATTTGAATGTATGAAGAAAGTAAAGTTTTACAAATAAATTTATAAACCAATATTTTTAAATTGGAAATTAAATTCGGAAATTTGTTTTTTTAAGTATTTTATTTTTTTATTTTTCTTAATTTTTTTTTACTTTATTTTTATTGTTTTCTTATTTTATTTTTATTAATTTTTCTTATTTTATTCTATTTTTTAAATAATTTTACGACTATTTATTTTCATTATCAAAAAGTTAAAGAGAATTGCGAGAAATTATTTTACAAATATTTCTATAATTTTCACTTTTGTATTTTCTTCTTAAAATTTTATATTACTTGAATAATTTTTCTATTTGAAATTTTTCTAAATAAAAATTTTTTTTTTTGGCAAAAATTTCAACATTCAAATGCGGCTTGTTAATAGTTTTTCTCTTTAAGTGCAAAATTATTACATAACTCATATTAAACAAATATTTACAATCTACAATTTTCTCTTTTTAAAAAGAAAACAAATTAAAAACTTTTTCTTTAAAAAAATAATTGAAAACCTTTTCTTGTAAAAATAATTGAAAACCTTTTTTTGAAAAAGAATTTAAAAAAAAATTTCTTTAAAAAAAATTAAAAACCTTTTTCTTGAGAAAAAGAAAAAATTGAAAATATTTTCTTTAATATTACAATGAAGCAAATATTTTTCGAAACAAAATTCTTTCTCCAAATGAGTTTTTGTAAAAAATGATAATAAAAAAAGGAAAAATAAAAAACAAAACGGGACAAAATTAAACAGATGAATATATTGATAATAAAGTAAAAAAAATTGACAGGGTGTCTACTATTTTCATTTAACAAAATTTCCAGTTTTTTTCCCGGCTTTGTCCTAATTTTTCCCGGTTTTTTTTCTCATTAAATTAAAATTTATTTCATTTCGAACATAAATAAATCTACGAATGGCTTCAAAAATTTTTATTAGAGTTTTGATGAATAATTAAATATTCTTTTGACGAGTTTCTTCGAATTTTATGAAAATAATATTTTTTTAAATAATTTTAATTAAAAATTTGGAAATAATTGAATTTCTGCGAAGAATTTTATTACTTTTGAAAATAATTGAATTGTTTTTTAGAATTTTATGGAAATTTATGAAAATAATTGAATTCTTGAGAAGAATTTCTTTTTAAAATAATATTCAAAAGAATTTAGTAAAAATCTGAAAAATTTTGCTATTTATGAAAATAATTGAATTCTTGAGAAGAATTTTTTTTTTTACAGTTTCTAGAAATAATTAAATTCTTTCGATGAATTTTAATAAAGTTTTTAAGAATAATTAAATTTTTCGAGAAATTTGATTAAAATTGTATTAAAAATAATTGAAATTCTGCTGTGAGTTTTACTATTTATGAAAATAATTGAATATATTGCGAAGAAATTTTTAAAAATAAAATTATAATTAGTGACTAACTTCGCTTAATTATTTTCAAAAAATTTAAATAAAATTCTTTAAAAGAATTTAATTATTTTCAATTGAATTTTACAAAATTTCTATTAATTCGATAATTTGTTTTTAAATTTATTTACGTATTATATTTGAATCAGTGACTGATTTTTTACTATAAAATGAATTATTTTTAACTAATTCAAATTTAGAGAACAGTATAAAATATCTATAAAAATTGAAATAAAACGCGATTTTTTAAAAACAAATTAAAATAATAAAACTATTTTTAATTTGGTGAAAAAATTCCCGATTTTTCCCGGTTAGTAGACACCCTGATTTTTAATGCGATTAAGAACGGATAAAAGAAAATTGCTTAGATAAGAGACGATGGATAATGAAGGCACGTGAAAAATCCGTCCTATGGCTCCTACCTTTAAGCTCGTCAAAGTCTACCAGACTCAGCTGAAGGTTACCTTTCTCCTCCTCAAGAACTGCCACCTGGTTCCCAAGTCTCACCAATTCCGCGTTCACGTCTGATACCTGCGAATAAATTCAATTAATTTAATTTCCTTTAATTTATTTCAATTTACTTCGACTCTCGATTTTATTTTTAGTAATTTAATTAAATTAATATAATTTTACCTAATTAAATTCGAATATCGATTTTAATTTTTTAATTTCATTAATTTGAACTAAATTCGACTCTAGATTTTATTTCCATTTATTGTAAAAGAAATAAATTTGAATTCGAGATTCTCACCTTTCGGAAGCTCTCCAATTGTCGCTGAAGATTTTTCACTTTACTCTTGTGTTGCGCCTTGATTTTCAACAAACCCTTATTCATCTCCTCCATTTCCTTCGTCAACTTAACAACCTTCTCATCAGCCTTTTTACTCTCACTAGGAATTTTAGCCACGAGATCATTCTTTTCACTTTCCAAATCATGCACAATTTTCTCCAAATCAACAACTTTATTCGAAATCTCCTCATTTTTCGTCATCAATTCATTGACTTGCTTCTCTAATTCGACCTTTGATTCCTCCTCCAATAGTTGATTAGATTTCTTCAGTTCCTCAATTAAATTCTCAAGTTCGGCAATTCGATTGTCTTTCTCGACAATCACACCATTGCCATTCGTTGATTGTAGTGTTATGACTTTATTTTGTAATTCGACATTATCCTTTTGTAATTCATATTTTTCGTCTTGTAGACGTCGATTATTTTCCTCGAGTTTCGATAATTTATATTCAAAATCGTCAATATCGGGCGATCTCGTTATTCCAAGACCAGATTCTAATTTGAAAATCGTTTCCTTCGCCTCGGCGAGTTTTGTCTCACGCGCCTCCAATTGTTGCAGGAGATGTTCATTTTTTGTCTTCAATGACGTTTCAACGAGAATGAAATTCTCCTGCATTGATTTCATTTCTTCCTTTGTGTCCGCCAATGTGTTCATTGTCGAGCGGGAGAAATCATTTATCGCCGATTCCGATAGTTTTTGATTTCGCAATTGGTCCTGTAATCTAAACGAAAAGGTTTTGTACACAAAACAGTTTTTGTATCGAAATTAGTAAATAAAAGAAATAAAATAAAGAATAGAAAATAAAATAAAAAATAGAAACTAAAATGAAAAACAGAAAGAAATAAAAAATAGAATATAAAATGAAAAATAGAAAGAAATAAAAAATAAAGTGAAAAATCAAATAATAAAAAAGAAAGTAGAAAATTAAGTAAATATGAAATAAATCTATTAAGAGTAAAAAGAAAAAAAAAGTAAAAAGAGGAGAAATAATATTGGAAAGAAAGTGAAAAATTGTAAAAAAGGAGAAAATTTGTAAAAACGAACCGATTGAGCGTTTCTTCTAATTCTACGGTTTTATTCGTTTTTTCCTCCAATTGCTCGAGAAGATTGTCGTTTTTACTTCTCAAGGAAGTCTCTAAAAGTATAAAATGTTCCTGCATGGTACGCATCTCGTCCTTGGTGTCCTCGAGTGTATCCAACGTTGTTTTCCCTTTTAGCGAAAGATCCGCCGACATTAGTGTCACTGCTTTTGTCTTTGAATCAATAACCGAGTCCTTTTCTCTCAAATTTTCCCTAAGGTCAAGAACAGTAGCCTCTAATTCTAAAATTCGATTGCTAAGCTCGGCAATTTTATTGTCTTTATCCTGTTGGAAGCTCATTTGAATTAATGGCGCCGCACCCTTGAAACGAAAAAAATGAAAGAAAAATTACTATTTACGTTTCCCTGATTTTCAAACAAAATTTTTACTTTTTTCCTAAAGAATATTCTGATTGACTCTAAAAATTATTAGATACTCAAAAAAAATGTTCTATTACATTTATTTAGGAATTTCTTTAATTGTAAAATTATTCGAAAACATCAATAAATTCTTTTTTAAATAAATTTATTTTTTTTTACTAATATTAATTTATACATTTTTCCATATGAATTAAAATTTTTCAAAAGATTCAAATTCAAATTTTTCGAAGAATTAAAAATTAAAAATAATTGAAATTTCGCGATGAGTTATTAAATTTTTTCAAGAATTTAATTAAAATTTATAAAAAAAATAATTAAATTATATTTAGAATTCATGTCAAGAGTTTTATTACAATTTTTGATAAATAATTAAATTTTTGCAAAGAATTTTATTAATTTAAAGATAATTGAATTCTTGGGAAGAATATGAAATTTTTTGAAAATAATTAAATTCATTAGAAAATAATTAGAGAGTTATCGAGGAATTCATTTACAAATTGTATTAAAAATAATTGAAATCCTGTGATCAGTTTTATTATTTATGAAAATAATTGAATTATTGGGAATAAATTTCAAAAAAAATTTGTAAGTAATTGAACTTTTGTGCAATTTTTATTATTTGTAAAAATAATTAAATATCTGCGTAGAATTTTATTAAAAAATTTTGTTAAATAATTGAATTCATTTAGAAAATTTCATTAAAATAGTAGATATTGAAAATAATTGAATTTCAAGGAAGAATTTTGAGATAATTGAATTTTTTTAGAAGAATTGCGTTAAAATTTTTGAAATACAGTATTTTTAACATTATATTAAAAAATTTAACTAATTTCAACAGAATTGAAATTAAAAATTTTTTAATTTCCAAGTTATTTAAAATTTTTAATTAAATTCATTTAAAACTGAAATGTTTTATAAAATTTTAAATTAAAACCTTTTGAAGGCAACCCTAATAATAACTATTAGATTTTTTTATAAATAAATATCGATAAATAAATTTTTATATAAATAAAAATGGAATTAATTGAAAAAAAAGAAAAAATACCTGAGACAATACGACGGGCGTGATTGGCAACTGCTGTTCTCGTTCCTCCAATTGTTGACGGATGGCTTCAACTTTTTCCTCAACGGCACGTTTACTCTCGGTTATCTCACTTCTTCGTTGCTCAAAAATTTTCTTATCCTCCGCGAGTTTCCTTTGTAAAAGTGACGATTTTGCTTTTGGCGTTTTCGCCTGACTAATATCGTCCACTTCATCGTCCAAAGGCTCCGAGATTGATGCTTCTGAAATTGATTTTGGCGTCGATTCACCGGAAGTGTCGTCTCGATTTCTCTTCGATAATTTTGCTCTCGTTTTGAATTTCGTTAATTTCTTCGCGTACTCCTATTTAAATAGACAGAAAAAAAGTCAATCAAAAAAAAAAAAAGATAAAAATTATCGTTAAACAAAGTGGTTCAATTATTTTAATCAAAATTAAATAAATAAATAAATATTCAATAAAAAATTCCAAAGAATAGAATTAAAAATAAACAGTAAAAAAGGACGAAAAATTAAATTATTTAAATACAAAAAAAATTAAAATTTTCCTAAAATTTCAAATTGAAATCTTTTGATGTTCGTCTATTTATAAATAATAAAATTATTGTTAGAAATGGAAAAAATTTAGGTTTTTGTATTAGAATTCGTGATAATTTCATAGTTTATGAGTCAAACAAAAAAGACACAAAAAATCACAATTTCCTTATGAATTCTAAAAATTTTAATTTTTTCCCGTACTATTAATAAACATCCCTAACTTTTCCCTGATCAATTCTAATTTCCCTGATTTTCCAAACTTGTGGCAACCCTGTTGAAATAAAAGATGATGAAATAAAGGACGAAAGCAAAAATTGTTTCATAACAACCTGAATTTCCTCCTCCTTCTTACGAAGACTCTGTTTATTGCGAAGCATAATATCCTTGAGGGAATCTAATTGACTTTTATCCTTCTCACACGATTCCTTATTATTATCATCATCACCACCAGGTTCCTCGGGTGGACCGCCCTCCATTGGCCCCGGAGGTTCCTCGGAAGCACTCCACATCGCGAACTGTATCATAATTAACATAAAAATCAACCACTTCATCATTAATGAAAAAAACTAAATTCCACTTCCCTCTAAAATTTTTCCCCATAAATTAATGTCACTAAAACACATTTAATTTGCAATTTTTTCCCCGCAAATATCAATGTCAGTGAAAATTTTTACTGATTATGACCAGACATCAAGTCTCACCCACTGCTCTCATTTTTTTCTCTCTTCGTTTTCAAAGGCGACTAATTGGATAGGCAAACGACTAGGGTAAACTAATTATGTTAGCATTCCATTTGTTCACAGGCACATCACACATACATTGACAATTTATATTCAAAATTACGTGACTTACAAGGGTATTTTCTCATATTGTGTGTGTATGACTATTTTCTTTAAATTCACCTTTTTCTTGATTAAATAACTCAATTATTGTGAAATAAATATTTATTATAATCTCACGAAATTCGAAATTAAAAATTAGAAAATAAGTCGAAAAAGAATTTTTAATAGGAAAATTTCTTTTCCTTGAAAATGTCAAGGTTTTATTTAAAATCGGATTTGTCTCAAGGTTTCCTGCCTTCTAGGTCAATACACCTTTTTAATGGCTTCTAAATATCAAAATAAAATAATTAATCTATTTTTGTCTACCGAAATCTAGATTTAAATCCACGAATTTGTTTTTTAAAGGGACAAAAATATTTTACAACCTAACCTCAAAATATAGGGAGAAATCGGAGAAATAACAATTTGGGGTTTTTAATTCCAATCACCTGGGAGCAGGAGAAAAAATAAAAAAGACCTTTCCGACCTTTCGAAATTGTTCAGAAAAGTGAAAATATGTTTGCATTTAAATTCAAGGAAAATATGTTTATTTTTGGGGGTTAGGTGAAAACAATTGTTACAAGTCGGAAAAGTTGAGAATCAAAGGGTTAGAATTTAACCTAAAATAACAGATTCTACAAGAAGAGAAGTTAAAAATGAGTAATTATTTTCCACTTACGTTTTATTTGTATTATTTCGGATGTCAAGATGTTATTAACACGTCACTAGTTGACATAGTTTTTCTCCTCGAATTCACCGTTCGACGATATTATTCCCGGTGGTCAATAATGCAATACACTTTTCACACATGAAATCTATTCGAATTTTCATTTGTTAACAATTCTATAAATAAAAGAAAAATTTTATATTCCAAATTCTGTAAATTCAGAAATAGGAGTACAATATCGGAACCATTTTTTTCCGCAATTCTCAATTCTCACCAGACCGGAAACTGTTGGATTGAGCGCTTCTGCGCAAGTGGCGCGGCGCTGGTGGAATTTCAAATTTTTCTTTACTTTTTAGAAGAGAAAAAAAGAGTATTTACTTTTTCGAAAGTAGTTTTTTACTTTGTAAAACTCCAATTTTCTATTTTGCACTTTTGTGCGTAAAATCCAAATTATACGAAATCGAACTTTTGGGAAAGCTAACCTAACCTTAAATTCTGTGCTTTTTTGCACTTCCGCCTGTCATTTCGAAAATCTCGAAAATGGAAAAAATCGAGAAAAAAAAGAGATACCAGAGAGCCAGAGAAAAAAGGCGGAAATTCGCATTAAAGGGGAAAATCGGAAAATTAGTGAAAAGTGTGGTGAATAAAGTAAAAATAAAAGCGAAAAATTGTATTGATTGCATTTGACGTTTTTGGGTATTTTGAGGTTATGTCGAACCGGTCAAATCAAAACAAAGGAACAAAAGCAACAAAACATTCGGAAAATATCGAAAATATATTCAAAATATAGCAAAAGGAGCAAAAGTATAAAGTAAGCAAATGCGAAGCAAACAGGAAAAATAACTTGATGGCAAAAAAGAAAAGACGTAAAAATTCCGAAAACTAAGAAAATATTTAAAGAACCTCCCGAAGGATAAAAAAAACCAATTACTTGTATTTAAAAATGATAAATATTGCGCGCATGCGAAGGGATTTATCATTCCCTACCAATATGATTGGAAAAATTTATCATCTATCTATATAGACGAATTTTGCACTATATAGAGTAAACGACAGGAATTAGCAACGGCGCATTTGCCCGCCAGTGTTGAGCGTCTGCGTCTATCGAACGTTGTTATTTTCTGCAAAAGGTAAATGTCAACGGTTGACAAGAACAATTCACCAGGAAATTTGCAATATACAAGTGACACATAAAGGATTATAATAAACGAAAAAATTTAAGAAAATCCTCTCGTCTTTCCCCCAGTCGAGATGGAGGAACAAACACAATGGAAAGGTAAGAAAAATAATTATTTTTAAAGATTGTTAAACTATGAAAATTCCTTTTCTTTTTGTTTCCCTCCCTCGATCAATGTCTATCAACAATGCGTTCGTAAACCCTGACCTTTCCAGTGAAATGAATTTTTATTTCTAATATTAACTGATTTTTTTTTGTTTATTCACCTAAAAATCAATTTTAATATTCTCGAGTTCACGTCACATGGAAAAGTACTTCTTTTTGTAGAAAAATGAATTAAATCTATGGAATATTAAAATTTCAGAAGAGAATATTAAATTTAGTTTGAGAAATGAAAAAAATTGTTGAATTTGCTGATCGTAATGTTGATTCTTTTGTGAAGATATAAAAAATGATTCATTACCTTCCATTACATTAGATTTGTTGACATTGTTAAGACATTTTTTTTTCCTATATTTTTTTTTCTATGAACGCTTCAAGTATTTGCGTTTTAAATTATTACCTAATTTTATTCATTTGTTTTTCCGTATTAGGAAAAGTGAATGGAAAAATTTCATTGTATCTATAATTTTTTGCTGGTTTCTTTTATTTTATTTTTCTACCTATTATTGAAATAATTTTCTTGCATATAATTTGCATTCTGGATTTCTTTCACGGCCAATTACGATACTAATAATAACAATAAAAGTAATAATAATAGTAATAAATAATAATGTTAATAAATAAAATAATTAAGATACTATTAATAATAATAAAAGTAATAATAATAAAAATAAGAATAATGAAAATAAACAATATTATAAATAAATTATACTATTAAGAAATAAAAATAGAAATAACTAACAATAGGAATAAATAATAATGTTAATAAATAATAATAGAATTAAATAATAATATTAATGAATAATAATATTAAATAATAATTTATAATTATAATAAACAATAATTATTATTAATATTAATAATGATAATAGTGTTTAGAGGCCTTAATAATAATAAAGAATATTAAAAAATAAATAAGGCCTTAATAATAATAATAATTATTATTATTATTTTTACTATAATAATAAATTTTATTATTAATCACGTTAATAAATAATTAGTTATTAATAATTATTTATCGAGTTAATAAATAATTAGTTATCAATAATTATTAATAAATGTGATTAATAATTTCAGTTAATGTTTTTTAAACGCCATTTAAAACCTTCGAATAATATTGTTTGTTTATTTTTTTCACTAATTCATTATAATATTGTTTTTTTTTTTTTTTTTAACACTTCGTGGAAAAGGAAAAAGAGAATTTAAACAATTTTTCCCTCCTTTATTATAAACAATAACAATTTTTCTATTTGAATATTTTTTTCACGCATTTTATGCGCATATCGACTTTTGTTTCCTTTTTTCCGAGAAAATTCCTTTTTACTGTAAAATTTTTCGCCATTATCATTATTAAAAAAAAAGAGAAGAAATTTCCAATTTTTTGCAACAACGGGAAAATTCTATTTTTTATCGACTTTGTTTGTTTTTTTTTCCTTTTTTTTGGTAAATATATAGCTGTAGGTTTGTTGATTTACACTTGTAGATAAATAATTCCTGACCTGGTAACAATTAGAAATACGTATAGTTTTTTTTTGTATCATTATTGATAGTTTTTTTTCAACAAGACATGATAAGAAATATTTATTTTGTCGAATTTTTTTCTATAATTATTACTGTTTGAGAATTATTAATTATCTTTACTATTTATTAGAAATGTTTATCATTGTTAAATTGCGCACATATGAGTAATAATTGCATAAAACAAAACACTTTTGTATTTTATTACTGTATTTAGGTGAATATTTTTTTCACGCTTCAGAAAAATTCTGATATTATCTATTACGAACAAATCTAAAGCGAAAATTAAATTTTATTATTTTATTTATTTATTGCACTTTTGAAATTATTTGTAATTTAATTTATTGTTACTCTTTTTTACTATATTATTATTTTATTAGTGTTTTTTTTATTATTTTTAACTATTTTATTATTTTCTATTAATAATCAAAAGCAATTTTTAATTTTAGTTGTATTTTCGTTTCTGTATTTTTTTTTTTTATTTTAATTTATTTATTTTTCAATATTATTTATTATTGTTTTATTATTATAAATGCTTATTAAGTTCATGCCTTTCGGGCTTTGAACGAGAATTTATTTATTAATATTTAATTCAATTTTATTTATTTGCTAACATAACATTTTCAAATTATTCATTTATGATTATTTTATTGTTACATTCTCTTTTTTGCTACTTTATTATCTTAATGATTGCTGTTTTATTTTATCACTATTTTAAATTATTGCTTTTTTTTACTTTATAATTTATTTCACTATTATTTTATTATTTATATTAAATTCATTGTTTATTATTATTTATTATTGAAGTAGAATTTTTTCTTCTCGCCCCTAATAAATATTTTTGTTAATATTTAATTCCCATATTCCTAACGGAAAAAAATCCTCAAAACGACGGGAATCGAACGCTCGACCCTAACATTCGCAATCCAACAACCTAACCACCTGACCACGCTCGCATTGTTATTTTTTTTTGATTATATTAATTTGAAACAAAAATTATTCAAGTAAATTTTTGATAATAGACAATTAATCGACTAATTGAATCAGATAATTTTTTTTCCTCAGTCATAATATTACTTATTAATAATAAAATATTAAAATAATAAAAAAAATAAATAAAAATAATAATAAAAAATTAAAAATAGCAGAAAAATGTATACTTAAAATATAAATAAGAAAATGGTATTTCACTTCTGAATTGAATTTATTTTTCCAAGAAAAATATTTCATCGCTGTCGCTAAAAAGTATATTGTAGAAAAATATTGATATACAGAGGCAAAATTCAAATGCACAAAAGTGAGAGAGAGAGAGAGAGAGAGAGAGAGAGAGAGAGAGAGAGAGAAAAAAAATATACAATATTTTATGAGAATGACTAGCAGGAATCTTGGGGAAATTAAAAGAGGGATTTAAAAAAAGAAGTTGCGGAATTTAAAGTTCCACTGGTTTTTCATATATTATATATGTATATATGTGAAAATCTCCCCCCTCCCCTCCCTTCATACAGCAAGTCAAGGTAATGTAAGCTTGAAATTGAAAAATACAGTAGCGAAAAAGTGGTAAATGAAAATAGATTACAAAGAAATGTTTCGTATATATGCCGGCGAAAAAACTGCAAAAAAAAAAAATAAATAAATAAAAAGAATATAAATCTTTCTTTTCGCATTTTTCGTTGTTCTGCAGACGTCATATCAAGTATTTACGATATTTTGTTTATGAAATATTTATATTTAGAGAAAAAAAATTTTGATTTTGAAATTTATTGATGAATGTTTGAAAAGATTTATTTGAAAAAAATTACTATAGGAAAAAATATTTTTAAAAAATAATTTAAATAAATTTAAATACTTAAAAAAATTGAAAATAAATTTAAATACTTAAAATAATAATTGTAAATAATAATAATAATTAATGTAGAAATATATTTTTATATTAATTTGTTTTCTAATTCACAAAAAAATATTTATTGACTGTAAAATAGAATATTTAAACTGAATGTTAATTAAATAAATATTTAAATAGAGTGGAATTTTATGATAAAAAAAATATTTCCAAATTGAGTATTTATTAAATAAATATTTTCAAACTGAATATTTATTAAATTTTACTTCTTATTAATTAAATATATTTTCATGGTGAATATTTTTATTAAATAAATATTTTCAAGTTGAATATTTACATTAAAAAAAATATATTTATAAATGAGTATTTTCAGAATAAATATTTATATAGTAAATAAATATTTTCAAATTGAATATTTAAATTTTAAAAAATATTTTTATACTAAATATTTATTGAATAAATATTTCGAAACCTATTATTTATTTTTCTTTATTTTCTATTTTTTATTTATTTTCATATTATTTATTTGAACAAGTTTATTTATTTAATTATTTCTAGACGGTTGTGTTGTAAATAAATAAAATATTTATTAAAAAATATATTTATTTATTTATAAAAACGGTTTATTGCAAATAAATAAAATATTGTTTACTCTAAAAAAATATAAATATTTATTTATTTCTAAACAGTTTATTTGTAAATAAATAAAATATTGTTTATTAAAAAAAAAATATTTATTTATAGAATAATGAAGTAAATTTGTTTGTACTGAAATAAAAGGAATAAAAAATGTAAATATTTAAGTAGAAAAAAAAGTGGAACAACATGAAGTGCGTTTATGAAGTGCACTGGAAATTGGTATTTAAGAAAATTGACCGATTACATTACTGACATCAGCGAAAACATATATATATTTATTGTTTGAGTTTGTGTCTTCAATGCTTCAGAATCTTTTCATAGTTCAATTATTGAAGTAAATAATTTAAGTAATTATACAATAACAATGAAATAAAAAAAATAATTAAATAATTAAAAACAATTTAACACTTTTTTAATTTAGTCTCCGAGACTTTATGATTTATTTCAATAAAATAAACACAAAAACAATTTTAACAATTTTAATATTAAAAAGAAAAAAAATATTTCGTTTAAAAGAATTAAAAAAAAATAAAAAAACAAAATTTTCTTTTCGATATTTTTTTCTATTTTCGTTATTTATTTATTTACGTTGAATATTTTTCACTATTCACATTATTTATTTATTCAATTTTCAATGAATTTAAATAAAAACTAAAATGAATTTTTATTTATAAGTAGGTATTAATTATAAAAAAAATAATAATATTTTAATATTAATTATAATTTTTTGTTTATTTATTAATTAAAAAAAAATTCCATTGTTTTTCAATGTATCCTAGTGTGCAATTTATCTTTATATGAGTAATATAAAAAGTATATAAGGAAAAAAGTGAAAAGGGAAAAAAATTGCAGAAACAAAAAAATACCACTTGAAAATAAATTAAACAGCTTTAGGCGTTTCTTTAAAATATTTACTATAACCTATGTATTTTTTTCTCCC